CCCCCCCCCCCCATTTTGAATTATGTAAGATCGGCCGGGACCCCTCCCCCCATTTTTCAGAAAAAAAAAACGGAGAACGCCTAGTAAAATAGCCGGAATAAATTTAAGGCTTTTGTAAAGCTATTTTGATGAAAATTGACAAAAAAAAAAGAGGTAAATAATTGAACTTTAATCGTCAAGTTATAAAAAACCATAATTGGGGACTTTCGGGGACTTTTACGGGTCATCGATAAGCCTTGTTTTGAAATGGCAGGATTTCACGGCTCACAACGCCGAAAAAGTCTTTGTTTTATTATTTAAACAAAAAGCCTTTTTTACAGCGGAAAGCTTACGTAAGACTCGGTTTAATTACCAATCCCCCCTTTGTAAGGCTCTGTATGACAAGCTCGGACCCCCTCTCTCCCCCTAAGTGCCTTGCGTAATACTTGAACGGCCCCCCAATTAATAATTTCCCTGAGTGAAAGGAGTTTTACAGACGAAGGAACTTTCTCATCATGCAAACTGTGAAATAAATTCTAAGCTGGCGATTCTCTCACAATATTACCTTGCGGTGAGCTAACCATCACCTTGCGGCAAGGTATCGGCCTATCCACCCTCACCGAGCCCTATCCGAGCCCTCGCCGGGTCAGTTCGTGGAACTTAACGACTGGGAATAATTATGCATGGCAACGCTGGAGACGAAAATCGTACCCAACACGGGGTATTTCCCGATGCAATGTCGCCTTTTTCAAGCCCTGCGTCTGGATTTGGGTCTACAGTGTTGTCATACGGTTTTAATCCCGGTCGTCGAGTTCCTTGAACTGGCTCGGCGAGGGCTCGGATAGGGATCGGAGAGGATGGATAGGCCGATACCTTGCCGCAAGGTGATGGTTAGCTCACCGCAAGGTAATATTTACGCTAGGGAAGAAAATAGTTTAAGGCAATACTGAGTGGAAAAAATAAATGTGCTGGAAATTGTTCAACAATCGTTTTTTAACTCAAGTAGGTATCAGGATTCAAAAGTTGGACATTTTTCGAAAAGCCTGTTAAAGTTGTCGGTACAAAAAACAAAGTAAAAACGAGCGCATGAGGAAGGTAATTAAATATGAACTGTGAGGAAAAACTTCATTGACGTAACTTATCGCAGCAAATTGGTCAGTTGCGCTGATCACAGAATCATGTACTGATGATATTAGATCACATGTAGATCAGCAAAAAATAATTAGGTCCGTCCATACACCAAGTTTCTACGCCTAATATGAACGGAGATAATATCGCCCCTCAAACTACATTCCGTATGACGTCATTTACCGCGAGACTGCTTGCCATAGTTTTTTTCACCTAGGTTTCATCCGTGTTTTAAGTCGATCTATCGGTGGAAAAGTGTGTAGGTGTAGCAGTAGCCGATGAATTCAAAGTGATACCCGGCAGTTGATGACGTCATTTACCGTGTTTTTCGGAGGGCAGTATTTCTGTCAGTATTGGATGAAGGAATTCTGAGTTTGTACAGGTCTCATAAATGTTTGCCAATTTATAAGCTGAAACCGCACCCAAACGCGATTTTGTGACTGGGGACACGTACTAACTATTACTCCCATGACAGTATGGACTACACACGCATGCACATTGAAATATAAAAATCCTAGAGGGCATAAGTCTTCACCCAAAAAACATTTTAACAAAACCGCTCCTAAGAGCATCTTAGTGAATAAACGTAGATATTGCCTGTCTGGGCTCAGTTACCATAATTCCTTAATTAAATAACACCCTAGTTGTGGCTTTGCCTTGACGCCTAACGTTTACAGCTCCTCTATCCGAATTTGAATCTACAGCACCGTGGTAAAAATTAACGATAGGAGTTGCGTTTCAAAGTACCGTAGGAGTTCTTAAAGCCGACTAAAGAAGGCTATTGAAAATCAAATAGCTGGCTGTAGAAAGCGGAGCAAATCATATAGCCGGGCTATACGAAGTACGAAGCTATAAAAAAGTATAAAGTCAGGCTATAGTTCCTGTCGCCGGGCTTTACACTTTATCGCCATTGACTATAAAAGGCTATAAGAAATTGTGTAGAAATTCGTGTGCTTTGGATATCATTAAATTTGATACGGAACTACCTTAATATTTACGGAACACACATTATATTTTCCTTTAAAACATATTTTTCTTCATCAATTAAAATGAGAATAATCCATACAGAGTGTGCAAACATTTCAAAATCATGAGTTGAAAAGCGCTGACTCCGCGAGATTAAATATTAGAGCCTAACACAAAGCGGAGCGGCGACGCACTGGCGCCTTCAAACCTAACAGGGATACTTCACGCATTGCGCAATGCGTGAATTATCCCAGTTAGGTTTGTAGGCGCCAATGCGCGTTTCGCGCTCTCTGCCCGCCCGCCGCGCCGCAGCGTGCCACGGCGTCTGAAGCAACTATTTCACACCAGATGTATTGCACAGTATCATAAGAAATTGAAGGCGCTCCAACATATTAAGAATGACAGGCATCCTTCAAAATTACGGAGCTTTCCTAGCAAAATAAATCAAGATACTTCGGCACAAAAAGAGAGCGGTAGTCCAAAAACTAACTAAGTCCTAGTATCCGTATTTAGTAACGATTAGCATTAACTTTATCGTCTGGCTTTTACTTAATTGCCATCGGCTATAAGAGGCTATAAGAAATTGTACGGCCGGCTACATAAGCTATTGGAAATCTTACAGCCGGCTTTAGGTCTACAGTATTTTGGAACACACATTCTACTGTCAATTTTTACCAGGGCAGATAGCATAGCGTCAACGTACCCTGTAATTCTGCAATTGTTACAGCTCCTCCTCTGCAATTCCTGTTCACCGTGCATTATTCTTCGAATATAACGAGAGTTTTGCTTGATTTTAGTGGTGGCTTCATTTTCTCTACGGACTAACGGGAAAATATTACTAAATAACTCCCCACCCGGTCGAATGATTGACTCTCTCCAGGGAATCAGAGTTATTTCGACACTTACGATATTGGCGTTCCATCGGGCAATATATTTCGTTATTGTTCCGAGTATTAACCACGCTGATGTCCCCAGGAAGGTGAGGCCAATGAACTTTTGAAATGTCCGCTGCTATCTTACTTTTAAAATGAAAAATCACCAATACCTATTTCATTTTTGAACATTTTTGGACTGCCAATGAAAACGTATGAGGAGTTTTACTAATTAAAAACGTTGCAATGATTTCACTCACTTGATAAATGTGTCTAGAGATGAATTAATGAATTAATGATTAAGCAAGGATTCCAACAAATCTGTGTTCCCCCTCGTAAAGTTAAATTTCGATGTATAGAATAAAAATAAACAAATATGTGTAAGTGTAAGTCTTGATTCATACGTAAAAACGCATTTTTTTTAAAAGAAAATCTCCCAGAACTGATCAATGCTTAATGTGATCAAAGTCACTCAGAATGATAAAAGAAACTTGTAACCAGAATCAACTTGGATTTACAGTAGACTCTGGATTATCCGGATTAATTGGTGCCGGGCCCGATCCGGATGAAAAAGAAATCCGGATAATACTAGTAAACACAAACACCACCAACCAACACCACAGTATTCTTATTATGTATACATCATGTACATACCAACACGAATTTAAAAGGTCAACACCAAACTGAACGACTTAATGGTGGTTGTGAATGGTAGCCGACAACGATAAATTACAATGCAACGATCAAAGCGCGCAATGCGTGAAGTATTCATGCAGTCTTGTAGCCGCTAATGTGCGTTTTAGGCTTACTAACCGACTGCACTGCGTTTGGCGTAATGCGAGAAGTATTTATGCAATCTATAGGCGCTAATGCGTTCCACGCCGACCTCACTGTTTGGCGCAATGCGTGAAGTATTCCTTCAGCCTTGCAGGCGCCAATATGCCTTGCGACCGCTTCTCCGCGGATCCGCTCACTTATCGGAATGCGTACGTAGTTACATGGTTGCAAAATCGAGCCGGATAATCCAGAGTCCGGATAATACGAAGCCGGATAATCCAGAGTCTACTGTATATCACATCACCACAAATGTTTCTTCAGTCCCGAAACGGTTTCTACAAGATTCTCCCTTAGATGTGAAGAATGACTTTAAAAATGTCAAGTCAGAGTAGCATCGTGCAAATTATTCCGATTTTCCAGAGCTCTTCGTATCTGGGACAGACTATAGGCAACGTCAGGTGATGCTATGCTGATTCTCGTTACAGCCATATACAGGTGCTTTATCCTTTAAATACATCTTCAATATACTACACTGATCATTCAAGTATGCTGTTATCATTTAAAATATTATGGCTACCTATGAGAGAGAAGGTTTTAGTTTTGTCTTATTTCAGCTTACTCATAACGTATTGGAGCTGCTTGTGTTGAATGGAACTCTTGCCGTTGATGTTTTCTTTTTCATGGGTGGTACTGTGTTGGCCTACGGTTTTATAAAGGAGAGGAAGGCTCAGTTACCGTTCTCTTTTTTCAAGCATGTTATGTATCGCTATTTAAGGTAAAACAGATTTGTTCCGTAGATTCAATCCTGTCACAAGTACTTGAAGTAAATTATAACGGAAGTAAACTAGCAGCACACTCCAAGAGTTGAGCCCTAAAATATTCTTATGTTACCCTAAAATTAAAGCTGGAAGTGCGATAAGCAAAAGTCAACCGTTCTACCGGGCTAATCAAACGCTCCGCATTTCAATAGTCTCAGATTTATTTTAGGGTAAATTTATAGAATGATTTTTTTTTCTCTAGGATATAATAGGTGAGATGTGCTTGCAGGTGTAACCAGGGCCGGATTTACCTACTTGCCGCCCATGGGCCGCCTGTATTTTGCCATCCCCTTCTCATTCGTTTTGAAACATCAATAAAAACCACCAAGTGAACATGCCGGAGGGGGAGGGGTGCATAAGACGCGTTTACCTACTCATGTTGGATACATTTTTTGCCCTGTCAACACTACTAGTAAATACGGAACTTTGCGCGGAAGTTAAGTTCCGTAAACCTGTCTCTGTGTGGACAAGGTCCTCCATTTATAAGAAATGAACCAAAAAATTATGAAAGAACAAACATAAATGTGGTTGAATAATTTTAACTTATTCCGCCTGCGCCGCGCTGATAGCACTGTGTTTGGCGCAATGCGTAAAGTATTCCTGCAGTCTTGTAGGCGCTATGCGTTTCACACCAACCGCTCCTGACCGCACTCGCGCCGAGGGCTTGTCCTTTTCTTTTCAAGTCCTCGTCATCATTTCTCTCTATGCGCTAAGCTCCAGGCCAAATTGCGTGTTTAGTTCCTCTCTTAACTCGACTAATTGAAGATGCTGTCTCTTGTGTCACCGAAAAACGAAAAAAATCGAAATTATTATACTCTCGGGAAAGAGAGATTTTGTCCCCTTTTCTCATTGATAATTTTTTTTTTTCTGAATCCAATTTTTTTTATACCTACGTTATAAAAAAAATTGCAAAATTTGCCGCCCCCTAAATTTGCCGCCTTGGGCCGCGGCCTATGTGGTCACCCCCTTAATCCGGCCCTGGGTGTAACGGATCCAAAAAACTTGAAGTGAAATCGATATATTAGCAAGAACATTACGATTTAACTTTCGATGCAGACTCACTCTTACTTATTTACGAGTGAATGTAGTTAAAGACTCAAAATTGTATGGTGTGCGTTGCGGTCGAATGTATCGCAAAGTACCGCAACATTCACGATAACGCTTTTATGCAACCATACAGGCTCCAAGGACGGCTGTGTTGCATACATCAGAACCTGAAGGGGCTGAGACTTTCCTGATTACAACATATGGATTCAACTATGCATTATTCATGTTTCGAAGAGTGCCGTGTCGCCTTATCCAATATTACCCGCCACCTCACTCAAAAAACAAGTATGGGAAGAGTGACTTACCGGCCGAGTTATGGATCACGGGAAAAAATGACTGTGCGCGGATAACCATCTTGGTTTTGTTAATTAAAAGTTGGTGCCATATACATGAAAAAATTGATAGAATAACCAACGGCATTGTATTGTCCACAACGTCTTTAGGGAAATCAATCATTTTCAATTAGTTGCTACTAGCTATTACAAATCTGTTCACCGAGACAAAATTGATGGTAAACTGCTCCATCAAGTTGACTCATTGCACCAAAGAGTGCGCTTGCGCTTCACCTATCTTGTTTTTGGTTAATGCCACTCGGTTAAGTGGGCTCATTGAACTACAGAATGCTTTAGTGCAAATTATTAACTTGTTGATTATGAAGGTCACCATCTCAGATAACTCAATTAAAGTATTTTGTTAGTAGTCTGCCCCGTCAATTTTTTACGCTTTACCAACATTGAGTCACCAAAGAAAGCAATCAGATATGGGCTGATTAGGGAAAGTATGTTGATAAATTTTCAAGAATTCATATTCAACCCACCTTGTGTGACTGATAAGCGTGTAATAATATGTTCGTGGAGCGTACTCCTTTTCCCGTCCCTGGCTCGGGCGACGTTAAAGTTGCCGCAAAACTATATGACTTCGAGCAATTAATTATTCTTGACTCTGCTCGGTTTTAATGATAATTAAAGGGCATTTATTACAACAATTCAGAAACTCGGACGATGTTAAATTTTTTACTGATATGAAAAAACGGATTAAAACGAACTAAAATATTCATCAAAACCAAAAATTATTTCATTCTAAAAGTAAAGTATACCTCATATCGTAATTTTTGAGGGGAAAAATAAAACTAACACGGATAGGAGGTAAAAATAGGGCCGCGAAGCGGCCCATTGATGGCGCGGAGCGCCTTCAGGGGGTTTAACCGCGTAGCGGTCAGGGGGCATAGCCCCCTTGTATTTGACTATTTGCCTAGGCATTTGACAAAATGCCTAATTTTACTATTTGCCTGCGACATATCGATTGCAGTGTTTGAAAATTTCTTTCCTCCCCCTCCCTCCCCTTGGCACCAAGTTTTACGAAAATCCGACAAGCAGGAACCGGGATAGCGTTTTAGGCCACGCCCGCCACCTTGGTTTTTCGAAATTAGACTAAAAATTCGAATTTAATCGATAGAATGGGAGCCGATTTATCAATTTAGGCCACGTCCGCCGTCTTACATTTTCAAATTCAAAAAATTCAACTTGAAACGCATCATACCCGAAATCTAAGCTCAGATTCGGCTTCCTCGTGAAAAATCAATGCCATTTCATGTATCATATGTTACCATAGCATAAAGAAAAGAGGGTAATCGTAGGCGTAAAGATTCTATCAAAGCCGGCCGGTATACGGAAGTAGGCACAGAATCCAAACGTTTGAGCTACGCCGCCAGGCGCCGGCACCAAGCATTTGGTTCGTCCGTTTCCGAGAAAACAAACTTCTTCTTACTCATCAGCTGACCCACTCCGAATCACCCATGTTGCCACGTCGGACTGATATGTTAGAATCTACACGCCTACCTCAAACTCTTTCCTTCATGATATGGTGACATGTGATACATGAAATTGCATCGATTTTTCACAAGGAAGCCGAATCTGAGCTTAGATTTCGGATAACATGCGTTTTAAGTCTAATTTTCTTTTATCTATTTTAAATTACTCAGGAAAATTAGCGGAAACTCATTAGAATAACAGTGTGTATTCTTTTAAAAACATTGATCAGAAATAAAACATTGACGGTTTTTTAATCCATTAATCTCCGAGATAACTTGAACACGGTTGTTCTACGACTTTTTCTGTATGTTATTTTCTTCCGCATTGGTTGTCGGCAGCGCAGTGGCCAAAGGCCCCTGGTACTAATAATAGTTTTCAAAATCAATTTTTTTCTACATTCAAAATTCCAAGGAAATGGCAGAAATTTATTAATTGTTACTAATGTTTTAACAATTTTTCTTGTCAATTGTATGCTGTCATTAAGCTAAACATCCCAGGTTTACCTGTAGGCTAGGCATGCACTATATTTAACACCATGTCAAGGCTTCAGTACTTTAGAGGGGTAATTTTTTTATTTTCTATTCTACATGATCTCACTTGTTCAAGTAAGTAGCCTGGGCTTATTTGTCCAATGCTAGAAGTACTTTAGCCAATCATAAAAATAATCCTAGTCTGAAAATTTTGAATTGATTCTCGACATGAAAAGAAAAAAAGAAAAAATAGATAAATAAGATGCAGTTATAAATAAGAACGAAGAGATTTTTAATGAAGTATAAAAATTAAAATGAAGTGACTGAATTAAAGTAAAGAAATAAAAAATTGAAAGAAATAAAATAAAGTAAGTAACGGTAAAATACAGGGAAGAAATAAAGAATACATAATCAAAGAAAAATAATATTAAGTAAAGAAAAAACAATAAAGTAAAACATTAAAATTAAGTAAAGAAACGAAGGGGAAAAATTAAAATAAAGTAAATAAATAAAAGGAAATAATCAAAGAAAAATTATGTTACGTATAGAAAAAAAATAAAGTAAAAAATTTGAAATGAAGTAACGAAAAAAAATAAAGTAAAACATTTAAAATGAAGTAACGAAATAAAATAAAGTAAAAAACTGAAATAACGTTAAAAAATAAAATGAAATACAAAAATTAGAAAAATGAATGAACCAATCTAAGTATGTAGATTGAATATCCTGGTTTCCCGTTCAAATCGAAGCTATGTAGAGGTTTTTCGGTCAAGATTCTCATCATACTGTATAGCTCAATCGTTAGGGTCTTCGGCTGGGGTATGGTAGGTCCCAGGATCAATTCCCGCGGTACGCAAAAAATTTGATAGGTCGGAGACGACTACAGCACCTCACAATAAGTACTATGTAGTCTCATTTTACTCGATTTTGAAATTTATTTACGCGATCAACCCTTTTCCACCATCCCCTAGCTGCGAACCCCGACATTGCACACCTTTGTATTCAATTTTTTTTATCTGTACGTTTTACAAGAAAATACTCCTTTATTTTATGGCTAAAAACACAAAATATTAGGTTCTCCTTGCTTTCATGATTGATACACTAAACATCCGGATGGGTCAGTTTACCATCTTTGAAGGTCTATCTCAGCAACGCTGTGCGGGAAGTCCACGGAGGACGGCACGCCCGCCCAGCAGTGTTGGTGCGAATTACCATCTTTGTTGTCAACGCCTACCTGATCGCGGTTTGAGGTTTCTAACCATCATACATTTGTGCTCGTAGCAAAATTGTTCTCAAGGGTCGAATCTGGGAATCCAAGATGGTAAATGTCACCTACTATCTGGCTATAAGCACCAAAGATTTTTTTCGTGATCATGGAACTATAGAATATAGTTCGTGGAGCCATGCTTATAGGTTCACGACCAATAAAGTATGGCTCAGAAAGCCATACTGTGGACGGTAAGTCACTTTGGTTAGAAATTATGGATCTCCGAGCCATTTTTTATGGGTCTTAGAGTCATACCTTTTTTTGAGTGATGTTAAAGCGCCCATTTAGGGGGTACGTCCCCTGACTGCTCCGCGGTCCACCCCCCCCCCCCCCAGCGCTTCGCGCTCCCAGGTTTTTGCATTACTCTTCTGATCTTATAATATAGAGTCATGAGAGTATGAGAGTATAAGTGTAGAGTATGAGTATGAGTATGATATGAGTGTAATTTGAATTTATCTTTCATTTCAAGGATTACTCCGGCATACTTATTTGTGATTTTGGTATACATCATGATATTTTACGACCTTGGCTCTGGACCTATATGGGATCTTTTTGTCGGTCCTCAAAGGCAAAATTGCCTCGATAACTGGTGGACCAATATGTTGTACATCAACAACTACTGGAATAACAGCGAATTCAAATCTGTGAGTATCAAATAAGCGATGCGACTTTCATAATAAATCGCATCATAATTTAAATATACTTTTTAGACCGTCATCAAGAAAAGGAGCCTCCTTACACAGAAGCAAAGAATTTTGTTAAAAAATGTATACAATTAATTTTACGAAGGCTTTATCGTATAACTGGAGGTAATATTGCAGTATGGATCTAAGTATAACTCAATTCACCAGGAAAACTTTACTGAAGTGGATAAATTTTATCGAGTACTTAATTTATTACTCCTCATCTGCATGAATAAAATTCAGCTCCTCATTAAAGCAAGAAAGCATACCTAAATCAGGGCCTCTGATAAAACGAATTAGTGGTATTTTATTCGCAGTTTCACACGCAAATATATAGGGTGTTTTGATACTTCGCAATGGCTGAAACGAAGTTAGGTGCTCCTTTGCATTAGCGCACTAAATCAATTCACTCCTAACTTTGTATTGTGTCGGTAACAGTGTTTGGGGTACACCTGGTATCTGGGTGCGGATATGCAATTTTATGTGGTGGCACCTCTGTTCCTGTTCGCTCTTTTAAAATACCGGAAGTGTGGCATTTTTCTGATCGTGATCACATGTTTCGCATCGAGCGCTTATTCTTTCTGGGTTACCTACATCAAAGACTATCCTTGGACTTTCACCATAGATTACAAGTTAGTTGATATTTTAATTCTGTTCACAATTAGGTCAAAATTTTAGTCTATACATCTTATCGGGAACAATGACCAGAAGCGGTTAAAAACGTTTGTTACAGAGAGGGATTCTGTTTAAATTTACATTCAATGTAAAAATGAAATTGTTATGATAATTTAAAGAATTCACTCGTCAATTATCCTGATTTTATGCTGATTGAACAAATTATCAAATCATTTCTTTTTAGAGCGCTCAAGTTGCAATTTTTTCCCAACGGTTATTTCTTATTATACGCACGAAGAAACTAGGCATTTGGACAGTTATTCAGAAATAAGTATTTCCTGTCGATCTTTAGATATCCGTTATCAAAATACGAGTCTGTTCTTATGGTGCAACTTGCAACTGAGAAAATGCATACGAAAATGCGTTGAATTTGAAGCAAAGTGGAGGAGGGAAATTTTTCGCAAATACCTGGAAAGATTTTTGGATCCTGCATTTATGCTAAATTCTTTTGTAGTATTAGAGTCAAAATTTCGTGTTCCTTGAAACTCTCATAATGTTAAGAATTTTTGTAAGCCCTGCTTGCATACGGAGTAGCTTCATGACTTTTTAAAGGTACTTGATTCAAAAAGTTTTAAACATACAAACAAATCCCCCCCCCCCTAAAAAAATTGCATATGAATACCTTATGAGGAGTCATGAATATGAAGTTTAAATGTGTGTTCTGCTCGCTTTTGTATAAAATATCATTGCCCATGTTCACTCATCTCCCTAATCAATGAAGCTCCACAGACCAACATCAAATCTCGTTCTTTTTTACCAGTGTGTTGAAACGCAGTCGCTTCCAAATGGAACTTTACTTTCCAGCACATGCAAGACTACCGCCTTTTTTGATAGGTCTCTTGTTTGGGTATCTGCTCGACCATTACAGGAAAGAGAAAATGAAGATGCATTTGGTGAGTGAAAGCTGTAAATATTTGTAAGATACCCAGGGCCGGATTTACCTACTTGCCGCCCATGAGCCGCCTGTATTTTGCTGCCCCCATCTCATTCGTTTTGAAACATCAATAAAAACCGTCAAGTGAACGTGCCGGAGGCAAAGGGATGCATAAGACACGTTTACTCGTGTTGGATACATTTTTTGCGGAAGCCCCGTCAACACTACTAGCAAAAATTCACGGAACTTGGCGCCAAAGTTAAGTTCCGTAAACCTGTCTCTGTGTGGACAATGCCTTCCATTAATAAGAAATGAACGAAAAATTATGAAAGAACAATCATAAATGTGGTTCAATAATTTTAACTTCCACCGCCGCGCCGTGCTGATCGCACTTTGTTTGGCGCAATGTGTGAAGTATTCCTCCACTCTTGTAGGCGCTATACCTTTCACGCCGACCGCTGCTGACCGCACTGTGTTTGACGCTATGCGTGAAGTATTCATGCAGTCTTGCAGGCGCTAATATGTGTTACATGCCGACCGCCGCGCCGAGGGCCTCTCTTTTTCATCTCAAGTCCTCGTAATCATTGCTCTCTGCGCCGCGCCGCTCTAGGCCAAATTGCGTGTTTGGTTTTTCTCTCAACTAGACTAATGAAAGGGCAGCCAACCCTCTAACTCAAAAATGTCATTGACAAAATTCAGATTCCAATGTCAGACCAAAACGGCCAAGAATGTTCATAAATGAGCGTTCTGGCCAAATTGCGTGTTTGGTTTCTCTCATAACTCGACTGATTAAAGGTGCTGTCTTTTGTATCACCACAAAACGACGAAATTAGAAATTACGATACTCACAGGTAATGCAAGATTTTGCCGCCTTTTCCCGTTTGCAATTTTATTTTTATACCTACATTTAAAAAAAATTGCAAAATTTGCCGCCCCCTAAAGCCGCCATGGGCCGCGGTCTATGTGGCCACCCCCTTAATCCGGCCCTAAAGATACCTACTATAGTTCCGAGCTACTACTTATTCGATGTGGATGTAAACTGGTTGGAGAGACCAAGACAGTAGTATAGTATGTAATATCCCCATCTTTATTTGACGATCAGAAACTTGATGCTGGGATAGATTATTAGCTACTTCATAAGTTTCAATCATCGTAAAAAGATTCTGTGGCACATATATCGGACCCATTTAAGGCATATCTCCAATGTCCTAAATTAACATACGTATTTTCAACCTTCGATATCAAAATGTGCTTAAAAGCACAGAGAGGGATGGATTAGAACGAAGAATATTATAAAGTCCCACTCTCAAAAGTACTTGAAATTTGAAGCGTCTGATTCGAATATTTTTAATGTTACCCGAAAGCCAAAATTTCAATTTTTTTTTAAAAAAAAAATGGTTTCTCCTACGGTACAATAGAATAATTTTACTCAGAGTACCAAGCTGGAGCTCGTTAAACTTTTCGTATCATGTCACTGCATGTCGTAAACATTTGCTCCTTTTCAGTGGTCGAGAGTGATCGGTTGGATCACTGCCATGATTTTTATGATCTCTGTCCCATATGGACTGACCTATTTCTACTGGTATGGGTCTGGACCATTGCTCTCTGCTCTTTACGCGGCCTTGCATAGGCCGTTATTTGTTCTATCCGTTGCATGGATTATTTTCAACTGTGATCAAGGTTATGCAGGTAAGGTTTAATGAACATCATCATTTGGTCAGGTTAGGTTACGTTAGGTTAGGCTCAACCAAATCAAATTAATTTTTGCCAATTAGCCGCAATACCATGTTTAAGAATTTGTCATTTGATTGATATGATAATGATATTTTAGTTGAGTAGAAAGGAGGAAGATAGTTAAAGTCCAAGTTCCCTATCGAAAATTTTCCTTATCACCCGAGAGTCAATTGTTTTAACTTGATAAAACTTACCATTCTCTCTACTGCCTTGATTGATATTTCACAAAGTAAAGGTGAAGAAGTATACGCGGATGCTGTGCTGCGCCACTGCACTATACTAAGAAAGAGCACAGTATATCAAAGAAAAAGAGGCTGTAGGGGGACTTGTATTTTAAAATTCATTCTTATGCGTTTGAAGGGAGAAAATTATTCAGAAACTACGACGGCAATTGAACTAAATATTAGTTCGTAATATTTGGCGTTATATGTATAAATTTGAAGCTAGTTCATTCCAAAAAATGAACGAAAATGTCTTTAAAATGAATAATATGTGATGCGTTTGTTTGCAGTATGCGCAAACAACACTTGTAAAAACAAATAAATAGTTATGGACCATATTCTGAATTTTCTTGTAAAATATCATTATCTCTTTATATTTTCAGGCCCAGTAAACTCGTTTCTGTCACATCAGTCCTTCCAAGTGCTTAGCAGATTAACTTTCTGCTTCTATCTGGTTCATTGTACTTGCATGCATTACGATATTGGGACCAAACGCTCTGCCATATACTTCTCTTATTTTAATATGGTGAGTATAAGAGGGTAGTGAAGCCTGAGATACCTTTGGATAGTGGATACAAAATATGAGGGATATAAAAAGGGTCATTAGAATGGGAGGGTAAGATAGAGCCACAGGTGGTGCAATGGCGAGACTGCATGATAGCTGGCCACCACTACTGGTCCCGCATCATCTGTAGTTTCAATAATGAACTAATGCCGGAGGCACATCAAAATAAGGAATCTTGAAGAAAAATACTGACGGCTGAGCCTGAAATGGCGCCGCAAAAATACTGAGGTCAAAAATATACGTATGATAAATACTCCGAGGGTTATGAAACTTTCAGCAATATTATCAGCACCCCTGCCAGTAAATAAGAAAATATTGCGAAGGTATTTTCAAATAATTTTAATTTGTGATCAGACCCCGTATTGAAAATGTTTTCTTTAAAAATGTTTCAGTTCCAGGCCGTAGCCTCTGATGTCATCATTTTACTTCCATGCGCCACCGCTGTGTCACTTATTTTGGAACATCCGTTCATTCACCTCAACAAGCTCATTTTCAAAAAAAGATCAGGGAAAGTTGCGCAATCAGAGCACCCTGTGAATACCACTAAAAGCGCCTGGGTCATTACACCGGAGCTGGACCAGACTTCGACACACACCAACATCTCGACGACAACATTAGTAAGCTCTGCTTGGACGCTCAGTTAGGCAAAGCGAATGCCAAGTCGCTGGATGAGAAAAATTCATCCGATGATCCGATGAGAAAGCAGGGAACACTGTCGATGATGGACACCTTTACCGACTTGCTTTGATAGGAACAGCATAACAACATTGAGATTATATAGAAGTTACGTGCATTCTCAAAGTTTTGCTTGAGACTATCACCCGACGAAAAAGCAACAAACTCCGACGAGGATAGAAAACTTCAGAGTCAAGCTCGGCAAAAATCGCGCATTCTGTCGGGATTTCATTGAATTTACGGGCATTTCTATACCAGCTCTTGAACATAGGCACAATGTCATTTTTAATTCGGATGACAACTTGCAAAGTGCGTGCGCGTCGCACAGTGGATCGAGTCAGTAGGAGAGGTCGGACAAAGATTGGAAACTTTAAACGCTTATAACTTCGTTGATACAAAAATGTGAGGTTCTATAAGTGGTTCCATTGGTTTTTTCGTAAAATTTTTTTCCAGACCTACCCCTTGAAATTTGAAATGTGACGAAATTCACATCAAAATTTGCAGTCTCAGTAAAAAATTTCATGTCCGACCTCTCCAATGGACTCGATCCACTGCACTGCGCGTCGCGTCACTGCGCTTCTAACTCGAATGCCCTCACTTCTACCGATAGGATTCTCGCTGTCAAAATTTCAAAAAAAGAAAGAAAAGAAATTAGGTCGGCTCAATAGGCATAGGTAAGATATAGTTTTTGTTACAACATGAACCCAAAAATCAAACCTTTCGGAGCAATATGGATGCAAAGTTGAGAGGGACCCTTTGAACGAACTGTCTTGTAATTTTTTTTTTTTTTGCCAGCAATACATTTTGACCAAAAATAAAATATTAAATGAGAATTCTAAGGAGCTCAAACTTTCAAAATTTAAATTTTGTGGTTCTGGGAAAAAAATTTTCAAGATAGATCGTCTATTTTTTTTTTTTTTTTTTGTCTATTTCCAGAGCCAATAAGCCCTAGAAAGTGCAAAATGTCATGAGTGTGCTCAAAGGGGGGTCTGAAACTTTAATAACAAAAACCAAGTTTAGGATTCATTGTACTGACTTTGCATCCCTTACTCTCAGGGAATTTTAGAAATTATGTCCAAAATAAGACAAAAGTCATATTTTCACATTTACGTCATCCTTCCAATAATTTTTCACGGATAGTTGAAAGCTTTTTAACGATATAATTTAAATCTCGCCAACACCTTCAAATTTTCGAGAAAAAAATTACATGATTATCCGATGCTTTTACCTTGATCTCTCGCAAATATAGCTTCAATTTTTGAGTAAAAACGATATTTTTACTTGTTCTTATAATGGAAATGCACAAAAGTACATAGAGGGAAAATATTAGCTTAATCTCGATTTTATTCTTTTGTGGTTCGAAACAAAAGAAATTATATTTTTATTTCTAAAGATGTTTTTACTCACTGATAGAAGTGTCTTAGGAAATATCCCAAGTAATTAGTAGATATTTCAAAATTGTTGGATTATTTTAATGTGGAAGAAATTAGCGGGGGCGCTTGTTAGACCGTGGCATTTTTACCCGGTTTTTCTTTCCGGAGAAGGTTACGCTCAATCAAGCTCACGGCCAAATCTCGCTCTGGAGCAGTTAACGACAGTAATTATTAGGAGCCGCGCATGACAATTTTATGGAGGATTTTCAATTTTACGTGCAGTATTTGCGAAAGAAGAATGAGATGAGACCAGCATTTTAGCCTACTCAGTTGGCCACGGAAAATACGTGGAAGTTATGTGGGAGATGTTTTCTCTTCCACATCATGGCTCTTAAGTCGATTCTTGTCCGTTAAGTTTGTGCGATTGTCTGATCTTGCAGTGCCAAAATGAATGCATCGGCATGGATGCTCAAGTAAGTATCATTTGGACATAACTAAACCATAACTCTACACGTCTCCTCGGGTCATAAAGTTCGCCGCAAATCAATAAAAATTTTCATTGAACCGTCCGTCGTTCTGAAATTGATAGGGTTTAAGACGTTATGACTTCATCGATGAATTCGCATTAGAGAATCTTCAGCCCACTCGAGCGTCACACAAAAATATTCTGAAAATTAAAATTTAAGCTCTGATAATGGCACTTTAGATTTGTGTCAATACATTGTCTGAACAGTATGTATGCAATTTCCAGAATTAATTGAATTTTACAAACTAAATATTATACAATTATTATGCAAAAGATGTCAATACATTTATTTTTGCTCAATATCCAAAGAAACTTCAAGAGAGTGATTGGGGAGTAGAAATTGCCACCAAAAAATGAAAAATAAAGGAAAATATGTTCTTACCGTCTACAAACCTTTTCTCTCTTTAATGATTTTTTTTTTATTTTGGACCTTCGCCCTCTATGTGGGGGCAAAAATTAACCGTCATAATTCTGCCGGTCAATTTTCATTCTAGGTCTTTTTAATAACAACTAAAAAAGACTAAAGAAATTCCAGTATTGTATGCATCTAGGTATGTTGTAATAAAATGATGTGCTATAATGAGATATTTTGTCTTTTCTTTATTTTAAACTCTTCTGTTCCCCGCAGCAACAACAGAACCTGCTGTAGGTATTTAGTGCTGTTTTAGTGGCACACTATTTCAAGCCTCACGGTAACTCTCCTAAAATACCTATATCATATGTACTGAGGATAAATTTGAATAATTTATGAAAAGGTTAGGGAAATGTTCCAGGTTTATGGCACTTAAAATATTTATTCGCATAATATCTAAGGACGTGCGCTGAGAAAAAATGTAGGCCAATTCACGCAATTTTTGACGCAAATCTTTAAAATAGTAATTGGCACAGCTCCAAAATTGTTCACAGAACATTTTCATTTCGATCTTAAAAATGTTTGTGTTCCAGATTGGTAATATCGGCGATACTCTTTCTTCTGACACCACCTGCACAGACCTTTTCGGATGAAGATATAGAAACGACTATTAACCGTAAGAATAATTAGTGTTTTTCTTTGACTTTTTCCAATGCAGGAGAGAATAGAGCGGTTGATTCTGCTTTCCGCAAGAAATGAAACTGCGACCATGAAGCATGCCTTCTGGAAAGTATTCAATACTCACGGTACATAGGAAAAATTGAGGAAGGACTAAACTGTTTGGTCTGAGAGAAGAAAAGTGGAATGAATGATGAAGAAGAAAAATCCAAAAGCTTAAAAATAAAACTCGACGGGAATTGAAAAATTGAAGTATTTTCAGGATGCATACATAGATGATAGAACTACGGAAAGAAATGAAATTTCAAGAAAATGGACCGGAAGGTGCTGGCGTCAAAAATAGCATAGAAAACCTCTCTAATCTTTGTATAAAAGTGGTCCAAATCATCCAGAAGATTCTTAGAAATTTTTCGGATGGTTAAGAATCAGCTAAGTACAAATCAACAATTGATAAAGGACTTATTTGTTCCATGCTATACAGGCTCCTTCATTCTCGCGTAATTATGTTTTTCACAAATACAAAGCAAATTTTAGGGTTAGTATGACAGAAAAAAGTGCCGATTTTGCACACGACAGCTGAAACACGACTGTCTTTCAGGATAGAGACAACTTGCTAATCTTTAGCAACTCTTGTAATTTTAAAGATAAGATAAATTGCGCTGCTTTATTGGTATCATTCCGTTAATTTGAATTAAATGAATCAGTAAAATTTTAAAGGATATTTTATTTTGAAAATTTGGCATCGTTCTTTCTTGGAATTTTTGCTTATGAATCATCGAACAACGATATGTACTCCTTGAGTTGTTGCGAGAACGAGCGAAGCTAGGGCACCTTGGTTTTTTTAGGTATGCAACATGGAAATCCACTGAGCGCAAATTGTCGCTGTCAGCGCCGTGCGGCAGTTCGTTCTTTCCGCAAAATACTATGTAACAATAAATATGGGCGTGGCCAGTGAGATATGCGGATCCAGAGCGAAACCGAGCAGAAAGCCATGTGGAAAAAGTGACTGTGTGCTTAAGATGTTAATTTTAAAGCTTATGGGCCTTCATTGGGACCTCTCTCGAGAGAGAGTTTGAGAAATAATGATCTTGGGTTAAAATTTCTGCAAATTCAAAACATTTTTTTTCTTTTTGAAAAATAAAAAAAACTAAGATTGATGGTAAAATTGAAGGATTTTATTATTTTAAAAGTATTTGTTCGCCGAAAAAGAAAATCAGCGAAAAGATGCACAAATAATCAGGGCCGGATTTACCTACTTGCCGCCCATGGGCCGTCTGTATTTTGCCGCCCCCTTCTCATTCGTTTTGAAACATCAATAAAAACCATCAAGTGAACATGCCGGAGGGAGAGGGGTGCATAAGACGCGTTTACCTACTCATGTTGGATTCATTTTTTACGAAAGCCCTATCAACACTTCTAGTAAAATTTCACGGAACTTAGCGCGAAAGTTAAGTTCCGTAAACCTGTCTCTGTGTGGACAAGGTCCTCCATTTATAAGAAATGAACCAAAAAAGTATGAAAGAACAATCATAAATGTGGTTGAATAATTGTAACTTATTCCGCCGCCGCGCTGTTAGCACTGCGTTTGGCGCAATGCGTGAAGTATTCCTGCAGTCTTATAGGCGCTATGCGTTTCACGCCAACCGCTCCTGACCGTACTGTGTTTGACGCAATGGGTGAAGTATTCATGCAGTCTTGTAGGCGCTAATATGTGTCACATGCCGACCGCCGTGCCGCGCCGAGGGCTTGTCCTTTTCTTTTCAAGTCTTCGTCATCATTCCTCTCTGCGCTAAGCTCCAGGCCAAATTGCGTGTTTAGTTCCTCTCTTAACTCGACTAATTAAAGACTCTTGTATCACCGAAAAACGAAAAAATTCGAAATTACTATACTCTCAGGAAAGAGAGTTTTTCCCCTTTCCTTATTGATAATTTTTTTTTCTGAATCCGATTTTTTTATACCTACATTCAAAAAAATTGCAAAATTTGCCGCCATGGGCCGCATTCCATGTGGCCATCCCCTTAATCCGGCCCTGCAAATATGGTCAAGAGATAAACTGAGATACGAGAGATACGTATCTGCACAATTAAAAAAAAATTAGTTTTGTGGTCACAATTTACTTGATTATTTTTAGAAACGATGAATTCTTGCTTTTGATCTCATAAGGAGGCTTATCTTTTCTTCTGTTCCCTCTTCTTGTATCCTCCTTTTTTCTCCTTTTTTTATCTTCCTTTACAACTCTCTTTTTATCGGTCCGACGGTATTTGAGGCATGCATTTTTTTATTTCACACTTCAAATTAATTTAAGACAGCCCGAGAATAAAAGCCAGTAGATGAAGCTTGTAAATTAGTTCGTGTATGACAGGTTCTTTGTAAATAAATTAATTGTAATTAAATTTTGAGGTAAAAACTACATGATCTGAAAAATTACGCAAGTGTTACCGCCTTAAAATCCATTGAAAAGCTGGATTTAAAAAATGTATTTTAAAAAAAATGCACAGTATATTTATTATATTTAACAGTAGCATCATCAAAGATGCTTGTCACACCGTGAATACACCATTCAGTGACTTCTATCATCATCGTTGACCCGTGTGTAAACATTTGGCGATGTCACCACAGTGAAATCAACATAAATGGTCACTCTCACACAATATTTAAAATCACAATATGCGGAATGCCATATATAGTAGCCACAGGCTGTGGTAGCGAGGCTTATTGATTTTATCGTCGTTTTATATTCAAGGCAAGTTCGAGAAACCATTTTTTCTTTTTCTTTTTTTTTCAGGGGAAATCGTTGAAAAGCTCAGTTCACTTCCCGGTCAGGACATATGTGGTACAAGCAGAACCATCCAAGGCCGCATTGTTGGAGGAATGCCAGCAAAGTTGGGTGAGAAGTAAATTTTTTTCATGTACTTTTCGTGGAAAAGATTCTTCAAAGTTCAACCAACTTCTTTTTCAAGACGACTTTCAAGTCTGGCTGAACGATGAAACAATATTTTGACTGTGAGACTCCCAAACTACGTATTTCGTTTTTCGTGTCGCAAAGTCGCCGCTCCCTTTTTATTTTTTTGAAGGAGAAGAAATCGAAAATATTCCTTGAAATTTTCTCAGAATTTTCCTCGCAGAGAGAAGAAAAATCAAGGAGATTGTAAAGAATTGACGTTGAGTAGTTCTCCGTTTAAAAAATAGAAAATGACCGGAAGACTGCAACGTCGCAAACCGAGATACAATAATTTGGATGTTTTGTCATCGATCTTTTTTTTTTAAATAAACGTTATTAGAGAATTTTTACATTTCCGTAGTCTGTTTTGCAACTTTTGATTTCATCAGCATTGAAAAAAGAGGTATATCATATTTCGTTGTCGATACTTTTATTTGAAAGAAATCAAATAATAAAAGGTGAAAATAATCTGACCTTTACCTGAACTTTTGATTTTCATTCAAGTTTTTATTTGTTTTATAGGCGATTGGCCCTGGGCTGTGGGCATGGGGCTGACATTGAAGTATAATAACGCTTATAGGTTTGCTTGTGGTGCTGCACTTTAAATAAACGTTATTAGAGAATTTTTACATTTCCGTAGTCTTTTTTGCAACTTTTGATTTCATCAGCATTGAAAAAAGAGGTATATCACATTTCGTTGTCGATACTTTTATTTGAAAGAAATCAAATAATAAAAGGTGAAAATAATCTGACCTTTACCTGAACTTTTGATTTTCATTCAAGTTTTCATTTGTTTTATAGGTGATTGGCCCTGGGCTGTGGGCATGGGGCTGACATTGAAGTATAATAACGCTTATAGGTTTGCTTGTGGTGCTGCACTAATTTCTAACAGACATTTGGTAACGGCTGCTCACTGCTTTAAGGATTTTAAGGAGCCTTCGTTTCAACCTAAAAATCAACATTTCGATACCGAAGGGTTCGTCAATCTATACTTCGTTATTACATTTAAAATGGGCAATTAGGCAAGGTGCGAATTTAAGCATTACCATGTATGTATTCTCCACGGATCTGAGACGCTGAATGTCTTAAAATTATAATAACTAACTAACTAATTAATATTTTTGGCTGATGTAGTAGAATCGAGCATTAAAACACAATTCTTGACCAGCGTAACTGACCCATTCTTATGTGACCGATTGATTATGGCACGCAATTGTCGGATTGATCATAACGTCATATAGAGAAAAATAAAATTAGCTTTTTTTCGACGGTCCACATGACTTTCGCGGGGTTCAGGAAAATTGTCACCATGTGCGGAAAGATTTTCCTGAGGACAGTCGCCAGCTGTCCGCAAAAACAGAAATAGACTACTGGGGCGGAATGGTCGTCCGCCGACCGACCTGACGTACAGATTTTGTACCTCACGTCATTTTTTACTCTCCGTAAATTTTTCTGATGCCAGAGACTATGTTACGTCAAAATCTCAAAATCAGATCTCTTGACTCAACTCTACAAAAATATTCCACTGACACATTTGCCGTCCGCGTCCGTAGACAAAGGTCCTTTTCTCCTCGGCTGGTTCCACATATATTTATTTTACTATTTCTTCGACTGATTTTGATTTTACTTTTACACAGAAAAACGATATAGTGCTGAGCACTTACTGCTTAGATCAAATGGAGCCAGCTGATTTGATAGTACTGCTGAGACCTGCAGTCTGTAGGGCTGGACCCTTAAGTTTTGGGGTTCAGCGCTACTGCCATATACTAGCTGGCTCCACTTGATCTAAACAGTTAGCGCTCAGCACTATATCGTTTTTCCGTGTAGCTATTGTTCATTTAAGAGTAGAATCAATCATTTCTGTTACTGAGCACTGGTGTGATTGCAACTTCTAGGATGGCATTTAGGATCGGCGAGTTAGTTTTGAACAATACAATCGACGAGAGAGCCACACCGAAGATTTATCGGCCCGCAAAAATCGCTGTGCACCCGAGATTCGGCGATGATACAACGGAGGGCTTCGACATCGCAGTTATCACCCTGGATTCCGAGGTACAATTCACAGGTAATGGACTGTTTCAGTCCTACTTCATCTTCGGGCGTATAGGTACAGGCGGATCCGGCAACTTGGCAACATCGGATCACCCCCATTTAAACCTATGCTAAATAATCGATTCTTGTCGGAGCACTTGGTCCCTCCAAAAATCGATAAATTTCCATAGGACTAAATGGAGAAAAAACAACGTTACCAATGGAGATGTTGGATGTGTGAGGAATTTACGATTTGACTATTGATTCTTACGTAAAAGTTCACGAGAAACACGATGGTGCCACTGGTTTTCTCTGAAAGCAACTCCCAGGTTCAAGAAAAGCTCTCCAAGTTGAGGCCAGAATGGAGGAGATATCCCACGCTATCCTGAGAGTCCACCTCTACATCAAGACAAACTCTCCATGCAAAGATAGGGAGCAAATACATTGACAGGGCTGTCGCACTTTATTTGGAGACTCTAAAACTGAAAACACGGCAACCCTGCTAATGTATTTGCTCCCTATCTTTGCATGGAGAGTTTGTCTTGATGTAGAGGTGGACTCTCAGGATAGCGTGGGATATCTCCTCCATTCTGGCCTCAACTTGAGAGCTTTTTTTGAGCTTGGGAGTTGATTTCAGAGAAAACCAGTGGCATCGTGTTTCTCGCGAACTTTTACATAAGAATCAACAGTCAAATCCCAAAATCCTCACACATGCAACATCTCCATTACAAACTCATGACGATCCAGGCAAAATGACAAAAATACCTTTCTACTTGCAACTTTTGGCCTCTATATAGACCCCGTTAAACAGAAAGGAACCAAGCCACCATCAGCTTTTGCTAAAAAATGGGCCTTTTTACATGAAAACCATTGTGCGGGTTTTCGTGCAAATTTCAGTGAATTTTCTCCATAGTGCGAAGCGAATGCCTTACAATTTTCAAGGGAATCCGCACAAACGTTCTCTTATAAAAAATTAAATTGCCCAGTTAAATTTGGCAGTAGCTGATGCGGCTCGCTTCCTTTCTACTTACCGCGGTCCATGTGATCGATTGATAAGTCAGGTGACAGAATGAATAGAACAATAAATAAGTACCGATGAAGAAAACCTGCATAAAATTATTGGAGCTTGCGTATTGCGTAAGTCTCGACTGAAACATGAGCACAACAACCACGGTCATGGTAACATGACCATGATGCATATCTTACAAATTATATTTAATTCTTTGGAAAGGAAGAAATTAGTTCCAACAATAATAATTAAGGACGTGCGGCATTGGTCAGAAATTCAGTTCGTATAATAACGTAGCAAAGGAATACTTTCAGGAACCATGAAATCTCCCGAGAATTCTGGACGAATTATTAATTAATTTTATGAAAACTTCTTTAGTCAGTGACATATTCTCCAGCAATAAGTACTGACAAAGATTTCCCCTTGAAAGGGGAAAATATTTTTCTCAAAAAAACCTGACCGCAAATTCGCATTTCTTCCTCTTTTCTCGTTGTATTTTAGGGAAATTTCTGGAACGAACACCATCCGATTTTAAATTGCAAGCTTATCGCTCATTCACTTCTCTAACTTCCGGGCTTCAGAACGGTTCAATTAGCACAATTCTCACTGTTTTTCTCAAATTTTTACTTCTGTTTAAGTTTTTTTAAGAGCTACCAATTCCATTGCTCTAAAAATCTGTATACTAACTTTCAGTATTGATTTCAAAGATATTTTCAGGAGAAATTTCACTTTTACCCATTCTGATGCTATAATCATTTGGAAAGATTTTGCGAGTTCAAAAATTAATTAATGTAAGGCAATGTTGAAATCAACTTTATTCATATAGTGGCAAGTTTAAAATTGAGTAATGTCCAAAATTTCAGTACACTACTATTGTTTCTTTAAAATCTCAATCATAATGTGATTATTTCAGATAAAATTAATATTTCTGAATGTATCACTGTTTTAAATGTTATTATAATGACTCACACTTGAATGTAGAAGTCTGGAAAAACCATTTGCCTGTTTCAGTTTATCCACTCTCGATTAATTTTTGTTATCTTCGCATGATCCAATTTATGAATTGATAGATCTCATCAGACCCATTTGTCTTCCCATCAGAGATTTTTTCTTCAAGGATGACTTTGAAGGAGAAACGGTAACCGTCGTCGGTTGGGGTAAACGGCAAGATAAAAGTAAGTATTCGTATATTTGCATTCAACGGATTTTATTTGCCTCTTTTAAAATTTTGGCGGATTTACTTAGAGTTTTAAAAATTCATAAAGTCTTAGAACCTAAAGACCTTGAAACCCTAAGAGGATAAGTTTCTCGAAAATTTAACACTTTAATTTACTGAAACTTGAAAAATCCTAAAATCAGAGCACCAAAATGCCAATAAAATAAAGGTAGTAGTAGTAATATAATTTTATTTTAAAGCGGTGCTTTAGCATCTAAGGCCATTTACACCTCTAAAGAAGGCAGTAATAGTAATAAATTTATATTGAAATTAAGGTTGAAGAAAAAAAGAAAGAAAGTAGTAGTAAAATAATGTTATTTTAAAGCGGTGCTTTAGCATCTAAGGCCATTCACACCTCTAAAGAAGGCAGTAACAGTAATAAATTTACATGGAAAAAGAAAGAAAGTAGTAGTAGTAAAATAATTTTATTTTAAAGCGGTGCTTTAGCATCTAAGGCCATTTACACCTCTAAAGAAGGCAGTAATAGTAATAAATTTACATGGAAATTAAGGTTACATCAGAAAAAATACAAGAGGGGAAAGGTTAAATTTTGAGATTAGTGGAGCGCATAAATTCAAAAAGTTTCACAGGATAAAGAAAGAAAGAAAGTAGTAGTAGTAGTACTAAAATAATTTTATTTTAAAGCGGTGCTTTAGCATCTAAGGCCATTTACACCTCTAAAGAAGGCAGTAACAGTAATAAATTTACATGGAAATATCAGTAAAAATACAAAAGGGTTGAGGAGAAAGGTTAAATTTTGAGATTAGTGGAGCGCATAAATTCAAAAAGTTTTACAGGATGAGTATTCAGAAGTAAATTTGTAAGAGAGGGTAAGGGGTAGGGAAATAGTGGAGCGCATAAAGAAAGAAAGAAAGAAAGAAAGAGAATTCTACCGCATGGTAACGCTTTTTAATTTGAGTAAAAGTTTGTGTAAATTTATAATACGCTTTTCCTTCCTTGTTTAAGCCCTCCCTCATCACCTCCTCAAGAGGCGGAATTGACCAAGGTAGGGCTACGAGTACGGCCCTCTGTTGTGCAACTGAAATTAATTGGACTGCATTTTGCATTAGGGACTACAGCTTCTGGCTTATCTGTAAAAATACGTATAAGCATGGGGAAACCAACGATACATACGTTGTTTCTAAACTGAGTTTGGATTTTTAGTTCCAACTTGCAAAATGTGGTCCAATTGGAGCAACTGCCCTCTAAAATCCGTGATTCGATTTTCAGGGGGTGCCCCTAGCTCCAATCAGCTGATGCAAGTGCAGCTTCCCATACTGAGCTCAGTGGAGTGCCTTACATTGCTGCAACGCATTCAAATTAAGTTTTCCCCTGATGGCTTCTGTGCGTATTCGGAGAATAAAGATGCTTGCCAGGTGAGTCCTTTTTTCCGTTTTAAAATGACATTTTTTTCCGAAGCAAGCATCCAACTAAACATGGAGCTATGCCAGCTCCCGTAAAATCTCTAGCTTGACAAATTTCAAAGGTGGTTAGGTGTCACAGAGCGCCCTGGTGCGGTATAAGAGGAACTTGCTCATTTATATTTGAGCCTTTCTCAAAGGTGCGTACAAAGAAGCACCGGTTCTTGACACGTCTTTCCGGCGTAGCACAAAAGCGGTGGAGCTTTCTACTTAGGTTGATCAAGTATTTCACGTAGGGGATGTAAAGTACCCGAGTCATCCCAAAAGTATACGGAAAAATTATGATTATAGTATAACCAGAGTTTATGGTACCTACGTATAACTACAAGTTTACCTGATTTTAAATAAATGTTATAGATTCTAAGATCTTGATTTTCGCACCAGTATAACTCAATTTGGAGTTTCTTGATTCTTTCAATTCTTGTGCGCGTTCGCATATTATGCGTACATATAAAATTAGTGCAATATCAACGTGAACAAAGATTATTTTTTTCTGATCAAGTTATCATGTTACAACTCACTATAATGCCAATATGAAATAAGTGTTTATAAGCATAGTGATGTAATAATGAGCCGGATTATCAGGTATCTTGATATAAAGGGGAGAGCACACAGAACCATTTTTGCTACATTTAAAGCAACATTTGTCAATAAAAGATTAATTCTGATTGAATATATTTTTCGTAGATCCTGTGTATTTCTATTAGAAATATAAGTTCTTCTACATAGAAAAATGAGGGCTTTAAAAGTTGCATGCATAATTATATGAAAAAAAGCCAATGAATACAAATTTGTTGAAATAGAAATAAATATATGTAATTCTAATTTGACTTAAAGTAGATAGAGCTACTACTTTTTTTATATCTATTTCCAGCAGTGAATTTATTCTGGCCATTGCTAATGTTATTATGGCTACATGTTATTATGTTATTATGGTTCATGGTCATTTCTTTTCAGGGTGACAGCGGTGGCCCGACAATGTTGTACAGAGATGGAAAATGGTATTTGTACGGAGTGGTATCGTATGGGCGTGGTTGTGCTCGAAAAGAGGCGCCTGGTGTGTACAATAAAGTCCACACCCATCTGAAATTTATTGCTGATTCATTGGGCTAAGTGCAGGATCACTTTTGAGTTGGAAAATCAAGTTCGTTACTTGATTAATGGCATTTTAAACTCTCAACACATTGTACGATGAGGGGGTTTCGAGATGAAACAACTGAAATGCTTGAGTCTAACCACCGAATTCTAATCGACCGAAAAAAAGAACAAGAAAACCGATTAGATTTTTTTATTTCGGGACTTGGTGTTACAAAATGTTCAATAGTTCATCCGTATAGCTATACTTGAATTATTAGACGTATTTGAAATTCGTGTCTAATGACGAAAAACTCTCTTGTTGATTAAAAGTCTCGTATAACATCAAAAGCTCTTTTACTAATTTTGTCCAAAGCCCGAAAAACTGTAATAATGAATGGAATAAAGCTAAATTTGAGAAAAAAATGTACTACTAGTTTGTCCGTATTTGAAAGCATTGGAGCTTTGATCACTCGAATTAAAAAACACGAGGTCACGGACTCCTCTAGTGTCACGTCCCGAACCAGTGGCGTGGCGTGAATTGCGATATATCGATTGTTATGCCATTTAAACCTATGGTAAAGAATCGATTGTTAAGGTGTTCGCTGCGAACACCCTGTTAATCGATCCTTTATCATAGGTTTAAATGACATGACAATCGATACATCGCAATTCACGCCACGCCATTGTCCCGAACATAAATGGAGTCCGCTGTTTCTACCATTGATGACCACGTATAAAAGAATGATCTTTGATTTCAATTGAGAGTAATTTATCTCCCTTTCTCTTCGTTAACCCCTGTGTACAGCTGTCTCTTTTTAAAGTCTAATTCAAAGTATCAAGTTACGTCCCGAGGATCTCTTTTCCATTTTTGACATTATTCCTAAAAATATGTATAAAAAATTCATGGCTGCAAGATGACCTTCGACAAAATCTTATTACAAGGACTTTCGGCATTCATAAGGAGTAGCAACAGAAGGGGTTGAGTGACAGCGAGATAAGTTAATCTGGTGTGGAAACAAAGACTATTCGACTGAAAGTAATGGTATAAAGTAAAAACTAAAAGAGTTCGTACCCTGTTCATTTTCATATTCCCTGGCAGCGCACATTCAAGGTAGATTTACACTGTCTTAGACGATTGTTACGGATAGAGATCGCCTGCGCGAAATAAAACCGGACGGTTCTCTACCAATGTTTATTTTCGAATATAAATTATTTTTAAAAAAAAATAAACTTTCAAATTGCCTGTGGCAGGCATGATTTTCTGAATCTAGTAGTATAGTAGAACCTAAATTAACAAATGGTCCGACTATGTTTAAAATATTTGAAGCGAGAACAAATGACCTCTCTGGCCTACTACTTCCCTGCCATAGTTTTCAGCAATCCGTCGGTGGGTCGGTAATTAAACCAAAATTTAAATTTTATGGGATGCCTACTAAAAAGAAGAAAAAAACAATTGAACTCCAAAAACACTAAGGGTGTTTTTCAGAGGCAAAATAAATGTTTAAAAAGCCAAACTTCTCAAACCAAATGATATGGCATAACCTCCGATCCCTCTGGAGAATTTAACGCTCGTGTATGAAAATGAACCTTTTTTATAAGTAAACTATTCCTATTCTTATCCTTCATCGCCTGAAACCAAATAGACGTCACTGTTTCAAACCAAATATTATAATCAAACCCCCACATTACTCTGGAGATTTTAACGCATGTAACGTTAATGTTCGGGTCGCACAAGAACTTGTAATTTAAATTAACGCATGTGCAGAGAAAATGAATTCTTTCATAAGTTTAGCTGAGAACTTCTCTACGAATGTTCATTTTTGTGCGTCCCAGAGGCTTTGCAGCCATGTATTCCACAAATGATTGTGAGTCAACTGTTTTTTTTTTTTTTTTTGGAAGCAGAGTGGTTTTGTGAACTTGCGGAGCATTATCCTAGACAACTTTCAATACACTGATTACATACATATTGAAAAATTCTATTTAGCCTTAGCATGTTCTTTTTCGTGACCTGTTCACCAGCTGGACTTTAAATCCGCCTTTTTGAATGGCAATGTCAAAAGTAGTGTACCCACTCATCCAGCAAAAGATCTCAATATTCCTAATGGTGAAGTACTTCGACTAAACAAATCATTACATCTAAAGTGAAACTCCAAAACTTCGTAACTAGGTTTGCAAGGTTGCTTCCTGTAGTACTTTACTTTTTAAAATGAAAACTACTCAATGTCAAATTGTAAACTTCCGTAATTTGTCTTCACCGTGCAAAGGAAATTCTGTAAAAACTCAAGGAAGAACCAATGTCTTCAAGGATGAACTTCAATGTTGAATTTTTCTCGTTCAAAAAAATGAAATGGGAACGGAGATTTCAAAACACCGCAAACGAGATCTAGGATTTTCACCGTCGATATGGTCTGCGGGAAAGCCTCCGAGACTGGTATAACACTTTCCATATGTTTATCATTAATCTAGGGTTTACACAATCTAAATATCATACTCAGGTTTAGACATTACCGGGAAAATTTCAGCTGAATCGGCCCGTAGCTCGAGTGGGAGATATGGAGGAGACTCTCAGAAGAGGGGGGAGGGGTTCGAGGGCCCTTACCCACAAACTTTTGAAAAATGACCACCTCAAAATGGAAATGTTAAGCAATTTTAAACCACAAACATAACACTATAACAGGGAAGATGAATTATTAAAACATACAAAAATACATACAAGTCGCTTTTAATTACCGAAAAATGTCATAATAATACACACAAAAAAGTAAAATAGTGATTTAAAGACGCATGTTTGGATGGAATAATTTAAAAAAGAAATACAAATGAGCAAGCAAATAAAGCACTGGATAAATTGACTCACCAAATGGCTGATTTTTGGGGGTTTTCAAGGATTTTTTTTTCATTCATAGATTTTTATTTACTAAATTATCTGGACGACAGCTTTATCAAAGATGAAAACTGTATGCAAAACGATGACAGCACATTTTTGTGCTGAGGCCTAGTGCCGAGACGGCAGGGGATGCAGCCCCCGCACTCCCGCAGCCCATCGGTCAGCCTCGACAAAGGAATTATCGATCAGCGGGCCGATTATTGAAACTGATAGACAAAGCTATAGACAAAGACGACAAAGGGATTTGGAGGGATCCTATTGGTGGAAGGGGGTGGTAGCAATGGACTTAGGAGGTAGGTAAATGGACTAACTAACGGCGACCCACCAAAAACCCGAAAGTTAGTCCATCATTTTCTCCCTTAGTCTGTAGGATCCAACCATGTCAACCAATTGGATCGCTTCATACTCCTTATGTCTTCTTTATCTATCGCTTTGTCTATCAGTTTCAATAATCGGCCCGCAGAGGCTTGTCAAGGACATTCTAAAAGAGCAGATGAACCTTACGAATGTCCGAGTCGTATAAAGCCTCCGGTTTCAAAAGTCAAAATATTCTATAGCTATATTCATTGCCTCTGTTGCAAATATTCAGGTTGCAAGTATTTCCTCACACATACGTCTGTAAAATGCAATTTTTCCGAGCAAAAGTGTATCGCCATTTTTGGTTAGAAAAATAAAGGAAGGACACCCATCTGGCCCTGTTTTCCCGCTTGCCAGTCTGCCCCGAGGGTTAGTTACACTCAAGTTTGATTGAGTTAATCGACGCATGATATTACCTTATTTGTGTAAGTATATTCTTTTTTACCACTATCATTGCACAAGGCATTATAAAAGGTGAAAGGGATATTACAAGCAAAGAGTTACTAAAGGTAAACGTAATTTTGGTCAATAATACGGGGAAAAAACCAGTTGGTGACTCCTTTTTTTTCTACTATACCAATGCAGGTCTTTAAGTCATTCTGGAGAAGAGATGGTGTCAAGAATAGGATTAAGTAAATAGAGGAAGTCTAGGAGGCCAAAACGACTCATCTCAAAAAGAGGACCAAAGTGTAAGGAAACCCGTAAAAAAATTTTGATGGACAGTTACTTCATAGGTAGTTATAAAATTTGTTGAATTGTTTAGAAAATTTTCAAAAGCGATTGCATGTCGTGAAAAAATCGATATGCTGTTGAATCTCCTTTTACACGGGACCGTTTTACGTTCAGTGAGACGTCGGTGTACTGCTTTCCGTCGGATCAGTTCACCTTCAGGCTGCTGCAGTAAAAATACATAATTGTGTAGCGTGCATCAAAAATTTTATGGAGGATTTCCAATTTCTGCGTTGCCTAAGAGCAAAGGGAATACTGAGAGATGAGGATCCCGTTTTAGGCTTCTCAGTTACGTTGACGAATAGGAGGCGGTTGCGGGTGAACTGGTTTCTCCTCACCATGACACTTAAATTGATTCCGAATTGTTGATTTTGTGGGACATTACCATTATCTTTTAGTGCCAAAATGAGATCATCAATATGGATCGTGACGTGAGTAGTATTCCAACGAGATTCCATGGTTTTCATATTTCATGCTCGGCCCTAGATTCTTTTAAAAACTGTAGACATTTTAGGGAAGTCCCTTCTTCTCGTTTCCCTTTTTTGTCTTATTCATTCATTTTTTGACTTTGTCTCGTACAGGAGCAATGGACCACTAGACAAGGTACGAATTTCAGCATTCTGATACATGTTTTTTAACCAAAATTTCACTTAAAACACGATGCAGACAACAAAAATTACCGAAATCAACTCCTTACAAAGATATTTAATGATTCTTGATGCGTGAATTCAAACCACCCGCTCATGAAAACTCAACGCTCTACGTGATTCACATCGCGCGCTAAACGTTACCATGATAGTCTCTGCGATGAAAAAATCTGGCAAACTCAATCTTGACGCTTTGGCTCAGCTGTAGCAAATTGCTTAAATTTTGAACAACACATGGTGGGAAATGAACATTACTAGATTGAGAAGCTTGCTGTAACCGTTGTAGTGCGCGATTTGACTCACGTAGAGCTTTGAGTTTCTTGTGAGCGGGCAGTTCAAATTCCTCGTGACCAATGTGAAATAAAAACGTTAATATCTTCGTTTGGAGTTTGTTTCATTAGTTTTCACTGTGCGAATCGTATTCGACGTGCAATTCTGGTTAAGAAACATGTAGCAGAATGCTTAAATTCGTACCTTGTCTAATGGTCCATTATTGCTCCTCCAAAAAGTCGTTGGATTGTAGTGCACGATGGGGACACCTTTCAAGTATGTGGAGGGGTGGGGGGTGTGAACCCTGAAAATAACCTTTATTTTAGGGATGGTTCCTTATCCAGCAACTTTCCGAATATGAAATACAATACCAACTGATGGAGCAGTTTTCCCCTCCTGTTAAATGTGATCCAAATCTGGTTCATCAAACAAGTTGCACAAATAATGTTCGATTAATGTTTGATCATTTGGACCAGGCATGAGATGAGATCAACGCACCGCGCGTCAACAACTTGGGTTATTTGTGCCCTCAGGGATGAGCATGTTTAAAAAGGGAATAGAAAGTCCACATGGTCTGGGGTCATTCTTAAAGTCAGCCATAAATTGGACTGCAATTTGCAATTTGGAACTTTAAATTCTGGCTCATCTGAGAAACCACTTATGTGCACAGGGAAACTAATGGCACATACGTTGTTTTTAAACCGGGCCAGAATTTATAGTTCCAAATTGCAAAATTCAGTCTAATTGTGTCACCAAGTGGTGGGGATGGGAAGGCTCTGCCAGCTTGTCAGGAACGCCATGTGTGCGGAACAAAGATGGGGGGGGGGGAAGATGTCCTCAATCCATTTCATGTTGTAAAACAANAAAAAAAAAAAAAAAAAAAAAAAAAAAAAAAAAAAAAAAAAAAAAAAAAAAACTAATTTCGTCGAGGGGTGCATAAGACGCGTTTACTCGTGTTGGACACATTTTTTGCGAAAGCCTTGTCAGCACTACTAGCAAAAGTTTATGGAACTTGCCTCAAAAGTTAAGTTTCGTAAACATATCTCTGTGTGGACAAGGCCTTCCATTTATATGAAATGAACGAAAATATTATGAAAGAACAAACCTTAATGTGGTTTAATAAAATTTTAACTTTCGCCGCCGCGCCGCGTCGCGCTGACCTCACTGTATTTTGGCGCAATGCATGAAGTATTTCTACAGTCTTGTAAGCGCTATGCGTTTGCATGCGAAGCGCTGCTGCACGCACTGTGTTCGACGTAATGCGTGAAGTATTCATGTAGTCTTGTAGGCGCTATGCGTTTCACGCCGACCGCTGCTGACCGCAGCGACCGCACTGTCTTTGACGCAATGCGTGAAGTATTCATGCAGTTTTGTAGGCGCTAATATGTGTTACATGCCGACCGCCGCGCCGAGGGTTTCTCCTTTTCATCTCAAAGTCTGGTCATCATTGCTCTCTGCGCCGCGCCGTTCTAGGCCAAATTCCGTGTTCGGTTTCTCTCTTAGTCTTGTAACTCGACTCTTTAACAGTGCTGTATTTTGTATCACGACAGAAAGACGGCAAAATTAAAGATATACTCTCAGTAAATGAGAGATTTTGTCACATTTCCTTGTTTGTAATTTTTCTGAATACGATTTTTCATTATAGCTACATTTAAAAAAATGGCAAAATTTGCCGCCATAGGCCGCGGCCCATGCGGCCACCCCCTAAATCCGGCCCTGAGGAACCAGGAGCAGCACTTGATGCGTATTCTTCCTTTGTTCTTAAGCACTATATTTAATAAAAGCATCGCCATTAACCATCCAGGAAGGGAGTTGTACCTCGTCTTTTTTGGTATACGCAGAATAATTTCAAAAATTGTATAGAACCGTTGAAAATTAGTCAAGGTAAACTCTGTGCTTATCTTTCAAGGTCGAAGAATCTCTAGGTGTACACATATTTCTTTTTCAGATTAGGAGTTTTCGCCAATGTCATGATATGTGCTCACAGTGCTCGCCAACAGGAGGACATGGAAAAGTCCGTCTCCAGTAAGAATCATAGAAATTTAACACTCTTTTGATAATCTGAAGTTTGTTTTTATCTTATGAATGTAGATTTTTAGCAGAGACAAGAGACCCTCCACTAGCCTCCTAGCGACAGGTGGAAGCTTTTACTTTCGGGGTTTCAACAATTCCTTATGGACAATTATTAGGGAGCAACAGTCATCACCCTAGTTTCGGCTGTTGACTTACCTACATGGTCGACGATGAGCTTCGGATGACGTCATGAGCCAAACAACTTTCCCACACGTCGGCCATTTTCGGCTTGTTTGCAAAACGAAACTGCCAACACGTTGTTGAACATCAACCATGTAGGTAAGTCAACAGTAGAATGCTGAAGTCCCGAAAGTAAAAGCTTCCACCATGGCCAAGATACTAGTGGAGGGTCTCTTGTCTCCGATTTTTAGCGATACATTCGAGGAGAATTATCGGCATAACCAAATATGTCAAGGTAAAGTTTACCCCTCTTTTCCCCAACAAGAGGCATACCAATGGATATATCATACCCTATATATAAAATCACAAAGAGTAATGCGTAACGCATAACGCTGGAAGTGCGAAGCGCTTCGGGGGGTTGAACCGCAAAGCGGTCAGGGGGCTTAGCCCCCTAGTCTGTTACAAATGTTATCCTAGATTTTCCCTCTTCAACAGAAATGTTGGAGTGGTAATTGAAAAAAATGAGAGTAGTACTCATCCTTTTGTTAGCATAGGAAAAAATAGGTGCTGATAGGAAAGGGGGGTGCCAACCCCTCTGAAAATTGTAAAAACAAAATGATTGGGCTTTTTTATCTACGGAATGACCCGAGAGCTCTACCTCCTTGTGCCCCCTCCAAAAGGAATATCTAATTACGTCCATGCCGATCAAGCAAAATAATGGTGCTAGGTCATTTTTCCTAATTTTTTTTTTCCTACATCAGGTTTTCCTATTACTTTTTTCCTACTCGTTTTTTGTCCTATTACCGTAAGTCCTACGAGTGAGATGTCCCACTGGCTTTTTTCCTAAGGGTGTTTGTCCTAATAATTAAATAATAATTGAAACGTAAACATGAGTAGAGTAGAGGGAAATTTTTCAGAAAGAGTAAAGTTTTCTCAGCGAGCCGAATATAAGTGCGTGAACAGGAGACATTACAAGCTGAGCCTTCTATACCCTCAATATAAGGAGGAGGATGAAGCTCCACTATACTTACGGGCATGTGGCCACAATTTTAACTTATGAGGTGCCTATGATGATTTTTTACTTTCTCGATCCCCTAGTTTTAAAATTGAATTTCGGACAAATGCCCCTAGGAAAAAAGCCAGTAGGACATCTCACTCGTAGGAGTAACTGTGATGGAACAAAAAACGAGTAGGAAAAAAGTATTAGGAAAAATTGCAGTAGGAAAAAATGTTTTAGGAAAAATGACTTGCCACCAAAATAATGAATGAAACACGATTGGAGATGCTGAAAGATTGCAATTGAGATACGCATTTCCCGAAATTAGCTATCAATTCATAGGGAAACGGAATGCCTAATGAGTGAAGCTCAAAATTGCAGCTGCACCAACCTTTAAATTATAGATGAATATAAATAAGCATTCAGTGAAGCAAAGATATAAGAAATATTAGCAATAATTGTACAACAATTGAAAATCTTCATAAACGCTGATGTACTCGAATGAAACAAATATCTATTTTGACCTTACAGACAGAGAGACCTTTTGCCATGAAAAGCCACCACCTCATGCATTTTGAAATTTAATATTAGTATCAAAACGGTATTCTCTTCTCAATCGTATTTTTCATCCTTTTCAGCGGACACGGTTAAAAAGCTGACGTCACTCCCTGGTAACGAAGACTGTGGTATTAGTGGCAGCAAAACTGGTCGCATTGTCGGTGGAGAGCCAGCGAAGCTCGGTAAAAATGAATGCTTTACTCATGCAGTCTGTAATTTTCCTTTTTTGGGGGAGGTATCTCCTCCCAGCAATAACCAAGATAGAAGCTCGGTACAAGTGGTCTAAAACACCCTGTACTGTAAAGTGTGTAGGTTCTCACAAAATTTCACGTCAGAGTGTTTCTGAGCTATCTACATACGTACAAGTCACTTTTAGCGCGCCCGGGCGCTCTGCGACACCTAATCGCCATTCTTGTCTATCGATCCAGAGGTCATCTGGTAAATGGCATCTTGTAATTTCATTTTGAATGCCACCTATCCACGATTTTGCTGGACGTTTCCTACGTCTACTCCCAGGAGGAACCCCATGTAGTACTTTTTAGGGAATCTTTCTCAGCTTTCTGCTGCACAAATAAAACAAGAGAAGAAATTAGGTAAGTCTGGTGTGGTTGCGAGCTGATTCTAGTTCGTATGTAATTTGCAGCCTAAACTTTCAATTTTACAACTTTATAGTCATTTTTCATAAATAAATTTAATTTTTTTTTAGAATCTTACCTTTAATCATCTGTATACAGCTCTTATATCCTTAAATGACATAAATATATGTAATTGAAGCGTTTGATCACGGACCCTTTCTTTAGTGTTTATAATGGTTCTGGTGATAGTTTGAGCTTTCATTTGGCATTGGCGGATTGTGTATTCTCCATTTTTCAAGATTACCTCAAATTCAGTCCTTTCTTAATTCACCCATTTTTTTTTTCTTTGTACTGCTTGAATTGAACCTTCTTGGTATTTGTAATTACTGTAGTCATTATAGGGTTTTCATTATTTCCTAAGGTGCTTGGCCCTGGATCGGGGCTGTTGGAAAAAAGCAAGGTCGCAACAAATATTTCTGGTTCTGTGGCTCGTCTCTGATTTCTGATAGACACGTCATATCGGCCGCTCACTGCTTCCTTCCCAGGGGTGAAAAACCACTCACTGTGAAAGGGTAAGGCGTATCCAGGCTTTTTATTTATTTCAATCTTGTTCAGCTCAGATCATACCTCAAATTGAGGTAATTATTTCATTTTAGACTTCAGATATTTAGGAACATGTCTACCAGCGCTTGATAAATATCCATTTTGCAGCTGCAAAATTGACGGTGCAATGGTGCAATGCTCGCAATGCTCCGTTCTATGCTGCCCATGAGGTGTCGCCCAAATTCGGGGAAAAAGTTAAAAACGAGGCTGTGTTGAAAGTTAAATTGATTGTGTAGCTCACGTAGCTTTTGAGGCACTGCTACAAAATATAAAACATACTGAGAAAATATGGTAATAGAGCCAGGGAAAGGACGCGCTTTACTGAAGGCGCAGAGATACAACTATTCGTGCATGATGGATGTCCGTGTTGCATCAGCAAAATTGAAGGCGCGATGGCGCGAGACGTGAACTCGCAATTTTTCTGTGCTGCGAGTGAGGTGCCACTTATATTCAATGTGCGTTACCCGTTAACCAGAGAAAAAAAACAACATTTCATGAGAGCAAGACTCTTCCAGACAGTTACAAAATAGGTGATGATCACAATTTCATCGATTCTATTTATCTTTATTCGTTCTTAGATCTTAAAAGTATATTCTTGCGTTACAGATATCCTCATAAGTTGTAGATTTAGTTCCCAGTTTCTACATTTTAGGAGATAATTTTGTTTTCAGATCATTAGTTGCGGAATGCGCTGAGATATTTAACATAAATTATGTTTTTTTACCCTGTTTGAAGGCTAATTGTTAAATTTGGAGCAATTAACTTGTCCGACAATGACAAGGACGGGTCCAAACCCGATTACGTTCCTGTCGCGAAAATTACAGCCCATCCTTTGTTTAAGCCAGAGAGCATTTCGGAGGGATACGATATTGCAGTTTTAACACTAAAGAGGAAGGTACAATTTTCAGGTATTATATTAGATGTATTTGATATTCTTGATATGCAGTTGCTCAGTTAAGAAAAATAGTAATCTCTGACAGGAAATTTCTAAAACCAATGCCTAAATAGTGTAAAGGGTTGTGAGACTGTAATGAGGCAAGAACGAACCATAGTTTTTAGAGCAAATTAAGCAGAAGGAACGAGACCTGTCATTTTGTAGGAAAATAACACTGCCGTGCTAAGCAAGAAAGCCGTAAATCCATCAAGATTTTCCCTCGTTTTTTGGAACTTAACACTTTATAAAATAAAGACTGTTTTACCCACGCACCTCAAATTTTTAGGTTAAGTTCTTGATAGTATTTGGAGAAGAATTCTGGAGGAACATTGTTCCAAGGTACTCAAGTTTTTCCTGCTATGTTACATTGTTTCCAAAAAATGTAAAATGGCGTTTACGGCGTTTTTGCGTTGCACGGCAGAATAGAGGTGTAGTTTCGAATGGAACGATTTTCCTCTCTCAAAAATCATTTGAGAAAGAAAGTATATTGAATGTAAAAATAAGGGTAAAAAAATTATCTTTGACATTGACACTATGTTGGAATTTGTTGGCCAACGAGCGTTAGAAATCCAGAAAACTGGATATCTTAATGCAGAGGGAAAAAGCTTAGAATTAATTTTCATGATGGGCCCGAAACGTGTCTGTAGTTGCCTTCCTGAAAGGTCGTAACTAGTGTTGCACCAAACAGCGTATCTCTTTGAGGGAAAATTGTGCTCAAATGATCTTTTTCCCTCTGCATTGAGATATCCAGTTTTCTGGATTTTTAACGCACGTTGGTTAAAAAAATCCAACTTACTGTCCATACGACCCGTGCGTCCACCGCAATCAGTTTGCTTGTCGGTGAGTATTATATGACATTTCACGTTTCAGTGAAACGAGAAACGGCCAAAGAAACGGTTCCCATCCGTGCCATAAAGCCGATTTCTCTGCGTTAAGTTCCTACACTGCGAAATTTCGATTTGTTTATAGAGTAAAAACTTCCTGGTTGTGGTGACTGAAGTTTCAGGTCTGATAACCGAACTTCGGTTCAGGTGTGTAATCATGATTTTTCTTAACCACAGCAAAAATTGTACTTTGTGCGGATGTCTCCAATTGAATCAAATTGGAGTTTCCACGCCTGAATTTTTCAGCTACCTGGACCGAAAACTTTAGTTCCACATGATCCGAAGTTCGGTCTTCGTAAACAAAATTTGTCTCTTCGTGATACTTAAATGTATGCGCTCTCGAGTGGGAAGTCATATCATTGTGCTACAAAATTGCCGTACTATGCACGTGAATATTCCCAAGAGTTTCGAAAAGTCTTCCGGCATTGTTTTTGAAAATATGCCGATTTGCGAAGGTGAACCCAGTTATGAGGAGATTCTTGTCTTTACGTCCCCTTCAAGACGAATCGTCTCGATGACCAACAGTTTCTTTGTATTTTATAACTTTGAATTTATGCTCGATCAGAGTTCATATCTTATCATAATAAGTGTGTTTCCTTGTCAGAATGTTAAGACTAATGATTTGCAAGTTGAACACAGAAGTCTGGACGAAGTACTCGCCTGTTTCAGTTTTTCCTCCGTAGACTAATTTTTGTTATCTTCGCATGATCCAACCAATGGACGGGCAGAACTTGTCAGACCTGTATGTCTGCCTCATAAGAATATCTTCTTCACGAATAAAGATTTCGAAGGGTATCAGCCGTTCGTTGCGGGCTGGGGAAAGCTTGATGAAGGTAAGTGTGATCTTCTCTTGAATTACTTCATAACGCTTCTCATAAGGAGTTTTAGGTTAACATATATGAAATTGGTAAACTTCCCACGTCATAGAAAAGGCTGATTAAGTGGCTACTTCATACTTCAGTCGTAAACAAACAAATAACGTTGTCTCTGATTCGCGTCCATCACGTCATGGTGCGTCCAAATGCGCACAAGTGTTTCTTACAATCGAAATTGCTCGTGTTTAATGAGTCCTTAATTGATATATGACCTACCAATGGCTAAATTTTAATGAATTAAAACAATTAACACATCTAAATTTTACAATTAAATCTATACATGAGATTATGCTTTGTTTAATTATTTGTTCCTGTTTGAACGAGAAGTTATGAATCATCGAATGACGCAGTCACTACAAGTAAATCAGTCTATCGTATTCTAGAGGTTAAGCTAAGGTAGAGGTCAGAGAAAAAATTGCATTAGAACTGTTAAAATGCTAGGTCCAGTAATGCAGAGAAGTTTATGAAATTCATGATAAAAACATCCAAATTTTGAAAGTTCAAGATGAGACTGAAAATTTTATTTAAAATCTCGCCTCATGAAAAACTCGTCAATGACGTCATTGTCTGCACGTTAATACATTCGGTAGTTGCGTTTACACCTCAGTCTCATCAGTAAACTATGAATCAAATATTCAAGTCAATTTTCAGCCTTAGAAGACTCCTTAAATTACTTTTTTCGGTATTTTTGACCCCCCTCCCTACCCCCCTACCCCCCTACCCAGGGCTGGATTTACCTACTTGCCGCCCATGGGCCGCCTGTATTTTGCCGCCCCCTTCTCATTCGTTTTGAAACATCAATAAAAACCATCAAGTGAACGTGCCGGAGGGGGAGGGGTGCATAAGACGCGTTTACCTGCTCGTGTTGGATATATTTCAAAAGTTGCAAAATTTCACGGAACTTGACGCGAAAGTTAAGTTCCGTAAACCTATCTCTGTGTGGTCAAGGTCCTCCATTTATATGAAATGAACCAAAAAATTATGAAAGAACAAACATAAATGTGGTTTAATAATTTTAACTTCCACCGATGCGCCGCACTGATCGCACTGTGTTTGGCGCAATGCGTGAAGTATTCCTGCAGTCTTGTAGGCGCTATGCGTTTCACGCCAACCTCTCCTGAACGCAACCGCACTGTGTTTTTGACGCGATGCGTGAAGTATTCATACAGTCTTGTAGGCGCTAATATGTGTTACATGCCGACCGCCGCGCCGCGCCGAGGGCTTGTCCTTTTTCATCTCAAGTCCAGGTCAACATTCCTCTGTGCGCTGAGCTCCAGGCCAAATTGCGAGTTTAGTTCCTCTCTTAACACGACTAATTAAAGATACTGTCTCTTGTATCACCAAAAAACGACAAAATTAGAAATTACTATACTCTCAGGAAAAAGAGATTGTGTTCCCTTTTCTTATTGATATTTTTTTTTACTGAATCCGATTTTTTTTATACCTACATTTAAAAAAAATGCAAAATTTGCCGCCCCCTAAATTTGCCGCCATGAGCCGCGGCCCATGTGGCCACCCCCTTAATCCGGCCCTGCCCCTCCCCCATTGGAGTGTCATGTAGTGTAGGGACGGCCCCTTGTTGTTAGGCAATGAGTAGAACTCTGTGCACATTTGCGCGGTAGATGTCCGTCGCACGGATTACATTTCTCCGCGCTAGAAATAACGAATATTTGTCGATGAGATTAGTCCTGATACTGAATATTGATTATGATACAGAGGGTTCATGTGTGTTGACTGATTTATGTTACAGAGGGAGATACCGCAAAGATTCTAATGCAAGTTCAGCTTCCTCTACTGAGCACGGAAGATTGCCTCGGTCTCCTGGAGGAAAATTCTAATGCAATCATGCACCCTGATTCGGTGTGCGCGCTAGCGGAGGGTAAAGATGCTTGCAGTGTAAGACAATTTTTCTCTTGTTTAGTTTTGACAACCTTTATTGAAAAAACATATCGAAATATTATTCATGGTAAAAAATATTTAAGTGTAAGAGTCCATAACCAAGTAACTCCTGACCAGTAATAGGTAATATAAAATTTCAATTATGAAATGTTAGTGATACAGACCAATTCCGCAATAATACTCTAATAAAAGAATCTGACACTGTCCACAGCATCAGAGACCAAGAATTTCATCAGTTTCAATTCAGATAGTTTCTACGTTTGACGCTAAGTACAAGTGCAATCCTGCCATGCTATGGAAAAACGCCGTATGGACATTCGAGAATTGCCAAATTTCCATGCACTAATAAAACGTTTATATCGGGAAAAAGTTATGAATATTTTTCCTTGATATATTCGGATATTTTAGAATAAAGTGCGAAACAAATTGTCTGAAAAATGAAGAGTAACATCCAGAACTTTCCCGATGCGTATTTTGTCAAAGGAAATTTGGCAATGCCTGAAGGTTCGTACGGCGTTTTTCCTTAACACGGCAGAATTGCACGTAACATTTTAAAGAAGAAACACGTAACATATCACTTCATTTCATGCCTATTAAATATTTAACACCTCTTCGTTGGATTTTAGGTAATAATCGTGATCAAGCTAACAATTTAATGTTCATATTTACAGGGTGACAGCGGTGGCCCGCTGATGTTGCCAATTGAGGATCGATATTATTTGTATGGCGTGGTCTCTTACGGCGATGGGTGTGCCAAACCAGACAGCCCTGGCGTTTACAATAAAGTTCACACGCACTTGAAATGGATTTCCGACCAGTTGGATGAACCATTAAATTTCTTAGTTCGTTTGCTGCTCGGATGAGTGAATGACTCTAACTTAAAGAGACGTTCATGATAAAGAATAAAATTCAAGACAAATGTAATTGGGCTGCACAACGGAACATCTGTCATTTCGGTTTCATACGTGCATGACGAAACATTGAGAAGCACAAGGCTTAATTGGAAAATTATAGACTGGGTCTTTTGATCACTAAAAAAATGTTTATGAGGTTAACGAAACACCTCGGGTTTTTTAGTTCACGCTCGTGAAATTTTAGCAAAGCAATGTTAAATTCTAGTCCGACTTCCAGGCAATTTTTTTTTCAAAATTTATCTCACTTGATGATAAGACGCCATTCTGTCAATTAAAGCTTTCAATTCGAAAATTTAACTATGTTTAATATTCCTGACCCGTCGAAAGTTCCTTTAAAGTTGAAGCACTACAAGAATTTCGTTTCGAACAGTAAGGTAGAGACATAGATTAGTATACATACTTCTCAATGAAAACATGTTATTGCAACGGATGTTGAGTGCTTTGATTACATTCAAACGTTTTCGTAGTGATAAAACACCATCACCGGTCATTACGCGAACCGGTTATTATTATTACCTAAACTGGATTGGCTTCAGTATTTATCGGTATTAAATAAAATTGTCTATTGGAAAGAAAAATTCAATCTACATGGAGATTTCACTAATGAAAATCCCAAGCAGAAAGATTGCATTCTTTGGTAAAAGTCGGTTTCACTTTTCCTCTTTCACGTGAAGAGAGTCTGGTTTCATTTGCATTTTAGCATGGGACGGATTTTACACGAGGGGCGCCTTTATCTATTTTAAACTTTGGAATACTTATTTACTATCTAAATTCAAGGTTGAAGCTGCACAAAGTAGTATTTAATCTGCTTTCAAATTTTAACCCCATAAAAGCGGAGAATAAAGCCATATGCATCTCAGCGACACTTCATTGACAGAATAGAGTGGAGCATTGCGAGTTTATGCCTTGCGCCTTCAATTTTGCAGATGCAACATGGACATCCATCAAGCGCGAATAGTTGTATCTCCGCTCCGTCATTGACGCGCATCCTTAACCATGCTCTATTTCAATGTTATGTTAGTTCCGTTTGTTTCATTCGTAGTTGAGCGCTTCAAGAGCAACGTGAGCACCACAGCCGAACATAGAAGAGACGTAATCCATACAGCCTCGTTTTTAACTTTCCTCCTAAAATTCAGCGGGATTCCCGCTGACTCAACCGAGGGTCCATTTAAAGCAATCAGACGTTTCTTTGAACGAACAAAAAAAGAGTGTATAACATGGAGATTTCTGGTCGTTTCGAGGGTTTAAATTCATGTCGCGGCGTACGGTGGCGAGGCGTGAATGATCCATTATCCATATTTTCTCATTTGAAGCTGTGATGAAGAATCGATTCCCGAAGTGTTCGTTGCGAACACTGTGTTTATCGATCATTTTCCATGGGTGTAAGTGACGGATCAATCGAGGTTTCGAAAAAGCTCGCCACACCACTGGCGCACTGGAAAAAAAACACATTGGATCTAGAGTCCAGACTCTTGAAAACATTGACAAGAAAAAGGACTCTTGATTCAATCAGATTTAAGCTAGAGTACCTGTATAGGGAGAGTAGCGACAGATCGGTTCATGGAGGGCTTAGGGCCCAAAAGTGCAGCCACCCTTCTAACCAACTTCTAACGCACAAAATTTCACTGCCAGTCTGCAGATTCCAATTCTAACCAAGATGGCCAAGAATGTACAGAAATGAGCGTTCTTCCGCGAAATTGAGTAAATTTATGCAAAAACTGAGTCAAACACGTGCTTAATAAAGGACGGTTCGTAACAATAGTATCCGTAAATCGCTCTGGATAATTGAAATTCATAGGTTGGCTGCCCTTTTGGGCCCTAACTTTATTCGCGGAGGCATCGGTGAAGGCCTGATGGACTTTCGGAGTTTCAGATCTGTCGCTACTCTCCCTATACAGGTACTCTAATTTAAGCTTAAATCAAAAGGAAATCCGCTCAAATCAAGAGGCTTGGTTCTTGATTTAAGCTTAAATCTGATTGAATCAAGATCAAGAGTCCATTTTCTTGTCGATGTTTTCAAGAGTCTGGACTCTAGATCCAATGTGTGTTTTTTTTCCAGTGCGGCGTAATGATACGACTGTTGATACAGCGGGAAATTTTTCCGGTGAAAATTCGACCGCTAAAATCTTTAAACTTAATCAGTGTTCGAAACTGTTCGGAAGAAGAAAAAAAATGATTGAATTTTTCCAAGACAATTGGTGGGTTCTTCGTTTTTGCCTATAGGTATTCTCATTGTCAGATTGCTCCATCGATTCATGACATTTTTCCAACCGCAGCCCGCCTAAATCAGTTTTCAGTCTGCTGCAGTAAAAATACATCATTGGGATTTATGCGTGAAAATTTTTATGGAGGGTTTTCAATTTACTCCCAGTCATTTCAAAGTCAAATGAGGAGATGAGAATACTTCCTTACGCTCTCAGTCACGAGAATAATAGGAGGAGGTTATGAGAGGTCCTCCTTCTCCTCCTTCATAGATAGATAATGGAATTCAATTGACCCCTGTTCTTGTAGAAAAATTTACTATCTTGTGGTGCCAAAATGTTGACCCCAAGCGTTTGGGTAATCATGTAAGTAGTAGCCCAATGTTGTATCTTCTTACAGGCAAGAATTGCAAGCATTTGACTATCAATATATTTTTATCCTGCTCGATTAAAGCGTACATTTTTTAATTAGGAACTAATTTGGGCTCACCCACAAAAGCACTTTTCTGTATAGCGAAACTGTTGGCACCTACGTTGTTTTTAATATGAGCCGAAAATTTTAGTTTCCTGATGCAAAATGTAAGTGGACCAAATAATTTTCAAATTATTGATTGTGATCGGGGTAATATAATGCACTATCAATTTTACAGCGTGCAGGGGAGCTGATATTGTGATTTACTTTAAATTATTTCTTACTGAAAAAAAAGTGAAGTTGATTTAACATTCTAGATGTAAGAAAAGTGTGCGAGAACTTAGAAAATGATGAATTACCTACTACAGTATAGTTACTTCAGCAGTGCCAAGATGTAAAACTAACCGCTGTAGCATTTTTTGTATTCAGCATTTTATAAGTTCTCGCGCACTTTTTTTGCATCCAGAATGTTAAATCGGCTTCACTTTTTTTTCGGTGAATTCTTTCAGAGATCCAATTTAAATTTTCTAAAAAATTATCTAAGCCGGATTGTTGGCTCAACAATTTGTTTTGCTCGGAACCAGCGATGATTAGAGGAAAAGGAACCTCAGGTTCCTCCTCTCCGAGTTAATTCCGGAGTAAAAATTGGCACCCCGAGTGATTTTACGTTCTTCTTTGGTGCTGTGGTGACACGAGTTCTCGGTTGATTTCGAAATTTAGGTGGTTGCTGAGCCAATTGAATTTTATCATGATATGAACATCTTCTGAAGTCTCATTTTTCTCTGTCAAGAGGCTCTCGGAACATGATAATTTACATTTTCGTAGAGCTGTGTAAAAGTTTAAAATATTTGAAAACAGACAGTAAACATTTTCATTCCTCTTGTATTTTTGTTCCTATATCAATATCGTAGATACTTAATTTCGGATGATTTAATAAAGGCTGTACCCAAAAAACTGAGAGTTTCGCTGTTTTAAAAATACTGTCGAAGATGTTTAGTTCGATACTTTAAAAATTGGCGACTTCATAGACATATGATCTGATTTTCCTTGGTTTGGATGTCCTTTGGATGATGAGGTTACGTTGAAACCTTCTTTAAGGCTTCCTTGTAATCACGGTTTATACCAAATGAAGCATTATAAAAGAAAGGGACTGTATAGGGAGCGACTATGAATGTGACCATATTTCTCAGTTTTTTTGGGGCAACCTTAGTATACTTACTTTGTCGTAGCCTGGGACTTTTTACGGACTTCATTACAGTGGCAAAAACGCGTGAATTTGAGGACATGGATACGTTCGCACCACGTAAGAACCATTTAGTCTTTAATTAATGGTCATATGGACTGCATTTTGCAATTTGGAGCCATAAATTCTGGCTCATCTGAGAAAAAACTTTTGTGCATAGGGAAACCAATGGCACATACGTTGTTATTTAGACCGGGCCGAAATTTATAGTATCCTAATTGCAAAATGTAGTCCATGTAATATCATCGCTCCTCTGGCTTAAGGGTTTATCTCGGTTTCCGCATGAGCCCTAGAAAGCATGGATTTACATGTAAGACAGAGGGCTGATTATTGAAATTGATAGACAAAGCTATAGACGAAGTAGACAAAAGGGGTATGGAGGGATCATATTGGTGGAAGCGGGTGGTTGCAATGAACAAAGGAGGTAGGTAATAGACTAACTAACGGCAACACACGAGGGACCCTACAGTTCGTGCAAAATTTGCTCCCTTAGTCTATAGGAACCACCCTCTTTAACCAATAGAAGCTCTCCATACTACCTATGTCTTCTTTGTCTATAGCTTTGTCTATCGATTTCAATAATCGGCGCGCGGGGCTAACGTGGAAATAGAGGTACGCCCTTTCGTCAGAGGGTCGACGATATGTGTTATCTTTAAAACATTAGAGGTTGTAACTGAATTTTTAATCTAACAACATCCGCTAGCTAAAACTAGGATGGATTGATTTTGTTCGGCAGGTCATTAGGATTCAACTGTAAAAAATACAATATGAGAGGAGCTAAGTTAGACACACATGTTCTAAAATTGCCTTTTGAAGATTGAATCTTGCACGCAGAAATTTGTTGGATCAAATCTTTCTAGTTTTTACGTCGAATATCAACGGAGAAAACAAACTTAAAATAACACGATAAAATTACCCTCTCAACCATGGACATACCTACATTATTTCGATGGTTCTCCTCGCGATTCCATCTGTTATGCATGCTCGAGGAGCAACCACTGCGAAAGAATATGTTTTCTGACTGACCAAAAAAAAAAACTGAAAGAAATCACGACATGCAAAAACGTGGTAGATGTCGTTGCACTCGGTATTTTTCAATAAACGTCATCTCTATTAGTATTTTAAAGAATGTTTTGACAAACTCAAACGGAAAAACGAAATTAAAACAGAGAGAAAATATCAGACTGTCAAATGCGGACATTCTTCTGTTTTGATTTTCCCCCTCAACATGGGAGATTCAACCGTTGAGAAAATGTTTATGAAATATAAGCAATTGGAACATTGCTAAAAATATTCGAATACCATATAGACTATGTCTAGCAGAAAGAGATAAGCAAGTAAAATTGATAAAAATGTTATCACGGTTGTGCAAACGTCTCTTTGGCAGGAGTGAGGAATGAAAGGGGCAAAAACAGAACACAAGGAATAACGTGTACAGGATAAAGTGAAACTTTTGGAGCCATTTTCTTCGGTTTCAGGACACTTTGTCAACGATTTTTTGTCCGCGCACCTTTTTTGTCCAGTAGTTGACGCCCACACATAAAATAAGCAACAGTGACTTGGTCTAAGCGTTATATTATAGTCTGTACGTAAAATTATATTGACCATATAGAAATGAGAAATTGAGAGAGAAGCAGGGGTTGTTATGGTTGCTCATTTTCTAAATGAAATATTATTACTTTCTCCTTTTGAATCATCTTTTTAAATTGCATTGGTGAATATTTGGTTTTATTTCTATCTTTAAAATATTCGATGCACAATATACCTTATTTATGTATAGACATTTTTTTTTCATTTTTTTAGTTTTTTCTTTACGAAATTATTACTTCATTTTGCAAACATTATATCTTTAAAACGGGGCAAATATTTGTAAAACATTTTCCAAGCGACATTAATCTCAATGAGCCGCAGTTGTGCCGACAGAAACTGCAAAAATGAATAAAAGAGGGAAAAAACCAGGAAGCATGCAATTGAAGCATTTTCACATCGATCTCTTAGATTCAAATACGTCAAATTTTGAGCGTTTGGTTGCGCGAACACCTCGCTGCAGCACAATAAAAGCACAAAATGTAAAAGATTAAATTAGAGTGCTTTGGAAAGCATTACATTTGACACGGATCCACCAATATTTAAAAAACACACATTATATTATTATTCTCCTTCGATAAATTTATAAATTTTTTCCCATCAATTTAAATGAGAATAATCAATGCAGAGTGTGCAAACATTTCAAAATCATGAGTTAAAAAACGCTGACTATGCGAGTATAAATATTAAAGCATAACAGAGCGAAGCGGCGTGCTGCCAGCGCGAGAAGCTGACTGGCGCCTACAAACCTAAGTGGATACTTCACGCATTGCACAATGCTTGAAGTATCCACTTAGGTTTGTAGGCGCCGATGCGCGTTTCGCGCTGGTCGCCCGCCCGCCGCGGCGGCGCCTGAAGCAACTCTTTCACAACATAGGTGTTGCACAGTATTATACGAAATTGAACATATTAAGAATGACAGGCATCCTTTAAAAGTACAGGCCTTCCCTCGCAAAATAAATCAAGATACTTATCGTACACAAGAAAAATCTAAGACCCTTTAGCTGAGGCAAATATAGAGGTTTATCCTGTTCAGGTAAAACAAGGTGGGAATTTCTTGAAAGATAATTAAGTCCTGTTACACCAAAGAGGTGTAAAGAGTTTTAGTGAATTTTGTCTCATGGAATTGACGCTCCCCCATTTTTACCAAAACTCTCAACTATATATTATTCTCCGTTGGACCAAACAGACAAAACAAAAAAACAAGCAAACCCTCATTCTTCCAAGACATTATACATTTTCATCCAAAAACGTCGTGAACGATTGTCGTTTGTATTTACATATGGGCCAATTAACTTTGGGTCTCAACTGGCACGTGGACTAAAACTCCCGTGCCGAAAAAACGCGTGGACGTAAATTACTGGAAAAAACAGATGCGCGGACAAAAAATCGTTGACGAAATGTCCTATAACCATTTTCTTCTTAAATGTTACATCTTTCATTTTCCTCCTTTTTTTTCTTCGCAAAAATGGCAATTGGTAAACAATTCCTAAGCTCTATTTCATAATTGAAGATTCGAGCTCCAAGTTTGCTTTCGGTTTCTTCTAATTTACCAAACTTGATCCACATTCAGTAGCGTGGCGTGAATTGCAATGTATCGATTGTTATGCCATTTAAACCTATGGAAAAGGATCGATAAACAGGGTGTTCGCAGCGAACACCTTAATAATCGATTCTTTACCATAGGTTTAAATGGCATAACAATCGATATATCGCAATTCACGCCACGCCACTGTCCACATTTTGACAGTATATTGCCTTGTGGTTATTCATTGCAATTGGATCATACTATCCGTTAGGTAACTCTGTACTTTTTTACTTTTCCCTCTCATTGCAACTTGGCCTCGATTTTAGGACACATTGTAAAGAAATTGAGGAAACTACCGGGCCAAGAGGGCTGCGGTATCAGTGGCAGCAAAACTGGCCGAATAGTTGGTGGAGAGCCAGCCAAGCTAGGTAAGTAAATATTTTTCTCAGCAGAAATATCTACTGATTAATATTTTCTTTACTCCGATCATTTAAAGTTTACACTGATTTCGCTTGAGCTATGCATCTATTTGGAGCACATTTGTTGTGTCATTGTACACAATACACATCGAAGGTGAAATTACCAACTCGGTTTGAGGCATTTCAAACTTACTGTCATGCTTTATTTTTTAAATGAATAACTGCTTAACATCAATGCTCGAAATCCTCCGAGTTTATTCTTCTCCGAACGAAGAAAGCTCTGTGAAAACCTCAAGGAAGTATATTGATTTGTTATCCTTCAAAAAAAGCAATGTGGTAGCGGAGATTTTAAAACACCGCGAACCAGATTCGTGGCCTGGCAGTTTCATCGTCGACATGCTTGCCACCATTGCTGATCAAAATTATTCCACAATGAATGGAAACGATGGTTAGGTTTTTTTAGTGGAGCAACTAAACTAACGTTGTGGCAACGCACAAAGTATCTTTCAAGGTTGCAGGCGCTTCAATCCGAAATAGTGCCGCTGTATGGAGAGTATAATTTAAACATAGAAAGGTTCCCACGCGAGATTTTACATATCAACCCACAGAGAATAAAAATATATTCATTTCTCATTTTCCTTTGATACAACCCTTTTGTAATCTCAGATGTTGATTTTTACCCATCGTTATTAAAGGCACATGGACATTGAATCACCATCTGCTTTTGTTTCATTGTTTTATTTATATTTAATTTGTGAAAGGTGCTTGGCCATGGGTAGCAGCTTTAGGAGAAAGACGAACCCGTGGCAAAAAATGGTTTTTCTGCGGTGCAACGCTGATCTCTGACAGACACTTGATAACAGCAGCTCATTGTGTCGAATCTATCGAAAATAAATTACAAAAGTGAGTAAATTGAAGATTTTTTTTTTTTTTTTTTTTTTTGAAAATTTGTTTAAGGTCTTGTAACTTATTATTTCTGTCTACACATGAAATGAGGTCTGCAAAAATGGGGTTTTAATTATACGGAGATATAAAAATTAAGCTATTACTTGTGAAATCGTCTCGAAAAAAAATACCAATCATGTCAGCAAGCAGAGTGAAGGAAGTAAAAAAAAGCGAGCCCTATAGGCACGCTTAAAAATGTAGATATAGTGGCATCGCACCGTTTAAAGTTAGAAAAATTACTTTTAAAAGAGAGATAAGTTTATAGGCTTATTGATACCAACTCTCAAAAATAATTTATAAAGGCCTCGAACTTCAAGTATGAGAAAAATAAACGAAGTGGACAGAGGAAGCGGCTTGTCCTCGAGAGTCCAATGGCGATTTTCTCATAAAACCCCAGACTTTCCGAATTGGACCATTTCCGCTCAAATGTCCTGTTTTTGAAAATTGTCCTCCACTATCATAAACCTTCTTCTCTTTCAATTGATCGCGTTCTCCATTGGACGTATTTCTGTCAAGCAGAACTATAAGCATTAAGACATGAGCCCTAAGACCCTTAAGAATATATGCGTAACGGGGCTTACGCCATAATGCACATAGCTCCGTTCGACAGAAATATGTAATATTATATTAGAAGGTTCGGAATAATTGATGTGCCGCATATCTAGCTTTACAATCCTCCATTTTATTACAGCTTTCTCTTATTTACTTTTCTTAATCTGAAATTGCATATTTTGCATTATTTCCAGCCGTTCCCATTTTCACAGAAGTATCTTTCATTATTTTTGCAGGTTAATAGTTCGAGTCGGGGATCTCAATTTGGATGACAAAGTTGAAGATGGAGCTAGACCTGAAGATATCCCTGTTACAAAAATAAGTAGGCATCCTCTGTTTGGCAAAATCGACGAAGGTTATGACATTGCAGTTTTACAATTGGAGAGGAGGGTAAATTTCTCAGGTAATAAGATACTAGCTTTACTCGAACTCAGAATGCAACTGATTTTTTCCTCATGGAGGAGATTTTTTTGTATTTAAATGAGAGCCAACATTTGGGCGGCATAAATGAGGTCTGTCTGAATACTTCTAAAAATTACACTGAAGTCTGCCACAACTACAGACAAATAGTTTAGGAATCCCTCATTGGCTATATTCTAATAACACGAAAAAGTTAGGGTAAAAATGATTTCGGGTATCAATCGGTATGTGGACCACATTCCTCAACTAGGAACTAACATTTCTGCCTCATCCGTGACAAACATGTATGTGCATATGGAACTTAATGGTACATACGCGGTGTTTCTGAACTGAGCTAGAAATTATAGTTCCCGATTGCAAATTGCAGTTCATGTATTGTCTAATGATGATTAATCAATGACAATTTGAACTTATTTTCACCTGATAATAATTAAACATACCGAGATAAATATTAGTTAAACAAGCTAGGCTAACAATACGTTTGCTGAACTGATCATTCAACATGTCACTTGTGAATCATTGTTCGGCAGACAGAGGCGTTGATCCCTGAGAATTACTTTTAGATTCTGGAAAGTCTGAAGCATACAAGGAAAAATTCCAAAAAAAAACTATTGATCGGTGAAAGAGTGTTAGACTTATTAATGCTGGAAGGAACTTGGTGCAAATGAATTAACTACGTACATAGGATTTAAATGCTTCATAATTATTTTTTATTTTTTTCATTCATTTAAGTTTATCATTTCATAAGAGGATCATGTCCTAAATTTTGACAAACGGAGCTTCCTTAGTATTCTATCTCTAACAGGGTAGAAAAATCGATTCCTAATTGCTTACAGGTTGTTTTGCTGTGGAAAATCCTTTCATACGGGGGTTACAATCGCTGAATTTTTCGAAATGGGCCCGTCTTGAGAGAGATGCCTGCTTTACTACATTGAAAAGCAACGTTTTTCGTTGAAAAGGGGAATTGATACATCAAATCGTCTCTTCACATATACAAGCAATGTTCTACATTAATTTGTCCATCATTCCTGGTTGAACTAAAAATTGGACTGCATTTTGCAATAAGGATCTACTAGTTCTGACGATCATTGTTGAAACATAGTAAGTATATCATTAGTTTCCCTACGCAGATAGATAATTTTAAGAATGAGCCAGAAATAGTAATTCATCATTGAAAAAGGCAATCCAATTCTGCCGTGCTAAGGAAAAACGCCGTATGAACCTTTAGGCGTCGCCAAATTTCTTTTGATAAAATACGGACTTTTTCAAGGAAATCTGTGAATATTTTTCCTCCAGATTTTCAGAGACTTTTAATGGCAATTAGAACTAAATTATCTTAACATTTCGAGAGAAATATTCATAACTCTCCTCAAAAATAAAAATTTTATGGGTGGAAATTTGGTAACTCTCGAATGTCCGTACGGTGTTTTTCCCTGGCACGGCAGAGTTCCACAATGGTCGCGACAACCAAAAGCAGATGGTATTAACTGGTGACATACTTTGCAATAATCGTGCAATCAACATTTATTTGACCATAGAATGCATGATATAATCGTTTTTTTCTCATAGTTTCACTAATGATGCTTGAATTGAAAGCAGAAGTCTGGAAAAATAATTCTCCTGTTTCAGTTTTTCCTCTCTAGACTAATTTTTGTTATCTTCGCATGATCCAACCAATGAACGGACAGATCTTGTCAGACCAATATGTCTTCCTCACGAGGATATCTTTTTCACGAAAAAAGATTTCGAAGGATATCAGCCGTTTGTCGCTGGCTGGGGTATGATTCAATACGGTGAGTAATTATGTATGGTTTCTCAATGAACCACCGCACAGGATGAAATCAAAGAGCCACGGGAGATGGTTCCTTATCTTTTTATTCAGAGCACTTTATACAGATTTGAAATTTTCAGAAGGAGCTCGGGGATGAACTAGAGAAACTCATCTTCAATATGGTGAAACATGAAAATTGGAATTAGTCAGTTCAGATACCCTTAAGAAAAAGAAAAGAGAAAAACAATTTCAAATCGTTTTCTGGCACCAAAGCAGAAGATGGAATGATAAAGTTGCCACTCGTCGATTTGGTTGTTATTCTGCGTGAAAAAAACGGCATACTTTATATTGGTCATTGAAAATAGCTATGACATAATTATTCATGAGGGCTCAAGGGATGAGCTATGAATTATATGTAACGCGGCAAAAGAATAATAAATTCTTGCCGCCAGACGTAATAAAGAAGCGTGTTCAACAGCTAAAAAATTGCAATCATTTGGGGAACTGAGGAAGTTCTATGGAGGGGGGTTAATTTTTGGGGGAAAAAACTTAAAATTTCATAGCTTATTCTTCCAGAAGACAAAGTTTTATTTCAGTCACATCCATTCGTTTTGTCATGCTAAAACAAGGTCACGCACTATTTATGCTCTTGAATATTACAAAATTATTCACCTTTTAAGAATTAACTTAATGTAAACAGACAGAAAATGTATAATTAACTTTCGTTTTTTCTCTCTCCACTCATTACTCGTCTCCTTCCTCCCCCCTTCCGAAGATTCGGCTTTTAATCCTCGGAATGTTACAAATAGTGGAATGATACAACTATTCAAGCTTCCGTGTGTTGCACAGTATCATTCTCAATTGCAGGCGTTTTTTCTTTCCTTGAGTCAAGCTTTCCTTCTGACCTCACACCTCATACCTCTCTCTTTCTTTCTCCCTTCCTCTTCCCCCCTCCCCTTTTTTTACTCTCTGATTCTTACTCCCCCTCCACTTCTCTTCCCTCCTCCCTCCCCTCCACTGAGTCCCTCCCCCTCACTCTAAAGTAACCATATTACCCGGGAAGGTGTGAATAGTGATTAAAATTATTAAGACACCCTCCAAAACACTCGGTCATGCATTCCTCCAACATCAATTCTTAAACATCCATCACAAAACATTTGGTCTCAAAAGGAGAAATTGAATCCCTGCCTTTTCAAATACGTCGTAAATTCATTAGTATAAAATAGCTCCTCTGTAATTCATTAGAAAACTATAATGTTTGACATGATTTGGAAAAACAGAGACTCTATATGGTGTAGAAAACAAGACGATGTTAGTATATGTCTTTAAACGCAGTGCATGCGACTTAAAAATAATCGATTTATGACAGATAAATTCGGTTTTTAGGGGGAAAGAAATCCATGCAACTTCTACAAATTCAAATTCCATTACTGAGTACTCAAGACTGCAAAGGGATGTTGAGAGCGCAACAGGTGGATATGCACGATGACTCGATATGCGCCTATGCCGATGAAAAAGATGCTTGCCAGGTAATTTCCACATTTCGCAACGAGGAACTACTATTTCCAGCCCTGTGGCGAAGCGTGAATTATCGATTTCGATATTTCCCCTATTAAAGCTATCATAAAGAATCGATTATTAAGGTAATCGTTGCCAACATCCTCTCTATCGATCCTTTTCCATGGGTTTAAATAGCAGATCAATCAATAGGTCGCAAAGCATGCCATGCCACTGTTCCAGCCCATACACAGAATCACCTATCTTCATAGGGAAACAAATGACACTTACGTTGGCAGCTGGACCACAAGTTTTCTAATGCGCGATGTGAAATCTTCAGAGATTCAAATGACAACAACTTCGGGTTCCATACATGAGGTTGTTTTCTCCGTGAGCCAGAAAAGTGGTATTTCCCATCGTGTGTTATCATCTCATATATATTACTTACTGGGAGCCTTCTAAAACTAAAATTCTCTGTAAATACTTGCAATTCTTGCAACGGCCTGAAGACATGCGGATTGCTTTCAAAGTGGGCGTAGTACATACATGCGTAGTTTCTGAAATAACCCAAAAAACTGGTTTCTTTTTATCGACGCAGTTGATCTCGCCGTGGATAATCAACAGTCAGCCGAATGAGCATTAGAAATAGGTAAAATTTTCCCTGGTATACCTAAGTGACTGTAGAAAAGAAACAAACACTTTTCTAAACCTCTGTCAACATATATGTGAAGGACACGGAAAAAATTAAATTGCTGATTTTAACAATTCAATTATTGCTCAAAAATGTGACTGCAATGTTATAACGTAGATTTTACAACAACGAAAAATGCTACTTTAACCACTATTGTAAGCTAATTTAACCGCGGTGGTATCTAAGGTAACATTTGTGTGTTGTAAAATCTACATTGAAACATTGTAGTCACTTTTTTTAGCTATTGAATTGTTAAATCAGCAATTTAATTTTTTCGGGGGGGGGGACCCATTTTAAGTATTTTTAACGTATAATGTACGTCAAAAAGTTTATCGAGAACTACCACAAATTTTTTGGAGTGTTTTTTATAACTTTTTGCCCGGTCGTAAGTTGTACTTGTGAAAATACTAAAAAATTCCTTATTTCAACGTACGTTCTCTTCTTACCTGATTTTTTTAAGATTCATTAAAAAAAAGAAGAAAAAACACAATTTTTGAAAAGTTTTGTGGTTGATCTATAATTAATTATAATGTAATTGATAATCACTTTCAATTATGTAATGACCCACGTTAATTTTCAGGGTGACAGCGGCGGACCATTGATGCTACCGATAGACGACAGGTACTACCTACTAGGGGTGGTCTCTTACGGTCTAGAATGTGCCAAGAAAGACAGCCCTGGTGTCTATAATAAAGTCCACACTCACTTGAAATGGATCACCGATCAGCTAGATTAGCAATTAGAGTGCAATTAGCACGATTACTTTTATGCGTTTCGAGCCCATTTGCTCCAAATGATCTCATGATCGACTGAATCAGTGAGAACGAAAACATTCCAACTCGGAAGAAGTAAAATGTTCAAGAGACACAATAAACTGCGCAGTAGCCGATGGATTTAGTTTAAGAAAAAGCTTTTTGGTGCTATAGAGGATACCTATGTGTTCGGCGACATTGTGAAGGACGAAGTTGCAATAGATGCATCATGTTTGATAACAGAGAATTAGGCGTTTGAAAGTTCCCGAGTTTGTGAGTTTTTGTTCTTACCGACTGCATGTGCGACGATCATTTTTCATGGTTTTACCCTGGACAATTAATATTTTTCGGCATCTCCATCATTTTTATGACTAGTTGATACAAGGTACATAACGAGCCGAAAAAAACCATGAAATTGGATGGTCACCCGATTCTCTTGAAATGCCTAAAATCGGTATATCCAATAAAGTACTTAAATGCTTTTCTCTTTTCAGTTTTTTTTTTCTATCAGATATTTTCGTTGATGGCACTGAGTACTCTAAAGAAGTTTTTTGGTGAACTATCGACTCTGAAAAAGTCCAATGCTCCCTCCCCCCTCCCTCAACTGATAAGGAAAGCCCATTAATAGGGTGTGTTTTCGTTCTCACAGCACAGCCCTTTTCCCGTTGCCGTTTCGAGCACCTCCGATTGCAATTTCGAAATTTCCTCCTGCGTGCGGATGCGTCTATCCGTTAGTGTTACTAAACCGTAAAAAGGTGAAAATCGAAAAAAAACCATGTTGGTGTGTCTTCATTCTCACTATTTCAATTGAGGGACCTGGAAGAAACAAGGATAAGCAGAGCTTTTATCGTTGAACCAACTGACTGTCTTATCTTCGGCTGAATGACACACAAGTTCTATGTACTTGGCCATTCTGCCGTGCTAAGGAAGAACACCATAAGAACATTCGAGAGTTGCCAAATTTCCTCCGTTAAAATGTTTAATTTTTAGGAAAGTTGTGAATATTTTTCCTAGAAATTTTCAGACACTCTAGATCAACTCACAAACCAAATTATCTGATAAATTGGAAGGAAAATATTCACAAATTTTCCTGAAAATTAGTGATTTTTCCAAGGAAATCCGGCAATGTCTGAGGGCTCATACGGCGTTCTTCCTCAGCAAGGCAGCAGAGGATTTTCATCCGAGTAATCCACCTTCCGGTCTGTCTGATGCCCATTAATCTCTCTAAAACCGATTAATCAATAGGAATAATAAATCATACATCTCAGAGCAAAATGACTGAAAACCTGAAATTAAGAGGAGGTAAGCATTTGAATACTCACGATTCATCGGTAAATCGTGCTGTCGGGAAGGATGCGCTCATGTTTCACGCTGAATGAGTCGCTTATGGAAGGTAACGAGAATCGGAAGTTCTCATTCTCTTTCCGTCTTTTACACCTTTTTTTGTGAATCTCCGTCAATTTTTTTTGTCTCAAGTGAAAATTGGATCCTGGTAACTCTGAAGCCTCCTTTTTACTTATGGAAATTTTACCCGGTCCCCTCTTAACTACAGTACTTTTACAAAGAGAGTATGGTCGCTGTGATTACAACCTCTAATTAGTTGAGCCACCTCAGGCTGAAGGGGCCTTCTGCCTTCAAAAATTGAGGACAATATAAGTAGATTTAAACACAAAATATAGTTTCATTTGCAAATCGCAACGAAAACTTTTACTCAAATGCATTATTACAATGTATTTAAATAGTGTTACCGCTAAAAGTGTGATACTTTCGAGGAAAATCATTTTAGATATAGTAAGGTTGCCAGCAAGTGCGGTTGGTAATAACCGTCCAAAGTTGGCAATGACCCCCCCTCCTATCCTCATAAACCAAAACGAAGCGTCGCCATTTTTGAGCCGAAGCCCTCAATGCGGCCCAAAGTCCAAACTCTTCCTATGAGGATACTCTACTCCCAATGTGGAATATACGGATGCACTGTCCATATGTGAAGATTCTTATTGAATAACTTATGGAACAACTTTTATGGAATAACTATAAAAATGATGATGGGCGTTCTACGATAAGTTTCTCGAGTTGAAGAGACAAAGATCCGACTCCGACCGTCGCACAGTGCGGCCCTCTGTGGACAAAAGTCAAAAATTCACAACTCGACATCTGAATATTTTTTTCGGAATTTGTCATCTTAAAGATATTTCTGACTCACTATGATGGTTCATTTTCAAATTTTCCGCTCAAAACTACTTCAAATGTGGGTAGAAAGTGGGCAGGAAATAGGTCGGGAATCACTGGTCCGTAAGAAATACACGGGAAAAAGACGTCAACTTCAAATGGCGATTTCTCGCTTGAAACGCAAAATGCTCTGGGTGGTTGACATTTTCTTAATCCTCAGATATCCAACTTCAATTCTACGAAAAAGATCTTGCGACTTTTTGCGACTATCAGAGATATTTGAAGTTAAAGTTTGGGTGTTTCACGTTGCTTTTACATCATTAACACAGGGCTAATTCGAGGTTGCCAACTTTGAATGAACTTTTCTTGAAAAATACGCAAAAAAACCTGAGGTATAACAGTTTCTTATTCCTCGAGTGTTTTACTTTGATAGTGCCAAAGGGTTTTCCTATGTCGGTGCTATTATCTTCATTATTTAAAGTTAAGTGTCTTTTGCCGATTTTTGTCCGCATCGTCCATAAGGGTGCCGCACTGTGCGTCGCGTCGTGAGTTCAATTGCAACCGTTCGCAAGTAATTTTAGATTTTGAAATGTTACCATAGACGGTTTAGTATGCCTGTCATGAGGGTTGCATACTCAACTTTGTGTAGGTGATATTATTGTCTATCTTTTTTTCAAAAACCAGTCCACCATATTTAAGTTTGAAGAAATTGAAAAAATTAAAGAAATTTAAAAAAAAAAAAACTGTCTTTTCGAATTATTTACTCTCAGTCTGTCACTCCAAAACCACGGCCACGGTTGCTTACACTCCGAGTCGGCCATGCAAATTTCCGGTGTTTGTCGGAAAATTCCATGTCCGATTCCTCCAAAGGTTCTCACTCCCATAGAGCAAAAAAGGAGGTGCTTGCTTCTTAAGGATTGCTCACCCCGTGACGCAGGTCAGTGCAACATGATGTCGATATTTCAGCAAAATCATGAATTCGAAGCATGAATAGCGGACCATAACGCCCAATTTTTTGTTAAATCAACTCATGATATAATTTCAAACACGTTATAAAAGATGATTTTTTTTCCATAAACTACGCCATTTTCAAGAAAATTGATGATAAAAACAGTCCGTACCGACTTACGTCATCAAAAAAATCCAAGATGTCCGAAATTCAAACATCAGTGCTCCCATTTCCCGGAACGAATTTCGAATTTGGTACCGAATTTCGGAACTTTTGAGATTTTCCTGAATTTTTCCCGAAAGTTTTGAAATCCCCGAAATGTTTCGGATCTTTTGCATTTTCCGGAACTTTCTCGGAAATTTTGAAAACATCTAAAAATAATTCTGGAACTTTTGACAGTCATGGAGTGGGAGGATCGGAACAGAAAAGTTCCGAATCCCGGAACTTTTGATTGACATGGAATGGGAGCACTGTGGGCTGATTATTGAACCGGATAGACAAAGCTATAGACAAAGAATACATAGTAAGTATAGAGCGATCCTATTGGTTGACAGTTGGTTCTTATAGACTAAGGAAAAAAATGATGGACTAACTGTCGGGTCTTTGGTGCGTTGCCGTTAGTTAGCATTACCTACTTCCTATGTCCATTGCCACCACCCGCTTCCACCAATACGATCCCTCCAAATCCCTTTTGTCGTCTTTGTCTATAGCTTTGTCTGTCAGTTTCAATAATCGGCCTGCTGGCAAACACCTCCTTTTTTTTCTCTGCCATACTCCACTGTGGGTCGCTCACTACTCATTTTCAGGCGAAAACAATTACTTGAGTCTCAAAGGCATCCGTCACACTATTGAAAGCCGTCGATGAGATGTGTTCAAAATATTTACCTCCGGATTTGAACCCAATTGTGGGCGCACGACACGGTGCTCCCCAGCCCCCCGCTTCCTCCGTCGACCCCGCGAAGGTCCGGGATGTCTACCACGTGACGATGTCCACGAGGCGCGATGACTATGGCTGTGGCTCGTCATTCTTATCAACCGGTCACATCGAGTTGTCTCTGTTTCCATCCTCCGAACTCCAATCATCCGCGATAGTCGTTATCACCTCGTCGATCGCATCGCGTCGGCATCACCTCGCACCTTCCAAATCGCGGTCTCATCGCCCGGCAGTCCCGTTCCTCGCGCTCACAACGTGGTTTTCTTCACGCGCCTCTACCGCGAAATTAAGGTTAGAACCTGGGGTTTTTCAACCCAACAGTGTTGTGTTGTGGTTTCAAGTGCTCAAGAAGAGTTTCTATGCCTAGGATGCTTTTTTATTTTTTTTATTTTGAATTTTTTATTTTATTTTTTGCTTTTTCTTATTTTTTTATTTTTTTGTTTCATTCGTGGGGCAGGGTATACATACATTTTATATTTACGTAGGTAATTCAACTGTTTGAAAATGAAAGAGTCCGCTCGTAAAAGGGTGGTTTGAAGACGAACCTCTTTTGAGCGAAATGGTTTAGAAATTGAAAAATGTTTTGAAACAAGGGCGCATAAGACTTGCAGTGATGCTAAGATAGCCTGGTTTGCTAAAAATTGTTTACAGAGTCGCACAATCTTAGCAGCATTATACGCCCTTTGTTCCAAAGAACTCCTCAATTGTAAGGACGGGCGCATTTTGGCCTCCAATTCCGCAAAGTAGCATGGGGTGTGGAAATATGAAGGTGTGTTCCCAAAAATAGGTAGATGTTGGTTTTAAAACAAAGGGTAATTTTAAAGGACGCCAGCCCTTTTGAGGAAACTCTTCAATGGAGAAGTTCTTTTGAATTTGAATGGCCATGTACATACAACCTTTGCAATGCTGATTAGATCCCGCATACCGACGCAATTTTTTCAATCACCATTTCATACATATTCCTTAAATTATAGTTTTTTTGCGCCAATATTCTCTAATACGTAGCCGTCTAAGCTATAACGCTTTGATACAACTATTCGAGCTTCATGGATGTCCGTATTGCATACGCACGGAAGAGAAGGCGTTTTGACTTCCGAAGCTCTCACCACTTCACCTCTCCCGCGTCGCCAACGGTGGTCTTTACTGCAAAGATCCAAAATGGCGGAGAGTTTTCAATCCTTTGTTTATACAAACAGGTATCTCCTTTGCGCGAACAGTTGCATACAGGCGTAGGATGCGAGTATCTTTTGTGCTTCAGTTTTGATATCGCAATGTGCTGAGCATGATTTGTGAGGCAACTATTCATGTCTGAGGGATGTATTCGAAGTAGAAATGAAGGTTTGAAAGCGCTGCGCCATTTCAGATCCTTGCAGTGGAGTCCACCGGGAAATGAAACGAGTTTTTCAGAGAGGTCGGGCATGCAATTTTCGACTACAACTGCAAATTTTGACGTTTGTTACCTTACAATAAATTAGGTGGGATGCTTGTCGATGGAAAGTTTAGGAGACACTCAATGAAACCACGTCTAAAACCTCTACATTCCGTATTAACATCGATATGAGCTTTCAATGTTTCCAAATTTTGTATAACTCCTCTCATTGACTCGCTTCACTGATAGTGAGAACCGCAGTCCGCGGTTGAAGAGGTGAGTAAGTGCCTGCATAGTCAAAACGCCTTCTTTTCCGTGCGTATGCAACGCGGACATCCATGGAGCTTGAATAGTTGTATCAAGGCGTTATAATGAAATTCGTCTAGTATCCGTCGCTTGACACTAGGTGAAGCTTTGATTTTACATGTTAACTTAATTACAGCGTGTCTTATTGTGCCGATTAAGTAAACCATTGATGGTTTCAATTGTAACACTGTCGATTTTAATTTTTTTAAAATGCATTGTTTAAATGTATTATGTACAACGATGCCGGCCCCCGAAATTGCAAAAAAATTACGTATCAGAGCATGTAGAGTTCCCTGTGAGCTATTTTACTGAGTCGTCCTCTGTGTGGACTTTTCTTGATTTTTTTCTTTTGGGGAAACTAATTTCAACATTTAAGCGTGAAATTTTCCAAGAACGATCCAAATAAATAGCACGGAATTTGGAACAAAAACGATTCGTCTATGGAAAAACTGAAATACGATAGTAAATCTGTTAAATCAGGAGTCAAAACATACGTAATGCGTTATTTGTGAATATAGAACAGTAAGCAAATGTTTACCTGAGTAAGAAGGAGTACAGAAATAATTATCAAACCAAAATCGCCAATTGCAACCCTTATAATATGATAGCGAGGGGAAAAGAGACAAACGCCTCTTCTGAGGACGTACAGTATTTTGATTTTTTTTCTCACTAAAAACAAGCCTCATTGCGAGCAGAAATTCATACTAAAAGAGCGTTGTCCATGAGCGCTTAGAATTATGATTCATCGAATTATTGGCAGTAGGCAGGGAATCATGTTTCCCGTCAATTATATAAAGGCAAGATAAATTGAAAGGGAAGATTACCGGAAATGAACGATAGCGACCGCCCTTGACATTAAACTTTACGCTTTTAGCATTCTGCACTCGGACCTATCCCGGTGAATACTGCCGTGCTAAGGAAAAACGCCGTATGAACATTCGAAGGTTGCCAAATTTCCTTCCATAAAATGTATATTTTGTGTTGGAGAAATTTGAATATTTTTCCCCGATATTTTCTCGAACTACGGGAGACCTTGAGATGGTAAAATTATAAAAAAAATCGGTAGAAAAATATTCGTGAGCTCACTAGGAAATTCGTGTTTAACCAAAGGAGTTTTGGCAACGCCAGGGGCTCATGCGGCGTTTTTACTTAGCAAGGTATAATACGGAACCAGTTGTTTCTAACGTTCATGCACGCAATATTTGTCAACATTCCACCCTAAACGGCTAATTTTTGGCGACTGGCCAAATTTCCATTTCTTTTATGCTCCGAACAATGAGCGAGAAGGCGCCGTGCGCCGTCGGGATAGTTAAACGTCCCAAATATTGCGTAAACAAAATTATTTTAATGCCAATACGGTCCCATCCTAATTGCAGTCATTCTTCGGCTCAAGTCACGCTAGTCTCCAAGCTTCGAATTGGTCGAAAAATAACCAAACAAATCCTTTGTTCCGAGTCTTGAAGACCGCCGCGCTCATTGGGGCCCTGCACAGTGCGTGCGCAAACGAAATAAGGATTCAAAATATTTTGAATCGCGCCCAATTATTCAAATTCCCGGTGGGAAGGAAACTTTCTGGAAAAAGTGGGACGTCAGCTTGCAGTGGATTTTTCCGATGATCGCGGTCGCGGACCACGGTCATTTCCGCGCAGGACCCAATTTCATGCCACCTTTTGACTGGGCACGCGCGTAACTTGCTCTGATTGGCAGAAGACACATTGACGAGACCTCAACAGTGTAACAACAGTTCATCGTGACAATAGGGATTCGAGCACTATAGGACATACCTATTCAGTTCCTTGGACCTCTCCTTCGTAAGATATCAGAGAGCGAACGTTAAGACATGATTCACTTTAAAGAAACCCTTACTCTACTTCTACCTCTAACTCTTACCACGATTTTTTCCCTCCCTTAAAAAAAAATGAGTGCTGCTTATGAAGGGGTTTGTGCCCCGCTCGTCCATAACTCGTCCCGTCTATTGGTTCCGCGGCATTAATCAGAATCTTCCTCCAGTTTTCATTAAATTTTCGATGAAATATTGCCCATAAAACTTTAGTCCCCTCAAAAATTAAACATTTTAATTCTTACTTTGGAACATTACATGCCACTCAGCTTTAACCTTTCCTGTCCTTATTATCTAGAGGTAAATCTCTTTCCTAGTTGGAGACTTCATGAGATATTTTAGTATTTCTCAGATGAAAAATCCCGACTAGGTATCCTTCTATCCTTCCACCTAGTTTTAACTAGCTGCTCAGAAAGAAAATAAAATTGGAGTGGAGAGGATTATCCTATAAATTGGAGAAAGATCAGAATCAACAATGGGGTGCGTTTCTCACCAAATGTGGTGCTAGATTTTTTTAGGCCAGCATAATGATAATTTTTGTGATGGAAATAGCAATGGAAAAACTATAGGGTCATGTCTATCGGTCTGCGACGTTGCATACTTCCATTCCTATTTTATTTTTTAATTTGGACACTGAATGAAGTAACCTTCTGAATTTTTCTATGATTTTTCTTCTCTATTTGAAAAATATTTTGGGAAAATTCTAAGCAAGAAAAAATATATTCTTCCTCTCAAAAAGTGAAAAAGGGGCAAAAAACTCGTGTTGAAACACCGTGATTGAGATATATGGTTTTCAAAAAATATGTGAAGTAGTGCAAAGTGCGTGATTTTAAAAATTGTCCTAACGTAAATCCGTGAATTAAATTGTTTTTTAGCAGTGTGTATCAATGAAGTAGAATCTGCGAGTGAACTCGTTCCGTGATCCGGCTAAGTTTAATAAAGCGCTTTTCGATCTTAAAGCCTTTGCGTCCTCTGCAAAAACTACGATAGTAATACACGTTTTCCACTAGTGCGTTTTTTAGTCAAATGAATTGTGGAGCGCAATTTTAAAACCAAGTGCAAGTTTTTGCACTGAAGGCCGTCATCAAATCAAAAGAAGACTGTTCAAACACTTGTGGCTCCTTCATCAAAAATGACAGGTTTGTTCTCTTATTTATTCGATTATTTAGTTAATAGCACTACTATAACTATTTGTACTAATGAATGCGCAAATACAATTTATGGGTCTATCCATGAAGATAGACTATCAAGAAGCAAGGTTCCTCTGGGAACCGCGAGGGTTCTCTCAGATAACTCTATGACTACCCCATTCGTTACTAATGGTCTCTTCATTCACCCCACAGGAGCCCACAGGTGTGCTTGCCCATCCTATGGGCTCCAATACTGCCATGCTAAGGATGAAAACCGTATGAGCCTTTAGACGTTGCCATATTGTCTTCAATAGGAATAGAATTTACCAGGAAAATTGTGAGTCATCTTCTTCGAAATTTTCAGACAATTTTCACCACAATTTATTCTAAAGTATCTAAAAATTTCAAGTAAACATATGCATAACTTTTCTACAAAACACATATTTTACCCGGGGAAATTTGACAACTTTCGAATGTTCATGTGGCGTTCTTCCTTAGCACGGCAGAATAGGTCCCAGTGGAATCCCCATGGGCACCCATTGAAATCTAATGGGCCCCCAGGGAACCGTTCTGACAGGGCTCAGAGGGTAAAAAATTGCAGATGATTTACTCGTATCATCCGAAGAATTTACGCAAATTACAAATATCGGCGTTAACCTAACAAGCGCAGCAAATGATGGTAAAAACCCTTCCCACCCAAAGGCTCCGTCATTTTTGTGTTCCTTCGGATTCGCATAGGACCCAGTACTCATATTCTCTCTATGGAGGTACTCACAATCAGCGGAATGTGGAAGCAGAGACGTGATGAGTCGCCGAACTGTTAAACAATTGGAGCAGTTTTATGTTTTGATTGCGAGGCTGTGCATTGTGCATGGAGGTGGTGCGGCGGCGTACAGTGGAACGAGTCAATTCGAGAAGTCGGACAAAATGTGGAAACTTTAAAAGCTCATGATTCCGTTAATACAAAGTGTTGATTATTCAAAAGCGGTTTCTCTCGTAAAATTTTCTATGAAAAGCACCCCTTGGAATTTGACCGCGTTTAACAGAAAGGAACCAAGCCACATCAGCTATTGCCAATTTTAACTGGGCACTTTAATTTTTTACTAGAAAACGTTTGTGCGCATCCCTTTGAAATTTTTAAGGAATTTGCTTCGTGCTACGGAGAAGATTCACTGAAATTTGCACGAAAATCCGCACAACTGTTTTCATGTAAAAAATTAAATTAGCCAATTAAATTTGGCAATAGCTGATGTGGCTTGGTTCCTTTCTGTTTAACGCTGTCCAGTTGAAAGTGTGACGAAATGAACATTAAAATTTACAATTTTTGCCAAAAATTTTATGTCCAACTTCTTCCAAAGACTCGATCCATTGTGCGGCGGTGGCCACGGCGACGCGCCGTCTCCTCTCATCAGTTGAGTCGTGATTGCCAGTTCCGCTAAAAAAACAATTCACAACTTCTCCACCGACCTCTCCAGACTCCTCAACCTCACCACCATTATCGTGTAACTTATGTCACGCGGGAATGCGGGATCCACCGCGCTTAATCGTTTCCTTGCTCTCGTGCTCTCGCGGTAACGATTGTCCTTTCTGACGGATGAAGCGTCAGAATTTTTGAGATGCATGAGTAAACACACGTTCGTTGCCGCTCGGGAAAGATACCCTTAGCGCCTTCATATTCTATATAGGCAACACGGACATCCATAGAGTACGAATAGTTGCATCAAGGCGTTATGGATTACATTTTGCAATAAGGAACTAAAATAAATCATATCTTTATCATATCTTTATAAATCATATATATGTTAATATTTGGTTAGTAATTTTATTGGGTTTGTTTATTTTATATTCTCTAGTACAGTGTATTGTGACCGTTGTAATAAAGATTATTATTGGTGGAACTAATTTTTCTGTAATAGACAGATAAATCACATTTTTATTTAACTCTATAAATCATGATATTCTGTTTCCCAAAACTATCTCTGGCTCTTCCATAAAATCATGTATCTGCATAGGGAAATCAATGGCAAATATGTTGTTTCTAAAATGAGCCAGAAATAGTGGTTCCTTATTGCAAAATGGAATTCTTATGATCATCGCGCCGTTGGATCTGTCGAAAAAAAAGATGGAGATGCCATGCCACGTTCTATTTCTGACAGAAGTGATGGAATTAAACACAGGGTGGGAAAAGCACACAGTCAATTAGGAAGCCTTTCAAAACCGTTGTGGCGTGATTTGATTCAAGAGGACTCTTGTTTCATGTGAGCAGGAAATTCAAATTTTTAGTAGCCAATGCTGGATAAAAAATTTGATACCTTGGTTGGGAGATATTGTCAGTAATTTACGCCGCATACATTGTTTTTTACGTGTTTCGAGGAGAAAACGTAAATTAGAATACTTAAATTCCTTCTTTGTTCTGCGGGCTGATTATTGAAATTTATACAGACAAAACGATAGAAAAGGAAGACGTAGGAAGTATGGAGCGATCTTATTGCGGTTGAAACGGGTGGTTATTAAAGACTAAGGGGGAAAATGGAGGACAAACTGTAGGATATTTTGTCTGTTGCCATTAGCTGTCTATTTACTTACCTCCTTTAAGTCTATTACTTACCTCCTTTATCTATTGCAACCACCTGCCTCCGTCAATAGGATCGCCCCGCTTTCTCTCTGTTTTTATGACTATCACTTTGTCTATCAATGTCAATTAGCAGCCCGCAGCGGGCTGGTTATTGAAATGAATAGACAAAGCAATAGACATAGGAGACAGAGGAAAAATGAAGCTATCCTATTGATTAAAATGGGTAGCTAGATTGGACAAGGGAGGTGAGTAATGGACAAACTAACGGCAACCCACGAGGGACCCGACAGTGTCATTTCCCCTAAGTCTATGAGAAGCATGCGTCTCAAGGATCACTCCATGCAGCCATGCTATCTATGTCTTCTTTGTCAATCGCTTTGTCTATCAATTTCAATAATCAATCCCCAGTTGCCAATTCCTAGAGACATGTTTATTTTCTTTAGTAACACGTCTTCGTTTTCATTTTTCGTTTCAGCGACTGAAAAATCCAACGGTGTGGCCGAGAAGACGAACCCGGAAGCAGAAACCCAAGTCTCAAGCCCAAACACGCCGGTGGAGGCACCTCCACCACCGGACGATCCAGTGGATCTGGTCAACCAAGCGACCGGGAATTTCGGCAAATGGCAGTTCTGGATTTGCCTGGCGATATCCCTCTCCAAGTTGCCCGTCGCTTGGCACCAGCTCAGCATAATCTTCCTATCGCCCAAGCTCCACTATTTCTGCTCGGAAGGACACAGTAATTTCACCTCACCCTCAACCGCATCGACGAGGGCTGCATGTTGGACCTCGGTCAATGGGACCAGAACGAGATGCCATCATTGGACCTACGATACCAGCGTCTTTCATAACACCATCACCACGGAGGTTCGTAATCGAGAATTATCGGCTTTTTTGGATGCACGTGGAGGGAAACGACCACTGCATTGGAAACGGAAGTCCTCCAGATTCAAAGACTCTTAAAACATTTGACGAGAAAAACTTCTCTTAATTCGATCGGAATTTTGCTTAAATTGAGAGTCAAGCCTCTTAATCTGAGCGGAGTTCCTTTTGATTCAAGCAAAACTCCGATCAAATCAAGAGTATTTCTTTTGTCAAATTTTGTCAGAGACTGGACTCCAGATCCGGGAAACTTTTCTCCACTGTGCTTGTTAAACACATGTTAGCGCCTACAAGACTCCACGGATATTTCACGCATTGCGTCAAACGTAGTGCGGTCAGGAGCGGTTGGCGTGAAACTCATAGTGCCTACAAGACTGCATGAATACTTCACGCATTGCGTCAAAAATAGTGTGGTCAGCAGCGGTCGGCGCGTGAAACGCATAGCGCCTACAATACTGTGGGGATACTTCACGCATTGCGCCAAACACAGCGCGGCTGGCGCGGTGGCGGAAATTAAAATCATTAAACCACATTCATGTTTATTCTTTCATAATTTTTTTGTTCTTTTCTTAAAAATGAAATAAGGCCTCCCCCACACAGAGATAAATTTACGAAACTTAATTTTCGCGCAAAGTTCCGTGAACTTTTGCTAGTGGTGACAGGGTTTACACAAAACATAAGCCAAATGCGAGTAAACGCGTCTTATGCACCCCTCCTCCTCTGGCTCGTTCACTTGATGGTTTGTATCGATGTTTCAAAACGAATGAGAAGGGGCGGCAAAATAGAGGCGGCCCATGGGCGGCAAGTAGGTAAATCCGGCCCTGCATACTGCATGATGCACTTTATGTTAACAGAAATGTGATCAAAAGGTCCCTCCGAACCAGACACAAATGAAACAAAGATCGCTGAGACACACAACCTTAATACAAAATCCGATTGCAGTGGCAATCGTTGACAAGTCCTTTTTATTTTTTCTTCAACTTTTGACCTAATTTATGCGATACACCCGGGCTAGTTCGATGTCGGCCGTGGATCCCGAGGTGAATCACTTTAAATCAGGCATATGAATCGATGGTGCAGGAAATCCTGCCCATAGCTGAAGGCACGGTCCCACAAAGCGAATGCGGCACAAAGTCAACCGGTGCAACAGATTCGAGCGACCAGGTATAATTCTTTGAAAGTTTGAAATCTGACTGTTGCCACTGAAAGTGCAATGCGCGATTGCGCGTCGTCAACTTCTTCAGCAACGGACGGTTTTCAAATCATCGCACCCGGTCGTGCGAATCTTTCGCGCGGTCGAGTTCGTGCCGCCCCATACTGTCATGCTAAGGAAAAACGCCGTATGAACCTTCAGGCGTTGCCAGATTTCCTTTGATAAAACACGAATTTCCTGGTAAACTTATGAAAAAAAAATGTTCCGATTTTTCAAATAATTTTGTTCGCGATTTAACCTAAAGCTCCTAAAAATTTCAAGGAAAAATATTCATAATTTTCCTCAAAAATAAACCTTGCATCGAAGGAAATTTGGCAACTCTAAAATGTTCATACGGCGTTCTTCCATAGCACGGCAGCATAGTGGATCGAGTCCATCAGGAGGTCGAATATGAAACTTTTGACCGAAACTTCAAATTTTGACGTTTATTTTTATCACATTTTACATTGTAAGGGGTGATTCTAGAAGAAAATTTTATGAGAAAACCAATGCAACCACTTTCAAAGCCTCAAATTTTTTTATAAACGTAGTTATGAGCGTTTAAAGTTTCAAATTTTTGTACGACTTATCCTAATGACTCGGTCCACTGTGCGCCCGCGCTCTATGAGACCGTAGAGTACCTATATTGAGAGAGTATGGCCACTGGGGTTACCGCCTCTGATTGGCTCAGCCATCTTAGGCTAAATGGAGCCCTTACGACCCAAAAATGGCGGACGCCATAAATTAATGTAATGCAAAATGACTCAAAATCTAGTTTTCTTTGCTTATCGTAAGGAGAAATTTACTCAAATGCACTATTGCGACATCTTTACATATTTTTAAGACTAATCGTGTGCAATTTTTGAGAAAAATTATCTTAGATGTAGTAAGGTTGGCAGCAAGTGCGGTTGGTGATAACCGTCAAAAGTTGGCAATGACCCCCCTCCCATCCACAAAAACCAAAACAAAGCACCGCCATTTTTGGGTCCTAAGCCTCTCCATGGGGCCCAGTGGCCATACTCTCTCAATATAGGTACTCTATGAGACCGTGGCTTTATGCGGACCGATTGAAGTACAGCGGCGAATCGGTAGGGACCAGTGCAGTGGGAAGAGCGCGAATCGAAGGATGCGTCTGGATTTAGAGCAGATACTCGGGCATGCATAATGATGATGAGATTAATAGCGTCCAGCCGCTCCGGTAATGATCGCTTCACCGCCGGAAATGGGACAGGATGTAGAGCACCGCCATGTCCTCCTCGTCGCGTGCTGGACCCCTCTCCTCCTCCCCTCACTCCACACCCACACAAGACTTTTGTCAAAGGCGGTCGCGCCGAGCCTATTCTGCCGTGATAAGGAAGAACGTCGTATGAACATTCGAGAGTTGCCAAATTTCCGTATATAATATGTTTATTTTCGAAGGAGGTTATGAAATCTTTTTCCTTGAAATTTTCAGGAACTTTAGGTGAAATTGCGAATAAAAATATCTGAAAAATTGGAAGGAAAATGTTCATAAGATTACCAGGAAATTCGTGTTTGGTCAAAAGAAATTTGGCAACGCCTTAAGGCTCATGCGGCGTTTTCCCTCTGTATGGCAGTATTGCTGCCGTCCTTTTAAAAAAATTGTCGAGTGAACTTTCCAGTGTTGCTAAATTTCCTACGATAAAGTGATCAGTTTGCAGAATTTCTATGAGTACCAGGGGGTACGCCCCCTGGCCGCTTCGCGCCTCTAACATGTGGAAAAAATACATTTATAAATCAAAAATTTCTGGTCAAACTTCATTGTGAATACAATTATTCGAAGGGCCTACTAGGCCCTGTACAGCCTACTTTCTACCCACGAAATAGATGCATGATTTGTTCCATTGCACTAGTTGCGATTCCAGCAAGTTGGCAACACAGTTACTACCTCATTTAAATTCATTTAATTTATCGATTCTAGGTGAGACTACCTGCCTCACCTAGAATCGATTGTTTAACATACATTTAAATGAAGGAAAAACAAAGTTGCCAAATTTTCTAGAATCGCCACTGATTATAGTAGTAACGTTGAGTTTAGTTCAATCCGGTCAGTCATTCACTGTCTACCTAGGTAAGGTGTTTAAAAAAATATCTTCTTTGACCGTTAAGCCTAGCAATATATGAATACCTCGATAAAATGTGACCAGAAATCAATGCACCAATGACATTATATCGTTTGGTTTGTTTGACAGTGGGATTTGGTATGCGAGCGAAGTCAGCTCTCCAATGTGGCACAATCAACCTTCATGTTCGGCGTCCTTCTTGGAAATGTTTTATTTGGTATGGCTGCCGACAGGTGAGTCAAATTCACTGCCTCCATGAATACTAATTAATCCATTTGCTAATTATTGACGAATTTAGTTTCGATTAACCGAACATTTCGTTTTCCTCCGAAAGCGGACGAGTCTCCTACTGCAGCACATGCAGTTTTACCTAAAGGAAACTTAAAATGCATAAATAGTCACAAAGCTACATCGTCTATTTAAAGGCTCTTCATTTTTTCTTGAGTTAGAGAACCTCTCTTTAGTTTTTTTGCTAAACTTTTCACCTTTTTTTCAAACAAATTAGAAAAGAGGCATTTAATCTGCTTAGCTGTTATGAATATAAATAGGCTGATTTGAAACAATTATTGCAGTTTGAAGAGATTGGCGATTCTACCCTTCATTGTGTAAAGATTAAACGGGCAAAATTAATTTATTTTCCTTGTCCCCCCCCCCTTCATAGTATTCACCTATTCAAACGCTCTCGTATCACACATTTCCTTGGCCCAGGAGCCTTGAATAAAGATGTCATCTATTTGAATGTGAAATTTACTGTCTTGAATCTATTATTCTACATACGTAATAGGACAACAATCCGGAAAGTCAAGTATATCGACATCCGACATAAATCTGCTAAGAATTACAGCAGAAAATGCATTTCTCAAGTCTTTAAAATCATTTAAAAACGTTAAAAATGTCTCAACATTTGCGTGGAGGCTTTTATAAGTACGTTAGTTGATTCGTTAATTACCAGCACTTAGAGAAAGGTTACGAAAACAATTTAAACAAAAATCACAGTGCACAAGTATATTTATAACGACGCTCTTTGACTAAAGGTCAATAGATTGACCTCAGAAATGTTTTCGCCCTGTGGAATGCGAACTTCCTCTGAATAGATTCTGGTGGCTTGATCACTCACCTGACAGCATGAGTGGGTACAAGCAAACCGTCCAATTAATTTGGATTAGACCGAATCTTCATTTACTCACGTCGTGTCTCACACAGCATGGGGGCAGCACAGTTTAGAGTCGAATAGTGGAGTCATGCAGCTTCATAAGAGGCTACCAAACACTTGCCTCGCACCTCATTGATAAACTTCGTTTCAATTTCGCCGGAATATTCAGACAGCTACAAGACTTACCATGACCATGGCCCTTCATTGTCATTGAACTTAGACCCAGAATCATCTCTTAAACGGCATATCTCTGAATGAGCTTGTTCAATAATTCTAAAATTTTTGAAACGCAGAGAGTGCACAATAGAACATACGTACCTCACAAGAATTTCTCCCGATTTCTTTATGAATATTAGACCGCAAAAAACGAGTTTAGAGCTGCGCATTTCAAACTGCCATTTAAACGTACCGCGCCGATAAGGCCAATATGACATCCGACAATATCTGTACGGATACGGTAGTGTACACTTTCGACCGCCTGACTTATTTGCCGTGATCTGTGCAATCCTGCATTCATAACCAGGTGCTGCAAATCGAAAGAAAATATTCGGAAAATGAGGCATTTTCAAAAAACTTTTCTTTAGTATGTCGCTCTAGTTGTCTATGCGAAGATAAAGGAATGACTGCGCATATAGAATGCCATTTAAAAATCAAATCATCTCCTTAGCTAATTCTATGCAAAAATCTTTTCCAAAATTTTTGCGCTTGCGGTTATTACAAATTAAGCAGGGTTGTCAAAACTGGTCATAACTTCATCTACTCACCTTAAAAAAATGAAGATTAAATTTTCTATTTTTAAGACATAAATCGCCTTTTCAGGTCATCCTGTGCAAGAACCCAATATTTCTAAAGTTAATTTGCTCATAATTTCAAAGCAAACTACGCAGGATTGTCAAAAAAAGGTCATGACTCACTCCACATACTCTGAGAAACATTGAATGACCTTACCGACAATATTTCGATACTCAGTCCATTAATTACACGTTACTTTTCCTCCCGTAAAATTCGACTTTTTGGACGTGTCAAACTTTAAAACTGACTGATCCATGTGCCCTTCTTCTTGGATGGGCAGGTATAGTTAACCTTTTCGCAGAGTCCGGCCTGACGCCGGTGATAGATTTGCGATTAAGTAAGGAAGCAATGAAATACTGCAGATGATGATGATATTCACCCTGTGCGCTGTGTGCTTGCCTCTCAAGCTTGTTATTTTTGTACTTACTGTCGTACGTGTGTGGACCAAAACTAAATATAAATTTAATTTGAAACGAACAAATTGATTTCCGACGAGGCGCTGTTAAGATGCCATAATCATGCATTTTTCTTAGTGGTTGTAATTCGGTTTCAAGACCATTTTATTCTCAAAAAAGCAGAACAAACTATTTTTACATATCTCCGAATATTATATGAAATGAGATGATTCAGAAGAAAGTCACTTGTGAAATTCCGGTTAAAGTCAGGTGAGTAACTGCCGCATGAAAAGTCTCCATTTTATTCATATGATTACAATTAATTCGCTTATTTCTTTTATTAAGTTACTAAAACCGCCCTATCTTTATGTAACGACAAAGCATGAATGCAGTTAGTGACTCGTTCTTTGATGACAAAACGAAAAAACTAAGAGCAATTCCGGTCTTTCAATACGTAGGTCTGGATACAACTATTCGTGTTCGTGGGATGTGCGTGTTACATACACAAAAAGTCGCAGGCGCTCTAGTTTTCTTAAGCAGAACGTACGGTTGCAGTCGCTAGTTTTCAAGGGAATTCTATATACTTTCATACACATTGCGTTAAATATTTTAATTTAGATCGGACATATGTCCTCGCTAAATAGTTCAGAAAACGCAAGCATCCATAAGTATCATTATGATCCCTCCCTTTGCATACCTTAATTTGATGCGTCTTTTCCTCTTGTTTATTCGTGAAATAACGATGAATTTATGTCAGTGACCTCTTACGAATTGGCATTTTAGCGTGCGCAACACGACTGTGATTACTTTCGAAGGTGATTGCAGCCGTAAACTAAACGATCAAAAACCGCGTAAACATCAGAAAATTCTTACGAAGACACGCGTTTTTCTAGCAGATCGTCCGTGCAGTCTGATGCAAACTTTCGACTGCCAAGATCATCCGTGGAGTGATCCCCTTTGCCCCATGTAATTCCAACTGTCGCCGTAAAAAGCAAAGTTTATGACCTCTTTCATCTGGCGCAATATGCAGGAACCGAGCAACGGTAGCGAGCCGTATCGGTTATCACGATTTGATCTTGGATGGATCTTGGATCCTCGCTAGAGGAAAGGAAATGATGCAATAGGTCCCCGACCATCTCTCAATTCTACAATGTCATGTTTAATGTTCATGTGGGTACATTATTATGCCAGTAACCTTTGCTCTGCTCCTCAAGTTTCTATGAGTTGAGGCTACTATTTTGCACCTTACTACGTGTTGGTTGTGAGAGTTCTAGGAAGAGACACTGAAGGCGCCGATTCAAGTTAGTCACTTACATTTTTCAATCGAAATCAAACGAGTCTTGAAATTAATGTGAGTTCTTCGAGATAATTTTACTTTTGACGTGATAGGTACCCAGAGGTCAATTGAACCGATTATTTTTCAAATCACTTAAGCGCCAAAATTGCGAATGCAAGAAAAACAAGAAACCCCGTTTTATTAGCTTTGTTAACAATCTTCGAATTTCAAAAAATGTACCTATGTTCTTTTAAAAGGCTATTTTGAAATCAGACATGATTAGTTGTAGCGGAGAAAACAAAGAGAAAACCACCCTACCTAGATAGAGATTGACGCTCACGTGATTTGAAAAATAATCGGTTTAATTTGGTACACTGCCTTGCATCAAGGTGTAAGTCGAAATAAATGTATACCTTCATGTCGGAGGGGTGACGATTTCGGCAGCACATTACGCAAAAATACCGCAGAGGTACGCCCATGATACAGATGGTTTTCAAAATGTCTTATTTATTCTTAATGAAACCACTAATCTGGTGATGAGCTCAAAGTGATTTTCGTGTGACTCTACCTACAATGTCTACTCAATTGGTAGCGGTTCTTGTTTCTAGCAGACTCACTCTGCTGACCAAATCACGAGTAGACCCCTTGTTTCCCAAATCATTTGATTCCGTCTCAGTAACTGCTGAACTTTTCATGTCCACTAAGGACAAAAAGCTACCATCCAGCAAAACAGCTACCATGGTATACTACCCGACTAAGGAAGAACGCCGTATGAGCATTCGAATGTTGCCAAATTTCCTCTCAAAAAAGATTTAATCTTGAAGAAAGTCGTGAATATTTTCCCTTGCAATATTCAGACTTCTTAAATCAAATTACGGACGAAACCCTCTGAAAAATCGGAAGGGAAATATTCACAAATTGTTTTGAAAATCCGCGGTTTGTCGAATGCAATTTGGCAACGCCGATCGAAAACACAGGAAAAAGCTGAAACAAGGCTAAAATACAAAATATAAAGGCAGAACGTTTCGGTACCTTACGGCACCATTATCAACTGCTAAAAAAGAATTAAAAATAAAAAAGAAATTAAAATAAAAACCAGCAAACGGCGTTACATAATGAAATTGGTAAATGAGACTGCAGTGATAACAGAATAAACAACAAACAAGGTACGATATGCATTTATTTGGCAACGTCTGAAGGTTCATACGTCGTTCTTCTTTAGCACGGCAGTATAGTTGTACCCAACACAATGACAGAAGCGCACGCATTGATGTATAGCTCATGTAAGTTTAGATTGAACTTGACCTCGCAACGATGATTGAGGTGCGCAGCAACAACCGATCGCACTACTGTCTATGACAAAATGCCACTAGCCAAAACAAGAAGGGGGGCCAGTGGCGTGGCGTGAATGATCGATTATCGATATTTCCCCATTTAAAGCTGTGGTAAAGAATCGATTAATAAGGTGTTCGTTGCCAACACCCTGTTAATCGATTTTTTCCATAGGTGTAAATGGTAGATCGATCGATATATCGCAAAGCACTGAGGGGGACTGGGGGAGTCGAGTGCCCCGATGTAGACACGCGGTCGGAACTAAATCGTTCGTAATATTGCAATTATGATCCTCCAAATTGCATCCACTTGACTCGGTCTGCTCCAAAGTTGCCGTCTCCACGTGGATACTGGAACTATTTTTGCAGGGGTTATTGCAAAATTTTCAGATATCCTCGTCTAATTAGAAACATTGCTTGATGCGACTTGAAAAGAGAATGGAAATAGTATGTTGAAAATGGTTCCCGATTAGCAGTGATCGCGATAAATAGCGATTTTATCGGTTGATTATCGCGATTGAATCGGTGGCAATATGTCGAGATATTATCGCATTAAAAATTGCGATTTATGGCGATTAAATTCCTACACGTCGCAAATTTTGGTTCGATAAAATCGTGATCAATTCTCTTCAATAAAATAGAGATTAAATCACCATTTATCGCGATTTTTATTTCGAAAGTATCGCGATAAATTGTCGGGCGATAAAAGCGCGATTCTGTCGCGATAAGATCGGGGATAATCGCTCAAATGTTGATGATCCTGGCGATTTTATCGCCGATAAAATCGCAGTATGTAGCAATTTTTCCGTTGAGAAATGCTACTTGGGTTATTGTAAAATTTTCAGATATCCTCATCTAATTAGAAACATTGCATGATGCTACTTGAAAAGAGAATTAAAATAGTATGTTAAAAATACTTGCAAGTATAGAGAAGCATTTTGATGAATCAAGTCGAAATGCGCGTATCTTAATTTTTTCTATCATATATAAATTTTTTTTCAAAGAAAACTAACCCAAATATTTCCTTGAGATTTTCTATAAATAGTTCGACGAGTAAAAAGGTTTTCACATCTGTGAAACAAAAATGTTTGCATTGTTTTCATGAAGAAAGGAAACTTGCGCGTTGATTTGCAACATTGCATTCTCCTAAAACTCACCAAACTTAAAATACTCAAAGTATAAGCGATTCCCATTTTATTGTTTATTGAATTTAAATCATCTCCTTAGCCTTGTTTAACGATTATTTGAAATGCGTTCATTTTAATTCTCGAAAGCATCGAAACAGAGAAAATGCAGTACCCTTATACTCCTGATGCAAATGTGAATAGGAGTGAATGTGCGGCTCTGATGTGAAGTCGTGCTGAAAATTTAAAATTTCGATTAAAATACAGCAAAGAAAAAACACAAGGAATTTGGTAAATCTGACTGCGATGGCTTTCTCGGAAATTGAACCTAAATATTACTGGTGATATAATCAAAACATTAAACATTATTTTGCAGTTGCTTACGTGCCTTCATTGATTTTTTTCGACCTTGGCCCATTTTTTCATTTTTTAGTGCTCATTAAAATTTGCTAAAAACACGTGTCTCATCTCTTAACCGTGTTATCAATTCCATTCATTCGATGATTATACCCACATAATGTTTTTCGTCATCTACCCTAACACGCAGTAAAGATGTGTGCAGGACTCCTGATGATGATGAATTCGCACGATGCATTTTGTTATCCATCTTCAGATGCCTAAGTTCGTTTAATGCGACTGCTTTATTCATTTTTAAAACGGTCAATAGCGGTGTCAGAGAGCTCTTTGTTCGCTCATTTTACGCGGAGAAAAAACTTCGGTTATATGAACCAAATACTTCAGTGGGCGCTTTTCAGCTCAGAAAACTGAGCTTTCAGTTGAGCAAAACGGCTACTACAAATGACAGAATTTCGAACCGAAGGTTCAGCTCCCTGAACTAAAAAACTACGATCAATATGGAACATGTTACATAAAAGCCTATAAGACTTTCAGTTCGAGAAACTAATCCTTCGGTTCGTGTAACTAAATTTCCGCTCTGTCAACCGAAAAGGTCGGTTTGCTCGACTAAAGGATCAGTCCTTTTAAGTAAATTGTGTCTTCAGAACTATGCGATTCGTACCTATAATCGAAGTTTTTTTCCGTAAAGTTTTTAAGTAAAAGTAATTTGTGTCGGCGTTTTGTTTATAAATGTATAAGGTAGAAAAAAACACTAAAAATGGCCCAAACTGTAAGTAAAAAGGTGGAGAAATGGTGCTAGGTCCACACCATTTCGCGGAGGGGGGGGGGGAGCCAAGGAGTTCCAAAAAAAAAAAAATAGAATTACTAATTGAACATTTTTTGGAATTTCTTGACTTTGTATTTGGAATCGGCACCATTTCTCCACCTTGTATAGGGTAGCTATATGTATTACAGGTATCGTTAACAAATCAATAATCGATTGACTGAATATCAAGTCTTATAGGATTTAACACTCAAGACACATATCGACGGTGAAACTACCAAACCACGTATCTCGGTTTGCGACGTCGCAGACTTCCTGTCATACTTTATTTTTTAAATGAAAAACTACTTAACGTCTAGTCTTGAAAATTTCTGTGATTTTTCCTCTTTGTGCGGAGAAAATTCTGTGAAAATTTCAAGGAATAATATTGATTTGGTGGACTTCAAAAAAATAAAATGCGAGCGTAGATTTTTAAACACCGCAAACGAGATACGTGGTTTGGTAGTTTCACCGTCGATATGTGATCCAGAAGTCCCATACACACGGAGAAAAAAACTTCGTGCGTGGGACCCGAAGTTGAGGTCATATGGGTCTCTGAAGTTTTCGGATCACGTATCTAAAAACTAGAGGTCCAGCTGCCGAAGTTCGGGTCAGACATCTGAAGTACTTCGATATATACCGAAGGGTTCGGGTCACACATCTGAGGTACTCCGATACATACCGAAGTGCTTCGATGTCTGACCCAAACTTCGGCAGCTCGACCTCAAGTTTTCGGATGCGTGATCAAAAAACTTCAGAGATCCATACGACCTCAACTTCGGGTCCCATACACGAAGTTTTTTTCTCCTTGCACCAGTCCACAATCAGCACCCGGCATCACCCCTGTAACTTTTGAACGAATTGAGAAAGAGACCTGAAATTTTGTGAGTGGCTCCTATACATCGAAGAAAACCACGTTTGGGCCTTTTAAGTTTTAAGATCACCCAATAGGGACAGGAACCTGCCTTAGTGGTTATAAGGGTGACACGGGACTTTTGGATCACCCTGTATTTCACGAATGTATTGGAATTGCTCAATTATTCGGATTTTTCTCTGTTGACAGCATGGGTCGAAAAACGCCCCTACTATGGGGTATAATTTTACAAGTAGTAGCAGGAATCGGGACTGCTTTTGCCCCCTGGTACGAACTATTCCTGCCTCTCAGGTTCATTACAGCGCTTGCTGTTGGAGGCACCATGACAACTAGTTTTGTTCTATGTAAGTATCATGTCGATTCGTGGCATCGCCTTCTCCCTTTAGAGTTATACTAATGAGGGGAAGCAGGATTGGTGTCATGAATTAATAAGTGCGATTAAAGGTTGACTGAAAGGAAACGAGGAACCTTCTCAACTCAACAATGTTTGATTAACTTTGAAATTTTTAGTTATTTTATTACTTTCCTATAGGTCGGATCAGAATTAAGATTTACGGTTTGACTTTATCCGAGTTAAAAATAAAACCAATCGAGTCACCATAGGATCGAACTGAGGGGTAGAAGTTTGAAGTTTTCTTCCTTGGAGCTGAATGCCAGAGAATAAGTTTAGTGTCTATGACCTAATTTCCCGCCCGANAAAAAAAGGTACATGTTTCCTTTATGTTTAATTCAGTCCGATTCGCATTTCGAGTTTTGATACATCAATTTTAGAAAACACAACAAAACTATAAAGTAGTTGTGTATGATTTACGAAGTAGGCAATTGAATATTTTATGTTCCTTCTGAAAATGCTGGAAGCTGGCTTAAACGTATGTAAAGAGGAAACGAACCATTAGAAGACTAATTTCCTAGGTATACGACTCTTGAATAAATGGTATGTCGTCGACAGTGACGTTTTTTAAGGGAAAAGTTTAAGGAGGCAGAATTGACATGATGAGGGCTCGGAATATTTACACAATATCACTTCGCCTTCAATTTTTGAGGTAGACCAGACAACATGCTCCGTGCAGCAATAATTTGCTATAGCGGAAGATTTCCTGCTCGACTTAAGAATCTCGCCTTCCAGTAAATTATACGAGCTCTTACGTAACAATTTGGATAATAGCTCTGTTATTCATTATTAATGCCGTTCCTATGTTCCATACTAAAATATATAATTTAGAAACAAAGCTTTACAATCTGTTTGGGAAAACAGTGCTTCCCTTTTTTAATGTAGAACCTGCCTCTGGCTGTCGATAATGTAAAGGTAGATAGTAAAGAATTTTCCATCATTTACTGAAGGAATCTTGGTACCGCATTAATAATTAAAACAACTTGTATGATGAATGATGAAGAAAAATGTAATATAATGACCGCTAATACTCACACTTATTATACAGGTATGGAGATTGTTGGTGGAAAATGGAGGACTATTGTCAGCACACTATATCACATTCCATTCAACATAGGTCACATGACTCTTCCACTATTTGCGTACTATACTCGAGACTGGCGAGCATTCCAGCTAGGCATATCCATACCGTCCATTTTATTACTATCTTATTATTGGTATGAAAATCTTCTTATTTCCCATTTGTATCAAATGATTCCACATTTATAGGTTTTGGGTAAAAATTGATCTAGATACATTTAAAACCCATTGGTGGTTACAGAACTTCTAAAGAACCGCACGATAAATCCACATCATCCACGTCTTTCAACCCTTATCCCTGAGTATGTTAAAAGTTTTAAAACGATAAAACAGGAAATTGTATTTAACTCATTAATGATTTATTATGTAAGTGGAATATATTCAAAATCTTCATTCGCAAGACGTTAAAAAATATGCAAAATTTGGAAAGAAATTTGGTTTTTGTATACATTCAAAGACCGCAATGTTATACCACAACGAGAAAAAGGAAAAAAGATTCCTGGGAAATCATTTTGACAAACCACTCGTCAATAATTCTAATGCCTCCTTATTAAGATACTTACAGCACAAGAAAATCTCTGAATGGTCGCTCTAAGACTAATTGTAAGCATGATTCTAGAAAAAATTAACAAAAGTATCCGAGAATAGAAATAAGAGGCTTGATCATGTGGCGCAAATTTTTAAAGATTAATTCATGAGTCTTCGTATGTTTTTAGTTGCGTTCCAGAGAGTCCACGGTGGCTACTAGCAATGGGCAAAGAAAAACAGGCGATGAAAGTACTTAACAGAGCTGCTAAGAGGAATAAGAAAGAACTCCCAGAGGACTATCAACAAAGTATTGCGGCTTCTCAGGTACCCTAAATATTTATTAATTTATGGATCCCTTTTGATTGCGACCAAATAATGTCAGTCTGTATCATTTTTACATATTTTTTTAGACACAAACGTTATCGTAGATTTGTAGAACTGCACGGCACCCACCTTTATGTCATTTTGAGTTCTAAGTTTATAAAGTAATACAATTCGTCGATTCAAACGTTCTGACATTGGTGAGCTATAAGATGCACATTATCAGAGTGACATTAATAAATGTTGAAATTCATAGATGCGCAATGCCACGTGAACACAGGGGGTGGAAAAGGTGTTTTTCCGAAGTAGGTTTTTGAGAGGGAAAAACAGCTGGAACTTCCAATGCTCATTTTGTTCATTTATTCACTCAAACGAAAATACCCATAACTTAGAAAATATCGCATGCCCACACAAATGTATGGTATCTCTCAAAAAAGAACTAAATAACATCACTTGTTCCCTCAGACCGATTTATTTTTTGTTCACAAGAGACTGGTTGCGCTGATTTTTTTTAAAGCCTCAGAGAATTTCCTCTCGGTATAAGACATATTTTGTTCTACAAATGCTATCGCAATTGTTAGAATTCGCTGATAGATATTTTCTCATTTCATAATATTGTTATTTTAATTTTCTCTTATATTTGTGGCCGTTCAACATTACTTGCGATTGATATTATGTATCCTAAGTGTTTAAAATCACAGATACTCTAATAGTATACACTCGCATGTTTTAATTTTCAACAGAAGTCCCGAACTTTGAGCGAAAGCGATTCAGACAAAAGAAAGCCGAACATCATTGATTTATTCCGTACTCCGAACATGAGGATAAAAACTCTAGCACTTTACGTTAACTGGGCAACATGTGGTCTCGTCTTCTACGGTCTCGCCCAATACATGGGCGAAATAGGAGGCAACATCTTCATCAACGTTGCTCTATCAGGTAAGTCTGTCTAAATCGTTCTTCAGAAATTGTATGTTGATCGTAACGAAAAGATTGTTCTTGTTGACTCTCAAAGTATAAATTGTCGAGGGAGTTGTTTGATTCTTTATTTATTATTTCAATTTTCGAAAGTGTATCCCGAGTCATGATACAAAGAGGGGAAAATAATTCAAAGGATGATAAATAAGTTGCGCAGCGCTTCAAAGATATGCGGCTGTTTCTACTATCGTTACATAGCGGAAGGGGGAAGGGGGGGCGGGTAAATCGCACTGTAACAACATTTTCGTTAGAATGTTAGTTTACTTTTTTGGGAACAACCTAACGCTCCTAAAAATTGAGTTCACTGCTCTGGCTAAGAAAAAAAATTTTCGCCTTGGAAATTGCTGGACAAATCTCGAAGTGACTTTAACGCTGGGGTATAAAAAAAGGCAGTGAAATAGCACGGTGATCAATTACACGTCACGTATTTTTTTCTCCAAGCCTACCTATAAGCTGTACGTCGATGGCAAAAGCACGAAACCATGTAGGTATCTCCGTTTGCAATGCAGATTTCCTGTGATACATCCTTTTTTATTTAGGAGACTAGTCAACGTATATCCTTGAAAACCTTCTTGATCTCTCTTCTCTGATAGCAGAATATTCTGTATTCATTCTGAAGTGCATGTAAGGTTCATGTTTCTCTTCGGAAACTGAAATAGGAACCCCGCAACAACACCGTGCCGTTTTAAAACACTTCAATGGAGATACGTGGTTTCGCATTTTGGCCATCGTTTGAGCATAAACTGTTGTTCTTGATGGATCTATATTTGGACCGCGTTTAACAGAAAGGAACCAAGCCACATCAGCTATTGCCGAATTTAACTGGGCAATTTAATTTTTTACGAGAGAACGTTTGTGCGGATTCCTTTAAAAATTTTAAAGAATCTGCTTCGTACCATGGAGAATGTTCACTGAAATTTGCACGAAAATCCGCACAACCGTTTTCATGTAAAAAATTAAATTGCCCAGTTAAATTTGGCAATAGCTGATGTGGCTTGGTTCCTTTCTGTTTAACGCGGTCCATTTGCTTTGGATTGTAAAAGTTTTTATTAATCGTTCTTTGCATATCAGAAGTTGGAATACTTTTTTTTAGGAGTAAAAGGCAATCTCTTACATCTTATTATATTTTTTCACTGATATTATATTCTTTTCGATGGATTTGGTGTATGCATGTTATCCTAATTTTGAAAAAATTGGACTTTTATGTATGAAACGCTAAGATCAAACATTATTTTAGTCAGGTGCTGGTCGACCAAATTTTGCCGCGGATAAAACTTTATTACGTTAAAAAACTTTTTGGCGCTTCTTGCGTAAAATCTCCCAACTTAGGTCAGATTTTAAGATGATGCACGCCTAGCAAAGATACTTATGCTTTTTGTTTGACCATATGTAAAATAGTCCTTTTCTAAATTTTAAAACAATTTAACTCTCCCTTATTTTTAAAATCGTTGCCCCTATTTTTCCTAGTATTTACGCAACAGCCTTTTAAATACAATACCTGGCTTTTCCCCTCTCATTGGTATTTCCCACCATGGAGATGAGGTACTCTTTTGTTGTAAATGAATAATGCAAGATTGATTCACGTTGTAGATTTGTCACGATGGGTCATAGATGGTAATTAATTTAAATTATTGAAACAACCTATTCTTGATGAATTTAAGATAAGAAAACATTACATAATTTGGTTATTTTTTTTAAAACGAGGAACAAGAAACATGACCAAGAAAAGTACAAGATTGATCATGCTCATTACGTGATGAATAGACTTACTGCGTGCATAATGTATCAATAGGAGTGTACTCCAGTACAGTAAACAATACGGTTTTCTCGCCATGCGGTCAATAAGGAATGCTATTCCATTTATTGAAACCAGAAACACTGACGAGGATAGCACTAATTTTTTTCAATCATCTCATGATGCACGAAAGGCGAATAAAATACGAGAGGACGTACCTCTTTTTGCATACGCATTTTTTTGAGCTAACGCGAGGAAAAGTTATTTCTTAAATAAAAATTTTTAAGAGTGTGGCTGATTCTGTATTTGAGAACGATCAATGTACTAAAAATTTTACAAATCATTTTCTTTAAAATTCTCTTTGGTTCTTATATAATGTGAACAGTGTCCCTAAATTCCTAAAAGCATGATATTTTTCAAGGGTAATGGGGAATTTTAGGTAAAATGTGATTTCAAACGCAATTTTGATGTAAGAGGTAAGAGGAGAGATTGGCTATCTTACAAAGAAGCAGAACATGACACTGAATGTGCAATGTCGCAATCCGAGATGGGCGTACTTCTAATTTCACCATCAATGTATTTCATTCAATTCGAATGAAAACAGCATGTGGTCATCTGGCAAATTGTATTACATGATATTGTTCTTTACTAGTTTTCTACGGCAACAAGCATGCATTTTTTCTCGATAAACCGCTAACCGGTGATAATCTCAACTAGGAAGATGTAAATGTCTGCGAATTATTCATTAAAAATTGAGCTCAGTGTTTTTTTCTCTTCCTTTACTTTCTTTGTATTATTGTTTATTCCTGAGGGTCTTGGTTGCATGAAATGATAGATGTAGTTTACATCTTGAGATTGTCAGACAATGATTTTTGGCCCTTCTTTGTGCGTACGTAATATGCTCAAAGTTCCCCCTTGCCCTGATCATTAGCCCTATTTTTTGTAAAAAAAAAAAAAAAAAAAAAAAAAAAAAAAAAAAAAAAAAAAAAAAAAAAAAAAAAAAAAAAAAAAAAAAATTATCATGGACACCTCGATTTGGTTTTCTTGATTATATTTAATTTCATGTGAGGGTTTTCAAACTGTGGATACCTATCTTTGTTGTGATCGTTTTTTGGCGAAAAGGTTTGCAATATGTTTTTATCTTTAGTATGTCTTGATTTTCAAACAACTGGGAGTTCTAATTTTATTATCTTCTTATTCTGTTCTTACTCTCTATAAATATATTTAATGATTTTATGGGCATGTGATGACTGCGTCTAGGTTAAAACACCTGAGAGTTTGATTTAAAGATATCAACATCAATAAGTCAAAATATGATAAGTCGTAATATTTTGTGAATGTACATTTTATCATATAGTATTTCAAATGTATTATATGTATGATATTATCTTGCATGGACGTAGCTCAGAATGACAATCGTATCTTTTTTCGACTAACTTCAAATTCGTTTGATCAAAACTGCTTTGCGAATCCTTGACTCTTCATTTTGTGTCGTAGTGTCAACAACAGCCTTAATCCTTGAGTAATATGAACTGGTGAAATTGTGCCCTACAAAGTAGAAAAGGATCAATTAAAGTTGTTTTTAACCAGAGAACTTCAAAATATTAGCACTTTTTAATGAGAATACATGATTTAATTTTATTTTTAAGCAGGTCCTCGGGTAGAATAAGACTTGACAGGGTTTTCATGCAAATATCTCAGGCAATATAAGCAATGAATTCAATGTTCTTGATAATAACGCCTTGTTACAACTATTCGTGCTCTATGGACGTGCGTGCTGCGTATAAAAAAATTGAAGGCGCTCTGGTCACTCTTGTCCATGAGGCAATGCCCGCAGCAGTGTCTGGCGTGCCGCTATTACAGATAAAATTCTCCAATAAACACTAAGGCAATAGAACAGGAAACGATTTTTTCTCGCCATTTTTACGTCTTAGGTTATTATGTCCCACCGCTTTTTAAATTTGTGACAGCATGTCCCTCTGAGGACTGCTTGATGGGCTACATGACCAAGGAGCGCCTTCAATTTTTAGTACGCAACAGTTGCTACACAGATGTACATAGAGCATATATAGTCTAATCAAGGTGTTATTACCGTTATCATCGTCCTGTACCGGTTATCAATACGAAAAAACGTAGTATGAGCACTCCAGCGTTGCCAATTTTTTTACTTCTTTCCTAGACTTAATATTCACGTGTTTTTCTGGGATTTTCACCACTTGTTAATGCTAATATACACCTCTGATAAAAGATAGAGTCCCTTTACAGAGAGACTTAAGACAACGCGGCTCATGGATGTCACAAACGAGAATAAAGATTACACATAGATTGGACGTTTTTTGTAATCTTTGATCAACCCATTCCCAAATTTCTATCTCCATCCCCCCTCTCATTCCATTTGTTTCTTGCCGTGCCCCCAATGTCCCGGTCCATTCCAGTTTTATTATCTTTGCAAATGGTGAGACTGTAATCTTTATTCCCGTTTATGACACTGTGAAGGCCTGAAATACGGGAACCAATCAGAAATGGATTCGCATTGTCTTTACTCTCCGTATAAAGGGACTCTATAATAAAAGAGACCCATCGACCAATTCAGGTTTGTCATTCTGAGCACGTGAATTATACCGCATGTGACATGTTCTGGATTGCATGTTTTCTGCTCGATTTCAGGGATTACGGGTCCTGTGGGTGTGTTGTCGAGCTACTTCTTCTTGAGCTATTACGGGCGGGTGAAGACTATGTCCTACTCTCTTATCGCCACGAGCATCGCTCTCTTGTGCTTGTCGGCTGTGCCTCAACCAGGTTAGTTAACTTGTCAGTTTTTCAGGTGCCCTAGAGATCCCTGGCGGTTGTTTCTGTATATTTTTCCTTGGCAAATTCGGTCGCAAGAAGACCGCTATCGTCTCTCTCGTCACCCTCGGCCTCGCTTGCATATGTATCACGCTCACCCCGACTGGTAAGATTTTCTTTTGCAACTTCTAGCTTTCAATGTAAACTAGGGGGTGCGCGTGCGGTCCCTGACCGCTGAGCGGCTCAACCGCTTACAGCGCTTAGCGCTTCGGTTTTTCGTTAAGCGTTAATAAGACACTAGAAATATTGCACTTCTTACCTCCAATTGTGTGTGAGGTTTTTTTTTTTTCAAAGACTGGCACTACCTTTTAGCCTCTTTGTAATTCTTATATGTATTTATATGACTCTCTAACTCTTTATACAATCACAGATCTACTCCCCTACAATCAACAGAAATATAAACCCACTTACATGCGATGAACCCAATATTACTACCAAAATTCTTAAACTCTTCACCTCTCTTATAATTTGAAAATCATACTCCCATTTTCAAAATTATCTGTAAAGACGTTAATAGCCTGTGACGCTGAATGTCTTAAAATATACTAACTTACTAACTAACTAACTATAACTACGGTACGGTACTGCAGCGCTACTAAGTGGCGTAGCTAGGAATTCTTTAAAGGGGGGGGGGGGGGGGTCCATTTACATTATTTTGTGTACGTCCCTGCTAATATTTTATGTCTGCCCTCCTAAAGCAAAAAAAAGGTACAATTATTAACGTAGCTAGAGGGGGGGGGGGGGGTTCAGACCCATCGCCTCCTTTGTCTACGTCTCTGACGCTATACCCGACTGGTTTTCCTCAGGCTGCTGCTTAGTGGCCCGCGAAGGCTCACCGAAATTTTTTCTTCTTAAAAGTTGGATTAAAAAAGCGTAGGACCACAAAAAAAGAGGAAGTACAATTTTTTTGGTGTCCTGCGGCCTCCTTTATCAGCGAAAAAATGCGCCCAAAAGAGGTTGGGAACCGCTGCGGTACTGCATGATTGTGGTGCGGTTTGGATTCATCGACGGATGTTGCATTTCCGTGTAAAAGTGCCATCCAAATTCGGCCCTAGACAATACGCGAAGAAGCCTTGCTCAAAGTGGACGGAAACAGACACCAAATCAACACCTCCCAAAAATTTCAAAGAGCAGTGATTGATGATCTGAAGGTTGAAAAGTGGTCTGCTCATCTTATTATTGGCCAGAATAAAGAGGGATCAATACGGACCTAAACATCGCGACTTTTATGCGGAGGCGTGAGGGCTCCCGGCTAGGCGAATTGCCGTGTCTCTCAATAAAATAAGATTTTCTTTGTAAGGTTGTATTGAAAGATCAAGAAATTTGACAACCGCGCCGGCTATGTTTCATGTCGCGGTACGCCAAGTACAAAGCGCGCACAATGAACGAACTTCTTCGTCGTGTCTTGCATTGTGTCCTCAGCGGCGCGTCGCATCAGGACGCACTGTGGGAGCTGATTTGGAAATTAGCTCTCGAGACGGAAGTATTCATGTCGTCTCTTCTTCAAACTAACGAAAATTGGACCGCGTTAAACAGAAAGGAACCAAGCCACATCACCTATTGCCAAATTTAATTGGGCAATTTAATTTTTTACATGAAAACGGTTGTTTGGATTTTCGTGCAAATTTTAGTGGATTTTCTCCATAGTATAAGGCAAATCCCTAGAAATTTTCAGAGGAATCCACACAAACGGTCTCTCGTAAAACATTAAATTGCCCAGTTAAATTTGGCAATAGCTGATGTGGCTTGGTTCCTTTCTGTTAAACGCGGTCCAATTAAAATGGTCTAACGCTAACCTGATATCATAGGCCTGATAGCGAATCCAAGCACGTCATCGAGAAAAAAGATTGGTAGAATTTACCATTCCTCCACACAGCGTCAATTCAGAGTCAATTCTGACCGGAAAAAGGTAAACGTTACTATACACTGGTACAGGTACCATTCCTCAAGCAGAATCGACTTTGAATTTACGATGTGTAAAATACAGCGTGGAGGAATGGTAAATTCTACCAATCTTTTTTCTCGGTGTAGGAAGTTAGGAACGTTGGTCCTGGAGTCTTCCCCCCAACATCATCGTCATTTTAAAGCTCCCAATTTGCAACTGAGTCAATTTTGTCATACATATTTACCAATAAATTGTTAGCGTCGTAACTTCTTCTCTCCTCCGTACCCTCCTTCTTTCTCCTTTCTCCTTTTTTTTTGGGGCAAACGGGGGGGGGGGGCATGCACCCCCTACGCCTCCCTTGAGTCCGCCGATATAGCTCATAGTGATCTGGCTCACTCGTGAGTAATCTCAAGCTGGTGACTTAAAAAAAAAATAAACAAAAAAAGCATCAGATTTTAGCTCCTTTTGATGAGGCTCTGGCTTAAAAAACAGGAGAGCAAACCCGCGCAAGAGAAATACAACTTTAAATTGTAATAACTTTTGAAAAAAGGACCGCCATTTTGGTAGAGGAACTACTTTCATCGTTACTAACGAGCTGCAGTAAGTTGGTCTGAAAAGTTAGAAATGTACAATAATAATAAGTTAGAAATGTATGAAGTTCTATGGATATAATTGAGTGTATACTGAGACCCGATTCTATCACCTCTTATTACCGATTTATCCGAATATTCATAATTTTTGTAATATCATGACGTGACAATACTCTATTTGTCCAATCCTGTTGGTCATGATAGCCATGGTGAAAGACATTTTCTTCTCTAACACCTTAATTAGTCGTAAAACATAGGAGACTTAAACGCGAGGTAGAAAAGTAACTCATTTCATGACGTGACAATCCCCTATTTTTATAGTCCAGTTGGCTACGATAGCCATGATTAGTTAGAATTTGGTTCCACAATGTGCCTTAAGAGCCGGAAATATCATCTGAACCACGGAACTTTTTATACAAGCCCTAAAACCCCCAAAAATAGCGTTTAAATTTTGCTTTTACAAGGGGATCAATTTGACCAATGGTGCGATAGAACCTGCCCAAAGGACATTTAACTTTGTTAATTAATGCTATAGGACGAGACAATAAACTACCGAAGTTTTGACAAACTTTGATCGCCATTGGACGTCTTTTCACAGATCGTTTCGACTACGATTTATGTTGACTCGTTCTGGCTGACGGCGTCCTTTCAATCCTTAGGTTTGTCTTTTTTCTTTCGCAACGGCCGATTGGTTGAAATGGAGATAGGTGCGCTCCAGCTGCACAAATTATCCAATAAAATTGCATTTATAAAAGTGGAGAAAACTCTCCTTTGAAATATATATCATTACTATGAGCTCTGAAATCTCCCCCTCCCTAAAATTTAGCCCCCCCCCCTCGAATTTTCATGTTTTATCACAGTTCGCTCTTATTAACTATTGAGCTTGTATTCCCCATGCTTTTTGCGACTATCAACAAGTGATAGTCTTTCGAATGAGCCCGGTATATCTAGATTTTCGAAAAATTACCCTGCTTTTTAAATAGCAAAATGAATCTGTGGATACTCCCATTTAAATATTGTAAATGTTTATTTTTTGTATAAATTCGTCCTTAAAATATACCGGGCCGATTTTCTTAATTTTTATTTTGTTTACGCAATTATAAACGAAGGTAGAGCATTTTTCTTTGTGTTTAGATGCATGCACAAAATCAATTTCGTGTTTTTGCTGAGACCCTTTCATTTTGTATCCAACTCAGAGGTCAATGAAAGACCTCATGGTTAGAAATGTAAACTATACGGTGCTGTTTGAGTACCTGCAATCCCAGTGTGCGATGATTGAGGATGGCTAAGTCGTGAACCGACCTTGGCACACAGAAGGATTCTAAGGTCACGGTCTTTGCCCTCAAATCTCATCATCGGGTTCATGAGGCAAACATTGTTGCCAATAATTTTAGCTCAATAAGTTCTTAAAGTTTTGAGAAGTCGATAAATTGAATAATCTAGAATCCTTTTATCCTTAGGCGCGTATTAAAACCTCCGCTAAAGAAAAACAACAGACTTACCGCGACGTACTGTGTTTTCTCCTGAAACAATTTCAAATGCGAGAAAGAATATTTTGAATGTGGACATGGAGTCAATAGAAGACTCTAATATTGAGTTTTGTGGGGGAATTTTGATCTTAACTTTTGATCTTCACTCTCGCGAAACTTCGATTTCGATAGAGCTTATAGTTCCTCTCGGGTTGAATTTGGTCCATGATTGACCATGAAACCCAAGTCTATAGCTTTACAATGACATTTCTGCCGATAGGCCATGGAAATCAATATGTTTGTAATCTTTGAATTTGATTTTCTTGCAATTAAAATTAATTTATTCAATTGTTCCCATTTACCTGGAATTTCAAGCACTACCCGTTGCTGTTCGTGTGTTCAGATTCACTCAGTAGCTATTCTTGAAAGTTGGCAACAATGTTTTTCCTCCATTTAAGTTTATGTAAAACAATCGATTTTTGGTGGGGAAGCTTTTCTCGCCAAAAATGGATATTTTTAATGGATTGAAATGGAGGGGGGAGGGAGAACAGTGTTGCCAACTTGCAGAATCGCCACTGGATTTACCGGCATTGCACCAATGCACACCACCGTCCATAGACGGATCCAGCAATTTGGCAACACCGGACTTCCTCCATTTAAACCTATGTTAAATAATCGATTCTTGTCGGAGCACCTGGCCCCTCCGGGAATCGATACATTTCCATACGTTTAAATATAGAAAAACAACGTTGCCAATTTGCTGGATCCGCCCCTGAACTTCATCGTCATTGATCAAGCTGTCTTTGTTTCTCGTAGATCCAGAAGCCTCATCGTTGCCGAAGATAATTTTGGCGTACGTGGGAATCATTGGCGTTTCGGTGGCTTTCCCGACAATTTATCTGCTCACTGGTGAGCTTTTCCCAACCGTTGTGAGAAATGTCGGCGTTGGATCTAGCTCCATGATGAGCAGACTGGGCTCCATGGCTGCCCCTTTCGTTTTGTCTTTAGTAAGTATCGGCCACCTAAAAACTCTCTAAAATGTTCTATTAAACAGAATTTACGCCGGTTTGAAGTTTGTAAATCAAATCTCCCAAAAAATATTTAAGTTTTCGATCCGGCTTGTTTAAGGCTCAAAATTGTGAGATTGTAATGCAATTTCACGCTTTCGTCTAGTTTAATAGGGATCTGGACCGCTAGTGGCTTATTACTGAGGATACTTGAGTGTGTTTTATAAATTAGTAAAATGCGTAAATAATTAGATGTTACACTTATTTTCCATAAAGTCAACTGCATAATATTGCTTGTTATGTCTGTTTTGCCGGAGTCTAAAATGATTTTAGGACAAAACAGACGGAGCTAAGCAGTGAGAAACCATGTGCACTGAAATTCAACGAACAAAAATTAACTTTTTCTTACTGGTAGAAAAAGTATGCTTCCGCAGTTGAATTAAAAAAGGATTATTTTTTTTAGTTTTTCTGGATGTTAAAATGAAGATGTTTCATCGAAAAGATTCACATTGCACAGCTTTTTGTTATTTTTGATAGCTCAACCCTGAGAAAGTCTTCGGAACTAAATAACAAACAGTTGGAAATAATAATATCATTACCCGCGAAAGTGTTATACTAACATTTCAGGCTCTTTTGAGGATTAAAAGTTGACAGACACCAACAATTCAATGTCATTCCCTTAACTTGATTCAAATGTGCGAGGTAAGCAACACTAATTCGCATGCCAGCCAACGCCCTAGATCTAGTGACAACGCCTGGCATGGATGCAACTATTCGTGTCTGGCGGATGTCCGTATTGCCTCCCACTAAATTGAAGGCGCTTCACATGACAACGCCTGAACACAACCTTCTCGCTCTAGATCGGCATCCGTATTATTGCCTATTTAAAAAAATGAAAGTGGTGATGTCTTGTTACATACGTTAAGCGAGATGCGTCGTGCAAAATAGTCATGCCTACATATTGCGCTGTTGTGCAAATGGGCAAAAAGCCACTTAAGACATGAGGGGCTTGGAGGACAGGGCCAGTGGTGTGGCATGGTTTGCGAAATATTGATTGATCTTCCATTTAAACCAATGGAAAAGGATCGATAAACAGGGTGTCCGCAATGAACGCCTTAATAATCGATTCTTTACCACAGTTTCAAATGGGGAAATATCGATAATCGAGCATTTACGCCTGGCCACTGGACAAGGCGCATGAGTGCAGTTTTTGAAAAATTGAGACATTAATGAGTTCAACTAAAACTAATCTTAAAATATATATTTAGTGAGAGCTTCACCACTGAATCCCAATTTTTAAGCACCAAGAAGTGAGTTTAAACTCCCTAAAAATATTTTTCCTGCAAAGAAACTGGTTTCTTCTTCTTCTTTTTCCTTTTTTTCTTTTTTTTCAAATCGGTCCTTTTTCAGATGAGACTATTTATTTCTTAAGTACCACTAAGGTAAAAAGTACTTAATGTTTGGTTCAGTCCGAGCCGAAAAAGTGTTCCCGATTGATAGCTCCATGTGGACCTACTTTAATACTTTAAATGCAATGGAATCTAACCCTCCGTTTCTTACTTATTTTCCAGGGTGCTATTAACGTTCATCTACCTCCGATAATCTTTGGATTACTGCCAATGTTCTCTGCCGCATGCTGTCTTGCACTCCCGGAGACAAGAGGAGCCGAACTGCCGCAAACGATGGAAGACGGGGAGAACTTTGGAAAGTATGTACCAAATTTTACTCAATATGAAATCATAAGCGTAACGCATGACATAAAACGTCTGAAGCGCGAAGCGCTTCTGGAGGTTGGATCGCAAAGCGGTCAGGGGGCGTACTCTCTAGTAATTTCTACACTACATGAAAATGAATCCAACACACTTTTGACCTGTTACATTTTTTATGACAAAGAGATTAAGTTTTTACAGAATAATCATGTCGTGTTGTACAGAATAGAAACAACCCTGAAATGTTCAAGAAATATCGTTGCTTTATTATTTTATTTTAATAAAAATGTACCTAAAGTATCTTATCAGCGCTGACTGTCACAACGTGATTTTAAAAGAATAATTAAAACAAATCGTTAAGAAAAAGAAAAATAAAACGTGAACATATATATAGTGAAGAGCCAAAGACTCGTAGCTAATAACCTTAGAAAAATCGGCAGGCAGTGGAGCTGTCGCATAGTTCTCCCCTGATGATTTCTCGAATCGGTGAAAATGTAGTTACCGTTCTTTGACTATCTTACCATAGATCTATGGATCGGAAAACCCTCTATAGGTTTTGCACAATAAGTTAGTCAACATGAAAAAAATCTGGCATTAAATATTTTTCCCTGCAAATTCTGCAAATATGTTTTCCTGGTATGAAACTCGGAGAAAACATGCAACATGCGAACCGATGATGTCATGAAAAATTACATTTGAATCCCTAGAGTTCCTTTACGGAGAAAAAACTCTCAGAAAAGTATGACATGGGCTACTTAATTGGACGGAGTTAAACAGAAAGGAACCAAGCCACATCGGGATCGAACCGAGAAAAAGAGGTTTAAAGTTTGGCTCCTGCATAAGACTCAATGTAAAAGATAAACTTCAAGTTCAATTTCTGCAAAATTCGCTCCAACAAAAACTTTGAATTTTTGGCGATATATAGTAGAGCAGTGGTTGAGTTCAAAACCACTCATAACTCAATTTTTTCCAAAATGTGGGTTGGTTCCTTTCTGCTTAACTCAGTCCAATTCATATTCTTTCTTTGACGGGTTAAAATTTTGCAAATAGACTAATTTGTCATTATTTTCTTTAACGCTCCGTGGGATATTGTAGAGAAAAGTTAAAAATTTGCAACATAGACAGTTGAGTCACTTACGCGAATTTCAGGGTGCCACAATTTGTAAGCTATATTATCATTGTTGCCAGATTGTGCTGAAAATTTAGCACATTTCTTCATTGAACTTAAATGTCAAACATCCGTATCTTTCCTCACATTCTGGCAACCTAGATATTGATTAACACTCGTTAACGGGCACAATGAAAACGAGAGGTAAATCTCGGTGACTGGAGTTCAACAGTTGACGTAATGCTCAACTTACACTTACTTCTTTTCCAGGAAACACAGATCAGACACAAAATCAGGTGTCCCCAACGCTGCATTTACATCAGAAGAAAACGACACCTCCTCGAAAGCAATCTGATTCAGTCAGCCTCGCCGTTATTTCCTCGCCACCGACGTGTATTATACTCAAAGTTCTATCTTCAATTGATTCGTTCTTAGCAATTTTGTTTACCGAGAAGTTAACCTTTTCCCAAGCTGTTTTATAATTTGTATTATCTTGTTATTCCGTTTCTTGTTTTTAAAGAAACTACTGTTTAAAGAGCCATAAAAAAGGGACTAAAGCATTGTTACAGAAAATAATGATTTTTTTAAATGTCACCTTTTTTCGCCGCGAAAAGTAGACGCTTACTTTGGTACTAGTTTATGCCCCTCCGAATTAATGAGTAGTGAATTTGAAATTTTGTAGCATTTTATAACCCTCAAAGCATTACACCTCATTATAAAATTAAAATTTGTAATTTTTCATATCATGATGCGTCTCGAATTTTATTTTCTCTAGCTCGAATTCTCTGTATAGTTGTGATCATACTCAGAAATCTCTTCAAAATTGTAACAATGTTTTACTCTCCTGGATAAGAGTTGTGAAAATTTTAAGAAAATTTTCAATAATTATATTTGTTGAAATTTTATTTCGGAATGTATTTGCTTGTATTTTAGTTTAAATGTAAGACTGTTATTGCTGTAATTATTTCTATTTATGTCTTTATTAGTTTCAAGATGTATTAGGTATATTTATTTTGTGAAAAGGGCATTTAAAATGCTCTGTTTTTGTGGATTTTATTATGTTTTAAAATACTAAGATAGCATTACGTATTTATTTTTTTACCGATGATATTATTTCTCTAATTTCATTGTCATTAAACACAAATTATGAACACTCCCTTATGTGCTAGCTCTTCCAAGTGTGTCAGAGCAGAGGGCACCAACGATGTCAGTAGAGTTAACACAATCATATCAGCAATTTTGAATTTTTGCGTAGATTAAAGCATTTTTTCGGATTCTCGGGCATTTTGCTTAGGCTCCTCAATGCTGCAAAAATCTGTATAACTAATAGAATCTGACAAAGCGCATGTGTTAACTTGATACAGTTATTTCATATACTTCAAAAGGAAAATCATGTCAAACGAACTAAAAGAAAATTGTGTGAAAATTCTTAAAATGTACCATTGAAGACCTGCAAGTTTGATTATTATTTCACTCCCATAACCAAAACCACGAGTACCATAATTATAAGGCTGCATTCCCACCGACGACCGACGAGGAAAGGAACATTCCATTGTAACAGCAAGAAGCGCCTTCAATCGACTGGATATGCACAAATACATCTATTAAGTTAAAATAGTTACATACTCAGCAGTTTGAAGGCGTTCTGCGGAAGTGCTGGCCTCACGTTCAGCGATCCAAATACGTTTGATTGATTTACTCGTAAAAAAGAACTCTTAATAATTTATGTTGAATAGCCATCGTAAATTTCAGAATATAGCAAGAATCAATTTAACTTATTAAGCCGTTAACCAAACTGCATGACCCACGCACGATATTCAAAGAAAAGAAAAGAAAAGCTGGTGGTACTCAATCTTTTCAGAATTGCAATGGTTGTCCTGCCAGCAAGAAAATTTGTAATTTATTTATAGTGCCAAAAAATAACTTTTGTGGCAAAAGTTGAAAACTCGATATTTTGATGAAAATGTAACCTACGCAAGTTTAAAAATGCTCCGATCGGTCTGAAACTGTACAGGATTTTTTTTTTTTTTTTTTTTTTTTTTTTTTTTTTTTTAATGTATTAGCACGTACTGGAAACCGGGGAGCTGAAATTTCTCAATTTTTTTAGCATAGGTACAAGTAAGCCGCAACCTATGGTGACATGCCCCTCCCTCCGCGAGCCATAAAGGTAGAAAGGGGGAAGAAGGGAAAAGGGAGAGGGGAAAAAAGATCTCGAAAAACTTTACTAAAATGGTTTCAAGACAGAACTGTGTAACCAAAGTTTCCCGAGTTCATGTTCTAAAATAAAATTATGCTGCAAGAGATATTAGTCGTATATTTTCAACATTCAAATAATGTACAAATTGCATGCTACAACTGCTTATAATTCAATCTGGGAGGACCTAATTTTTTAAAATTTCCCGGAGGATCCCCGCGGATCCTCCACTCAATATCAGGAAATGCCCTCCCTCCCTCTTACTCACTCTGGATCCGCCACTGAAAGCGTATCAGATGAAGTTGCCAAATTTTCTTCAGTAAAATGTTTATTTTTGAGAAAAGATATGAATATTTTTCCTTGAAAATTTCAGGAACTTTAGGTGAAATCGCGAACAAAATTACCTGAAAAATTGGAAGGAAAATATTCATAAGTTTATCAGGAAATTCGTGTTTTATCAAAGGAAATTTGGCAACGCCTGAAGGTTCATACGGCGTTCTTCCTTAGCACGGCAGTGTGCAAAACAGTGTTAGTAATAACTCTACAGTCATCGGGACCAAACAGAACCAAATGCGCAAGTATAGCACAGTGGAACGGAAACATTGAAATCAATTTGCAATTTAATGGGATAAAATTACACTTTTAATTCCATGACATTAAGATAGGTATGTTTACATCATTTGGTCTATAAATGCCACTTTTAAGCGATCGACAAAATGAGTGTATCGACGGTGAAACTACCAGACCACGCATCTTGGTTTGCGATGTTGTAGACTTCCTGTCATTTTTTATTTTTTAAGTGAAAAACTTCTCAACGTCAATTCTTGGAAAAAAAAGAAGAAAAAAAGAAAAAAAATAAGAGCGGAGATTTTGAAACACCGCAAACAAGGTACGTGGTCTGGTAGTTTCCCCATCGATATGTCAGAGAGGATGTGTGTTTTGTTTGCAATGCAAACAAATTGGAACTCACTTCAAATCTATTGCAATAAATTTCACCAAGAGGAGCCCCTTCAATCAATGAATAGACAACCTACACAACACTGCAACACAAAAGCAAGCATTTTACAATGTATATTCAATTAAAAGCAATCTGCGGTACTTAGGTGGTAAGATTTGAGATACTTGGAGATGAGGAAAGGCAAGAAAATAGTTTGAATCCAGCGCAGACAAATTGTTGGAAATTGACCGAAACTCCCATCCACCTAATTTGCCTCCCTTGGTACCTACCAAGTTTCACAAAAATCTGTTGAACAGGAGCCGAGATAACATTTAAGGCCAATTCCGCCTTTATGGATTTTGGAATTTTGGAAATTTCAGCAAAAATTCGAGTTGCCTGTCAAAAGGCATCCTTTTCTATCTACTGAGTTTCACCAAAGTCAACCGAACAGGAGCTGAAATAGTATTTTAGGCTCAATTTGACTTAAACAGCGTGATATCGAAAATCTAAGTGAAAATTCGGATTCCTCGTGAAAAATTGATAAGAATTCTTCTATCATATGTCAGCATAGCATGGAGGAAAGATATGGGTAAGTCGGTATTTGGGCACGGAATCCGAACCTTTGAAGTATGCCGCCAAGCGCCGGCGCCTAGTGGCGCTAAGCATTCCGTTTCGTCCAGAAGAATTTCCGAGAAGATAAATTCTTCTTCCTCATCCGCTGACCCACTCAGTACTTACCCATGTTGCCATGTTGAACTGATATGTCAGAATCAGTATGCGCCCCTTTCCTTCACGCTATGCTAGCGTATGATACATGCAATTGCATCGATTTTTCACGAGGAATCTGAATCTGAGTTTAGATTTTGGATATACTGCGTTTTGATCTTTCTTAAATACCAAAATCCAAGATGGTGGTCGTGCCCAAAATTCTTTCTTGGCTCCTGTTCGATCGCTGTTTGTGAAACCTGGTATCGGTGGGTTTTCTTTGGCGGGCAACTCGATTTTTTAGTCAAATGTCTTTAAAAGACAAAATACAAGATAGCGGACGTAGCTTAAAATGCTATCTCAGTCCCTTCAATCGATTTTTGTGAAATTCGATAGCGAAGTGTATTTTTCGATCGAAAATTCGATTTTTTAATCAATTGTCTTGAATTCCAAGATTCAAGATGGCTAACGAGACCTGTATGCTATCTCGACTCCTGAACAATCGATTGTCGTGAAACACGGTGTCACGGGATATTCTGGATATTTTACCAGAAATTCAAGTTGCTCGTTCAAGAGAACCCCTTACACCGTGCTTATCAAGTTTCATAAAAATAGATTGAACAGGAGCCGAGGAAGAAATAGTTAAGGTTTTTTTGTATGTACTGAAGAAAATCGTGGTTTTATGATAAGAGCATTCCAAAGTCGCTAACCTTGCAAACATAAACGATCATCTAAACTAGTTTCACCTCTACTCCCAATAAACTATGAATTCAAGACGAAAATTACCGTCGCAAAGTTTACTTTTTGCAAAGAATGTACCTAAGTTGCACAGTCCCAGCAACATTGAAATGATCTTAGTTCCTTTTTGCAAAATGCGATCCAATTGGTTGTTGCTGCAAAAAAATAGTTTCCCACAACCTGCTATACAATGCTCCAGTGACCATGTAAGTTGGCCCGAGCACTAACTTTTCGGGAAGAAAGCCTCTCCCCCACCTGGTTTCTCACTTACTTAATGTCCGCCCGAGTTTCGCATAACTTCCGTTTCTCCTCATCGCAGCTTCCATCAAACCGCAATTGCCCGGAAACTAGGACCGCTCATCTTATCTGATCGCCCTTTAGACCGATTCTGGGGGGTTAGGCTAGACTAGTCGATGAGTCAACTGTTGATCTAATTTCATTACGTGAACGTAGAAGAAAAAAGGAGTAAAAAATCACTAATGTGTGATCAATTTTCAAGGACAATTCTGTAATTTCTCCTACGATTTTAAATATATTAAAACGCGTAATATCCAAAATCTAAGCTCATATTCGGATTCCTCGTGAAAAACTGATGCGATTTCATGCATCATATGTTAAAATAGCGTAAAGGAAAAAGGTTTAACGACGCGTAGAGATTCTGTCCTTTGAACTACGCCGCCGCGTCGCGCCGGTCGCCCGAGATGCAACCGAACGGGGCGGCGCGACGCCTAGTGGCGCTAAGCATTCCATTTCGTCCCGAGGAATTCCTCACGATAAATTCTTATTCTTCCTCCTCCAATGACCCACTGAGCACTACCCATGTTGCCACGTTGGATTCATATACTCGAATCAGTATGTCTACGTTACGTCTCTTTCCTTCACGCTATGCTCGGGTATGATACATGAAATTGTATCAATTTTTAACGAGGAATCCGAATCTGAACTTCGATTTTGGGTATCATGCGTTTTAAGTACAATTTTTCAACTTCAAAAATCCGAAATGACTGAAGTGGCTTAAAATGCCATCTCGGCTCCTGTTTGATGGATTCTCCTGAAATTCGGTGTCAGGGTATGATACATGAAATCGCATCGATTTTTTACGAGGAATCCGAATCTGAGCTTCGATTTTGGGGATCACGCGTTTTAAATCAAAATCTGTCAAAATTCAAAAAATTCAAAATTCGAAAATCCGAAATGGCTTGAAATGCTATCTCGGCCTCTGTTCGATGGATTTTTCTGAAATTCGGTGTCAGGTGGTATTTCTCGACGGGAAACTCGAATTTTTAGTCCACTTTTTAAAATTCTCAAATTCAAGATGGCGGACGTGGGCTAAAATGCTATCTCGGTTTCTGTTTGTTCGAGTCTTGTGAAACGCGGTATCGCACGGTATTTTTCAACGGAAAACTCGAATTTTTAGTCCATTTTTTAAAATTCTCAACTCCAAAATGTTGGATGTGGCCTAAAATGAGCCCCGGTTCTGGCCTCCGTTTCTGTTCGTTAGAGCTTTGTGAACCGCGGGGTCAGGGGTACTTTTCGACGGGAAACTCGAATTTTTAGTCGATTTTGAAAATTCTCAAATCCAAGATGGCGGACGTGGCCTAAAATGCTATGTCTGCTCCTGTTCGATGGATTTTTTTGAAACTCGGTGTCTGAGGGTATTTTTCGACCGGAAACTCGAATTTTTACTATGTTTAAAAATTCTCAAATCCAAGATAGCGGACGTGGCCTAAAATGCTATGTCGGCTCCTGTTCGATGGATTTATGGCGCCCCCTTACTACATGCCTACTCTTGTATTTCTGCACAGCCGCAAATTTAGGGTCAAGGGGCGCCTGACCGTCTATGGACCAGGTGGAGTTTTTGTCCTGAAAATTTACCTATAGACGGCAATTCTCTTTATATTTTGTCTATGGTTTTTATGCCTCCCCCCCCCCCCTTCTCGCGGACTCTCTTTTCACTTTTCTTGCCTCTTTTTTCCTTCCATTACCCCCTTCTTCCTTGCTTTCACTGCCCAACCTTGTTTCCTTTTCCTTTTTCCCCTTGTCCTTTCTTCCCTTTTTTTCCTTTTCCTTTCCCCCCTTTTTTTCCCTCTCTTCTTCTTTCGTGGCGCCCCCCAAAGGCTGGCGCCCGTGTGCGCCGCACGCCGTGCACACGCCCTAAGTCCGGGCCTGTTTATGAAAGATTTTTTATCTCACACATCAAATCTTGGTTTTTTACAATACTGTTCTCACGTTGGATAAAAGTAACCAACTAACGATAAAATTAAATAACTAACTGTCAATGGGACACTGCCAAGATCCATCCACTGCCTCCCTCTCCCACTCTGATGAAAAAGGGACTTTTTTTTCGGGGATTGGGATTTTTTTTTCTCCCTCCATAAATTATTGACATAACCTGATAGAAAGTAAACACCGCGAGTTTTGAATTGCAAAAATTTTTTATCGAACTTTTTGTTATTCTAGCCATTAAACCACTCGATTCTTCTAATTTAGGATTCAAAACTTTCTTTCTCATCTTTTTCTTACTATTTGCTTGCAGTTTCAGCCACATTTTACAATTTTTTAATTAACTAAAGAAATTGATATAATAATTTCCTTTTGAGAGAAGCCATGTTGAAGTTAGGTTGAAAAGTGTTTATGAGGTGCAAGCATGAAGCTGTTTGATTTACCTTACAATTTTAACAAAAACGCGGTGACTTTTTATCAATTGAATCACTTGTGACATTCAAAGTGCTTTTCGGATCTTTTGTTCGTTATCTACCTTTTAAATCAGTGCTAATATTGTGATGTGACTGTTTATTAACGAAACCAAACTCTTCCCTCCATCGAGGTGCTTTCTAAGGGCTTCTTCATTTGAAGCTTTTATCACATGCAAACTGAAAGCCACCCATGAAAAGATGTCTATTCTTTCAGACAGTGTTTTCTTACTCAAAGTTAACAATTTTCTTTGTGCTAGCTTAAAATTCAAGCAAGTGTCTCCCTGACATTACATTTTGACTTAGTTTGAAAGATTCCTAATAAACTGTTGCAGCCATTTTTGTTTCGAACCAACTCCACAACTTTCTGTAAGTACACTTTTTTCATAGTTTTTGTCATTCTGCTTAGTTTGATAGGCATATCAGAGGACTCTTGTATTATTTTATCCTTGAGTATGAGTTAATTTGGATGCAGACAATAGATGATGAGCCAGTGCATAAGGTGAACACGCCAGCTCTCCAAAGTAGGTTACAAGAGTGACGAGGACGAGACTGCATTGTGTTTTCACACTAATTGCACCTCTAATCACCAAGTTTGCTACCCATTGACATTTATGTGTCTCTATATTCAATAAGTCAACTCATACACTAAGGGTGGACCTTTTCAGCACATGGGGTCCTCAGTATTAGCCCGCAGTTGCTATTATGTTCATACGTAAATGAAATTGTCAACAACTGCCAAGGCATCTTGTATTGATCCACATTTTCACTAAAGTCATAGAAAGATCTTTCCGATTTATTCATATATTTATATATTCGATTATTTAATTCGTTCAAGCATTTTGCCTCTCTCAACTTATTATTTTCTGTCACATGTTTTTTCAAAAGGAGCTAAGTTACCTTACTTCTTAGTAGGCAAGCAAAGATAGTTCCAAATCATTTATTTGTTGAGTAGATGAATCTGGATACATTACTGGTGTTCACCCAAAGAAAATTTTCTGTAATGGCTCTTATGGTGATAGCATCCGTTTCATGACTCCTGCTATCGTAGTGATTGAAGATGACCTCTATCTAGCTGTGAACCCACTTAACGATCAACCTAACCTCATCTCAAATCTGTCATATTTCTCTTTCAATCCTCAAAGGTTTGATAATGCAAATTGTAATTTTCTTAACTGAACCAGCCAATTATTCATGGTTGCAAGAGATCATCAGTAATTAAACTACCAGCCCGTATTTTGTTGTATAATGATCGGCTATTAACCAACAAACGCTCATCACACCCAAGCTATGATCATACTTGGTCACATTTATTTTGAACTCATAACCAGGGAAGGATAGTTATGTTTAGCTTTTTGCTGAATCTAGCTCTGCCTTTGAGGGACCATTGTCTGCTTTAAATTTTGGTGATGCCTCATCAGAGGTGGATATGTTGTGCCATGAACCTAGACTACATCCATTAAGCGATCAAAAGAAGTAAATTTAGTAGCTGCAAGATGTAAATTGTTCATTACAATTAATTTTTATTTTATCAATAAATCAGCACAGGATTAAAGACTGTTGTTCTTCTTGCACAGGTCATGGAGAATGAGCCACCGAATGCAGAAAAATCAGAAGAAGTCCTTGGCTCTGTAACTCATTGCTATGACATTGAAAATGGAGACAAGACGGGCAGCGTACAGTTGCGAACAAGTGCCAGGGTCTCCAAAAAAATGCGGCTGGATTCCACCGCAGCTGCTGTCCCTCCACCTACTGCAGATATCAAAGGTAAGCAAATTCAGCCCCTCCCAAAAGGGCGTTATTTCTTATCAGTAGGCAGATTTGATAGAACACACCCAGGATTTGGACCGCAATCGACGATCTCCTTAAAAGAGCGGTCCAGCAAGCCATTGATTTGAGATGGACTACTGGATGACAGGGTGAAAAAATATTGCGATGTTTCGAGATCCATTGCAATCCACTGTGGTACAGATGAAAAAAAATAGCCCTATAATAGATTTTTTTTCTCGTAGGTATTCATGTAAACCATGGGATGGCAGTATCCATAATTTTTACCTCAGTGAAACTCTTCAAAAGCTCTTTCGTAGGATTTTCAATTTAAATGATGTTATACTCTTATTCCTACACCAATATCAACTTTTTTCTCTTCTCAAAGTAAAGTAAAAAAAAAAAAAATTCAAATCAGCAAAAGAAAAACAGATACTGATGACGACTCCTCATCTGTTTCTTAAAGGGGACTGCAACCTTAAAAACAAGTTTGGCAATTTCGACGAAGAAAAGTGCGCAATGAACGATGCCGAAATCTGTTTGCGAACATCTACATTCGTTGAGCTGCTATCGCAAAAAACAGCTGAGCGCGTCACGTCATGAACTCCGCCTCGCATTTTGCAGTCTGCACTCTGCATACTGTCTCCGGTGTCAAGTGGCTGACGCGTGTTCGCGACAAGTTATTAGTTCGCCCCGATCTCGCTCGCTCCTGGCGGACATTTTTCTTTGCTTGGGTGTGACATTTAAGGCGACCTCGCGGCGCCAGAGAGCAAACGCTCCAGACTTTGAGTTGTTTGCGTGTTAACTGCAGTCGCATCGGGAGCGCATGACGTCACCAGTCAGACTTACAATCTTTCATTTCTCTGCGATTTTGCGAATTTTTCATTTGGGACAGAGCCATGTTGCTTCTTATACCTTCCTGCTTCAATTTTTAATACTATCTCATTTTCGATTTTAGGGTTGCCGTCTCCTTTAAGTATTTTAGGTATAGCAACAATGAGAGTAGTTTATGTCAGTTAATTGTAGCCTGTAAAATCACCATTATAACTCATTGAATCCTATCAACTAGTCCGTACACAACACAGCCAGAGTTGTGGCTTATAATCCCTTCATCTTGTCCACCCCTAAGTCTCATATGTGCCTGAACCCTCAAATCAATGATTTTTACTTTGTATTCAAACAAATTTTAACATCGCATTTTAAGAAATTGAGTACGTTTAAGTGTAGCGAGAGATTATGTACTCAGGAGGATTTCATGTCTGTTCTGGAGTCTTGGTGAGAAACCTTATCCATAGGTAATTTATTGGCATCTTTTGGATTTTCAGATACGAAAGATGAAACGAAAACTCCTGAACCGAAGCCAAAAATTCGTAGAGCTCCAGAGTTGTGGTCAACAGAGGACAAGAACTTATTTTTTGAAGCATTGAACGAATATGGAAAGGACTTTGATGCCATTCAAAACTACATGCTGTCAAAATCCAAGAAACGAGGTGTTGGTGACCATGTTGCTAAAAATAGAGATCAAGCACGTCATTTTTACCACAGAACTTGGCACAAAATTTCCAAGCATCTCAAGTTTCCTGAAGGTGAGCGCCAATTTTTTTCTGATTTTTTTACCAAATATATCCCATCTTAATGCCTTTTTTTGGTTTAGTATCTCTATGTACTTATTTTTTTGAATATGTATGTGTAAGTCTAGGTTGCTGAAAGATACGCTCGAAATTCAGAGTGCAGGTTATCCAAGAAACTCACAAAAAAAACTTGTGGGAAACATACCCATCCGACGCTACTTGACGTTGCGAGTGAAACAGACCACAGTGGGCGCAAGTGGGTTACACGGGAACTTTTTTTTTTGACCCTCTCAAAATCTGGGGTGCGGATTATCTGCGGGCGTATGCGATGAATCTCTGACTTCAATAAATAAAAGGAGGGAGGTCATTTTTTGATAGGTCAGCTAGCCATACCGTCCAGAATTTGCCTGAAATTTCATCTACTCCAGTTCCATTTCCGTTTACATTGCTCTTTATCAAAACTCGGTCATTTAGGAACAATTCTAATTTTTGGCGTTTCATAACCCTAAATTCACATGCTGCAAAGAAAGAAAAAAACATAGCTTAGAATCTGATCCGTGCCTGTACGTTCTTCAAATTTCAAAGGTACCTAAACCATAAGTGAAATTATTTAAAGAAAGAAAGAACTACAATGGAAAAATGTTTATATGCCTCAAAAATGAATTGTTTAGCATTACTACTATCTAATTTATCCTGGAAAGTAGAATGAATTTTTCGACTCTCTTAATTGGATTTTACTTTTCGAGATGTGTCTGAAAAAACTGGACAATAAATAATCATGAATTTCTTGCCATATTCCCAAATTTTGGTCGAATTTCTTAAAGAAATTATACCCTGAAGACTGAAATATCCTTCCATCCTGAAATGCCAGATTTTAAACCAATATGTTGCTGACCATAGCAAGTGTAATTTTTTTCCCCTTTTACTCAAAAGGTTCATTCTAGGCTTATTTCCCACCTTCATCAGGCGATCAGCAACAAGCAGCCCTTATTGACTTTTAGTTGAGACTATTAAACTCGAATATCCCAACCAGAAATGGAACTAGAGACTTCCTAATCCTAGGGCAATCACGGCATTTTCTAGCTAACATGATGCTGACAAAACTACGCTGGTCTATTGGATGGCTTTCTTAATATGTCTAAAGTGACTCTCTGCATTTTTCAGGTATCAAAAAACCAACTCAAGAATTGTATGCGCTAATTAACTTTGGAGAGATCAGAAAAAAAATTGGTTTCTTGTCTGAGAAGAATTCTTCAAAATTAATCGAATTGATCTACACAGGCTCTACTAAGATTCGAATCAAAGGAAAAACTTGGAGAATTAAAACTCCCCCTTGCCGAGCTTTGCGAAAGTTAAATCAGCTTGAAGGTAAATTATTTTTGTTCCTTTGATAAAACAGAAGTCTAATTAATTTACTGAGTCACACCAAATAAGTATAAATGCTTTCTGAGTAACACAGAAGATTTACCGCCTTGATTCTTGTATTTACATGTTTCCAATGCTAAACTGAAGCCGGCAAATCTTCTGCTGTAGTCTAAAAGTGTTAAAATTTAATAGGAAGGACTGCAGCAGTTTGCAAATTGATTAATTAAAACAAGTTGTTTTTTCTTCCTAGTTTTTTTTTAGTTGCCGGCCCGGGTGGTCTTATCTGGGTGGTGATAAGACCACCCAGGCTGGCGATGATGAGCAAAGCCTCGTAAGCGTCGGAGTCCGAGCCTCGGTGGCGGGGAAGCGGAGAGCGGTCGGAGTGGACTGGAAGGGAAGGGCACGACTAGCGCCGCACAATGATTAGGCCAGCGAAACGTCAATTTACGCACATAAAATGGCGAATATCTCAAAAACTGCACATGGGATCTCTTTGGCCCTTTGATAGCGTTTGATCAGAATTACAAGCTGAGCAACATATCCAAGTTTCATCAAATTTGACTGGGGGGATTTCCCATAAGGATGGTGCGGGGTTCTTTTAAAAGCTTAAATTTATTTTTGCAATATACACAGTGTTTTTGCTTAAAGAAAAAAGAAAAATGGAACCTAAAAAAGTAATGCAAAGAGAATGAGCTCTGTAAACATTTCTTCCCATTTTTAAGGGGAATGTAAGTCTTCTAAGTAGGTTGTTAAATACCTCCCCCTATCCTATTTCTACAAAGTTACTAGTTTGAACATTTGTAGCATATTAACCCTTTCCGGTCCAATGTCGGATATATTCGCCGTGAAAAATAACGCGTTTAGGTCCGATGTCGGATATAGTCGCCCAAAAGTTTGAACTTCTGTGCAGGCCCGATATCGGGTATATTCGACTGCTCCAGCAAGTGGCGGCCTCTGGTGGAGCCTTTGGAAACCACTGTCTTTGTTGACAACATCGCTGCTACCTTAACCTCACTTAACGACGGCCGTGGAAAACTGCCGCGGACCGGAAAGGGTTAATAATTAGTTTCTCCGTGTTTTATTTTATTGAATCCTCTCTTGCAATCTTTAAATGTCGATTTTTTCACTGATTTATTTTATTACCATAATTTTTTGCAGAGTCATCTGAAGATTTTAAGTTACCAACAAAAATTTGCGTGGAATTAGTACCTCGTGACAATTCAACATGGTTGTCGGTTCAATCCATAGCAATGAATCCCCGCGTTCGTGCAAATGTTTCTCTGCACAACAGGCTTGCCACATTAATTGAGTACCTTCAGCAAAAGTGGAAATCTCCTCATCTAAAACTTGTATCCTTTTCTATGCAGCATTGTCATATTTTTCCACTCAATTAAAACTGTCAGAGAGAGTGGATTGAAATACCTATATATTTCTTCAATCTTTCAAGTAGAAAATTTCAGAATTGTATTTTTAAAAGTACTGTAGGGGCTTGCATACAAGATGCACTGTCAGAAAAGATGCCGTGCAAATTCTAGAGTATTTAAAGTGCCTGGAAAGTCCAAGAAAACCTGATTCGGACGCATTGTGGGCTAGTTATCATCAAAATCAGGTTTCTTATCGAACAGACCTCATAAAAGACAAACATGTGCGCAGGTAAAAAAACTCAGGATGTGACATTGCTTTTAAAAAATCATTGATAATTTTTTACCGTAACAAAAATAGCATTTGATTCATAATAGAAATTAATTTCAAGATCTTGCCCCTAATTAAAAGCATATTTTAAGACATCTTGGATTCAGTAGAGACCAATATGTATACTTTCAGCGTTTCAACATTTGAAGTTTTTTCCTTAATACCATTTTCCAGAGGGATAAAATAATCAATTCCTCGCAGGTCAATGCAAGTGATTATGAAATAAGTGAGCCTGACTCAATCCTTAGGGTTGCTCCGAAGCCTAACACAAATATTTTTCACCCATCATTTAGGATTAACGAATTCATTCCAAGCTCTAAAATTAGCCTTCTGAGGCACGAGCAACAATTTGGGACTACTGGTGAATCCATTTCGTCTTTACTCGAGCAGGTATGTTTTACTCAGTTTTAATATGTGAAACCTATCAATGCCAAACAGCACTCTGCAAGTTTCATATACTTAGTTTAGCCTGTTATGCATTTGAGATCATGGGTATATAGGTACATGCAAGTTACATTAGTCAACAAGGAAACATTTTGCTGAGTGTCTGTTGTATTTTTGTTTTTCAATTTTATAACCTTTTTCACTCTTCAAAACTTTCATAAAAAATATTATTAGGCTCAAAAATTTGCCCTAAGGTCGTGGAATCTCCAACTAACTTTGAAGATTAACTATTAACAACATTGACTCATAGATACGTTCTAGAGCACCCTTAATTTCAGTTTTAACTTCAATTTAACTTAAAAGCTAATAACAAAAAAAAAATTGCCAGGAACTAGTAACACAACAGTGGAATTACACTTTGTATATAAATTCAATTCTTTTCAGTTAGTTAAGTCTTTTATATATTTGATAAGACGGTATATTTTTTCCTTTTTATGTATTTTGTTTTATACCTCTAAATGTTTTTCGAATTATCTTTCACAGCTCAAATCAAAACAACTGAAGCCTGGCAAAAATGCTGTGAAGAGACAACGAGCTGATAGTGCAAGTGATAAAGTATCAACTCTGCAACCCATAAGTTCCACGAGCACAGCAGTTCCAACCACGTCTGCATCCTCAGTCATGACTCCCAAAACTGCTGCCGAACCAGAGCTGATCAGCGAAAACAACAACAAGCCAGTTCCTATTTTAGAGGACGAAATCGTCCAGTGTGCTGTTGACAACCTTTTGTCTTTCAAATCTGAAAATGGTCAGTCACCCCTTAGTTCTTTTTTTCAACCATATCTTAAGTCAATCAGTGACCACCAGAAATTGTTTTTATCTCATGATTCTGATCATGGATAGTCTGAAGTTCTCTCTCAAGCTCATGAGATTTGCTTGCTGATTTGATCGCTGGTAATTTTACGCTAAAATATTTGGAGAGGAAGGCTCATGGCCAATGGGAAACTACGCACCTCCGTTTGAAATGTTGCAGACTTTCTGTTATACTTCAATTTTTATTTGGAAAACCAGTCAACGTAATTTCTTGAAATCTTTTTTTGATTTTCCTCCCTTCTTGTAGAATATTCTGTATAAATTTCATGCTCTGAAGTCGGCTTGTTTTTGTTTAAAAAAATAAAATAAGAGCAGACATCTTTTAAACACTTTTGCAAACACCTTTTGATTTGTTTATTCTGTACAGGTCATTTTTTATACAGTATTTAAAAATTAAGTTCCTCGAGATTATATTAGATTTCGGAAGATCCCCGACTCAGTGGTAATACTTTCAAAGACTGGTAGAAGCAGCACCCCAATCCAGACCGAACTTGAAACTTCAAAAGAAAAGAAAAAATGCATGATTAATGAGACTTTACGGATTGTCCCATTGTTACCACTCTTTTTCTTCTCTTTTCTTTTTTCTCTTCCAGTTGTGGTGCCACCATTTCATCGATTAGTTAGGATTGGATATCTTTCAGGGTACTTGAGAGGATGCAGTTAGGCATGATAATTTTAATCCCAATTGTCATACATACAGTCTAAGCTTATTTGGAATTTTTTTTCCCCCTCCAGAGAAAAAATCCTCCGAAAATGAAACTAGTCCTGATAAGACTGATGGAAAGTCTGGGAGTATTACAGGAGACTGGACTAGTCCCAACAAAGATGAACACCCAGAAGAACTAGATCATGAGGTAGATGAAACCTCAGGCGATCAAGAAAAACATGAAGACTTTGTGCGTCGAATTTCCAAAGGTTGGACGCAGCACAATGCTGAATCAATCAGGATTGGAGATCTATACCTCATGGTAAGAAATATATCATTATCCAAGGTACACTCTACTCCAGGTATGGACAATCGGGGTGCCGAAGTGACAGCGCTGAGAATATAGACCATCAAGTGACGTCGCAAGTCATACCTTCTTTGCCACGCGCTTCAAAATAACCCGTTGAAGAGGTTCTGGCAGATGTGGTAGCTTTAATAAGCTATCAGATAAATTTAAAAAATTGATAAAACTCAAAATAACGAAAAAAGTAACGAAGAACACAAAAAAATAACACAAAATTGACGAGACCCACTCTCAGAACAGAAAGTAAATAAGTTTTCAATATGGTGCCGCAGTCGTACCATTGGACGCTGTCAAATCTACACGTTCCAACGACTCTAAAATTCCATTTGTCCACACCTGTAGTAGAGTGTACCTTGATATTATCATTCAGTTTAATCTTGTACTTACTCAGTCACATGAAGGAAGGGAGCCAACCCTAAAATAAAGAATTTTTGGGTAAAATTATTCTTGTATCTGTAGTTACAATTTATGAAGCAAGTGGGTGATAAGCAAAATTATCACTTAGGCAGTCAACTTAAACAGACACAGAAAAAATAAGCAGTATTGTCAAACCTTACTCAGTAAAAATCTGCTTAAGTATGAAACCCTGCTAACTCTTGAAAATGGCCCAGTCTAATTTTCTGAGCCATTTATGCTGTATCAAAAAAGGCGGTTTAGCTCAGAAAACCCTTATTTTTTTGTTTCAAACTTAAAAAATTTCTTAATTAACTCATCTAACTTATAAATTTTCTCAGCAGTATCTTGTCTCGTTTCTCCACACATCTGCATAAATTTTTTTTGTTGCGCTGAAGCCCAAAAGTAACGACTTCCCTGCTTGTTGCATGATGTGGAACAATCTCCTGTATTTTGGGTGCAAAATCGGTAATTGCAGAACAGAATTTTGTGAAATCTGTTTGAGAAACCGTGCTAGGTGGGAACGAACTCTTGATCCCAATGTATTCTGACTTGGTGAGGTTTGACTGTAAAAAATTTCTAACAAGTAAACTTTGTGCAAACCCTCTTAATGCGTGAGCTCTCAAGAAGCTACAGTTGTGAAACCATTGTAGTTAAGCGAAAAGTTCTGGCAGAAGTCTAAACAATAAGGTAATATTTTGTAAATTGTTACTTCATATGACTTGTTAGATGATTGTCTTTGTTACTGTTTGTGATTCGAACAATCATAAACATTTTGTAAAAATTCTACTAACTATTCAAGTAACCACAATTTCTTGAAGCAAAAAATTTTTGTTGTTTTAGTTAATTTGTTGATTGTTTTCTTTTTATTTAGTTTGGTAGTGACTCCAAAATTCATCTTGAATATTGGTGGGAAGAAGCCCCCAAAGTGTCCGTAAATTCACCGAAGGAAAATGGGACTTTAACAGAGATCACCAATGTTGCCACTTCATCAGACTGCCCAAATAGTTCCAAGACTGCTTGCAAATCAAATCCTCCCAGCGTATCCAAAGAGCCTGAATCCAAGGCATCATCTTCTGTCTCGTCAGTGTTACAAAAACTTGTTTGTATTGCCAAACTCAGCCTGTTGAAACCAAAGGTAAGTTTCAAGTCGCGAATTTGTCAAGTTTTTAAAGAAAAAAAAACTCTCAAAACTCAAGAAGAGTAACAAGGTTGATCGGAAGCCTGATGAAACTTGACACGGGCAGTACAACCTTGTGCAATATTTTTAAATATTTAAAGAAATAAAGTACATACTCAATGATAAAATTGTATAGTTATCATTAAAATGTTAGACAGATTGATTATAGACAGAATTATACTCCTACTTATTCGTGACAGACTTTTTGGAGTCATTCCATACCAAACCAACTGATTCGACGGAGACACTACCTGTCTTGGAAGAGAGAAAATTGGGTAATATCAATTGCAATTAGACTGCATTTTGTAATTGGGAACCGCAATCTCTGTCTCATCTGTAAAAACACTCATGTGCATAGGGAAACTTATGTTGTTTCTGAACTAAACTAGAGATTGTAATATCTAATTTCAAAATGTAGTCCAATTTGGCTGATTCCGGTTTCATCCCTTTTGATGATGAAATGTTCATGTCTTCTTAAAGTATTTATTTTCATTTTAATCGGTTTTTTTTTTTCTTGTTTGTCAAGGCTGAGTGCACCTGTGGCCATGTATGTGGTGGGCCAAACCAGAATAAATCAAGCGCCAAGAATAAAGCAAGCTCAAAAGTTCAGAAAAATGATCTCAATGAAGTAAGTGTTCCAACTACAAAACACAGATAATGATGCAAAGTCAGTAAATGCAGTCAAACCTCACAAGTGAAAACCCACTCAGTAGGAAACCCCTCTAACTCTCGAAATTGGCCCTGTCTCATTTACGCAATACAGTGGAATCCCTATTATCCAACAGTATCGGGCGACTGGGTTGTCAGATACTGAAAATATCGGATTATCCGATGTACTTTCACACTCGATTTTTAAACCTAAAACTGACCCCTAATCTACAAATACAAGAAACAAATAAGGAAGCAAACTAAGGAAAAAACGGCTTACTTAATGTTGTTAAGTGAAGAAATGTTTTATCTTGAACTGCAATTTTGGGATTTTGGCAAGCTTTGCATGATCCGACAAATCTAATGCGGTCAGAGGTCATTTCCTTGTCTTCGCGAGTGTGTAATGCACTGTTGCTACAGTATCATTTGATACGGAGGTTGGATAATCGGGTGTCGAACAATCGGGGTTCCTTTTTGCTAAGGAAGTCGGCTAAACTCGGAATTTTCTAACTTAGCAAACCTTCCGAGTTGTAAAATTCCTTGTCCACAACTGGAGAAATTGTAATAACTAGTTCCCCTAACTCATAAATGTATTTATCAGTTTCTTATCTACACTTTTTTTGCTGCGCTAAATCAAGGAAAAAATAACTGTGCTGCTGCAATAACAAGAATGTGGCAAGAATTCAAAGAATCGAATATTCCAGCAAATGCTGCCATTGTTGCCCAAAACATCTCCCTCGGGTAATCAATCAATAATCGCAATAAGGGTGCTGTTATCATCCCACTCCACTGTCTCTACACTTACCTCTGTGGCTGTACTAAAGCTGAACAAATAGATAGTTTTTCTGTTAGGGGCATAGTGCAAGCGAATTTGTAATGATCATTTTTTCATCCTCCTTTGTTTTTTTAGAAATCAACAAGTAATCATAGTGCTGTAATTCTAAACGGAGTGAACACAGCCATTGGAAGCACCGTCTCCGTATCAACAACTGAAGTATTCAGGAAGCCTACATTAGTACCAATTGAAGCAAGGCCTAATCAAGATCCAACGCCTAGTTCTGTTCAAGCATTCAAAGCACAACTGGATGTAAGTATTTTGTTAGATTTGTTTGTCAACAAGTTGTCCATGATTTTTATTTTTCACCTCAAGTGAACTTACCTACCTCTTCAGAGTAAAGTATAAAACTGTCACGTAACTGCCTTTGAACTAAAGATAGCTTTTTAATCTGAGTTTACAAAACGTGACCTATGAACAAGTACACGGAAAAAACAAAAATTGCTGATTCAGCAATTCAATTGCTAAAAACAGTGAGTGCAATGTTTCAACGCAGATTTTACAACAAAAAATGCTACTTTAACCACATTGTAAACTAATTTAACAACAGGGGTGGTTAAAGTAGCATTTTTTTGTTGTAAAATCTGCGTTGAAACATTGCACTCACTGTTTTTAGCAATTGAATTGCTGAATCAGAAATTCTTTTTTTTTCCGTGTATGTGACTGCTGTCTTATTTAAACTATTAGTCCCAATATTGTTGTGATAATCGCTGGAAATATCTGAGATTGGTTTTTGTTTTGTTTGCTTCTAGAAATTTTGTCCAAGGTTCAGCAATCGTCGTGGACGAGCAGGAAACAGGTTGAAGAATTCAAACAATTTAGTAGTCCAGCGAATGCTGCCACTGTTGCCCAAAACATCTCCTTTGGGTAATCACTCAGTAGTCACAATGAGGGTGCTTCCACAGAGCAATCAACTTGCAGGTGATTTTGCTCCAATCAACAAAACCTCTCAGCCGAAGCTCATCCTACCAAAACAAGGTACTGTAAAGTCTAAAACACTTACACCGTAAAGCCCCTGTAATTTTAGTGTTTTTTTCTTTTTGATCCATTTGATTCACATTCTTGGAGTGCATTTGATTAGTAACTCGTATTTCAATTTTCCATTCCTTGTAAAGCAGGAAATCAAAAGTTGAGCTGCCGAAACGAGGCCTCCAAAAAATTTGCAATCTTTAACTAACGAAGAGAACTCCAAAGCCCCATTTTTTACGTTATATGACTGCAGTGAGATTATGCTTTTGTAATAAACAAGATGTTCATTCAAACTAAAAAGCAGGGCTGAGCATGATTTATAAAGTCAGTAAAAACCACTAGAAATCTCTTGGACGTTCTGCTTGTAATATGAATGCTTAAAATTCAATAGCGACAAACATACCAAATCATCAAAAAATTTATATCAAAATAAAGGGTTCGACTTCCTGAAGCAACTATGGATTTTTTGTTTTCTTGCACGCTTAAAAGGAAAACTGTAAGGAAGTCAAAATAATTTCCTACCTCTTTAAGGATGTTACACATCAAATTTTAGATTTTTTAGTTTTTATTTTGTGTATGAAACTTCTTAGAATTCTTAGAATCTTAAAATTTGAATAGTACTAATTGGCAGCACAATGAAACCCTCTAAATGAAGTAACTCTATGAATCCTATTGACTGAATGCTATTTATGCAAAGTTTGAATGAAAACATAATGGTCTAATGTAAAGCCAGACACAAAACTCTCCACCCACTTCTCTTGCTCCCTCATCCGTTAGCTGTGATGAATATTTTCTGATATTTTCCGTTATTAATCAGTAAGGCAATGAATGATTTTAATTTTAATATTAAGTCCCAGTCAGCAATTTCAATATGAAATACTTTTTTCCTAAAAAAAATTTAAGGACTACGTATAATAAAAAGTGCATGAAAGCAAGACTAGCCCAAGAAAGACGCTATTTTCATCATTTTCAATTTTGACAGCACCTCTGCAACCTAATATTTTGCTCTTTCTATTTTTAATTTTCAGCATGTTGCACATTTTACTTATTTTTCATTGATTCTTTTTTTTCACAATATTGTGTTTTTTCTTTCTCATTCAGAGCATCCGGTGAAAATTCTACCAAAGCCTGCCAAACCACCTACCACAGTCTCAATGCAGCCAACTTCTGTATCTGTGTTAAATCTTATGGGCCAGCCTGTGTCTCAAGTAGAAGGGTCCAAGCCTTGCGATCCTATCATTGGAGTGGACCAACCAAATAGACAGTCAGATGATGATCCGTCTCTTCTCTTAAACGATCTATCCAACCTTTCAACATTAATGCGTTCAATACCACCATCAGATCTTTCATTAAATTCTTCAACTTTTGAAGGTAAGAATTTGTGAGGAAACTCAAATCTTTTTTTACAAGGCTAAAAGAAATTCTACATCCGTTTATATACATAAAGTCGCTTTCACAGCGCAGCCTCACTCTCTGCGACGCCCAATCGCCATTGCCCCCTATCCTCCCAGAGATCATCAGGCAATTGGCACCTTCTGATCTCCTCCTCCACCCCTTATCGCCAGCCTTTCACAGGATGTCCAACTGTTCTACATCCATTTTATGTCGAATATATATAGGCAAGATGTATTGTTAGGAAAAGACAGAACTTTAGTTAATTAAAAGTAAAGTTTTTCATTTGATTCTGGGATACGATCAGTGTAAATTTTGATTAGTAGACTCGTTAAATTGCAATCATTGTTTGAAAGTCATTATTTAATTTTAACTTGGATAATATCTTAATTTACCAATGGGCCGTTTATGTAACAGTGAATGCTATGAAGCAGACTTTTTGCTCTCCCCTCCTTCCTCTACTAATCCATCTGTAATGCAGGTCCTGAACAAATTACATGAAGCTCAGTTCGACCCTTCTCCCCTCAAATTAGGGGTTTATGAAGGAAAATGGCCACCTTGCCTTGATTTTTCATCCAAGTGTGGAATCGACGTTTGTACTTTACATTTTAAACAATGAATTCAAATTTCCTGCTCTCAAAAAAACTGCAATCATTGAAGACCAAATAAGGCATTGGAATCAAGCTGTGTGTTCAGCAAATAACCAGAGATTGTTTTCACACTTATTTTCTTCTCCGTCTGATGTGAGGTTCCCTCTATCGTAGAATACACCAAAATTACTTTAATGTTCAGTTTGATTCCAGTAGACACTGGGTTTTTTTGCAAGCATAAAGTGTGCATTAACGCAGACAAAAATTGTTATTTTCCGACTTATGAGTTGAATTTGGAAAGCTTTAATGCTTTTTCATATTCCATGTAAAATTTCCATGAAGAAATATGCGTGTGGTGTTGCTAAATTTCACACCCTGTTTAGTGGTCCATTCTAATGGCGACAATGTTTGTAATCTAAACTATAAGATCTCTAATGTAGGTTTGATATCAGGAAGGGTTGAAATAGTCCAGTTGCCTTTAGAAAATACGTGAAATGATTTACGATATTCATTAGATATTCTTGCTCTGTTCGTTTTGCGTATTCTGATTTGTCTGATGATTTTCCTCTTTCTTCAGGTTTGTTATCAAACAACAATGGACCTCAGGCTGAACCTGGACTGTCACAAGAAACACCTTTATCTAGTCCAACACGTCTGCTGAAAGATGATGAAAATAATTGGCTCAGTTCAGAGGTAATTAAGGTCCCTTGACTTTTTAAAAATGCTGAAGAGAGTCTCTCTTATTCTACAGAAAAACCTTTTTCCTCCCTGTCTTTATCTTTTGCTGATTCTATGGCATCCTTTACTCATCTAAAGCTATAACTACAAAATATAAGTATAAGAAATCAAACCGCCTTAAAGTGGTGCCCTTGCATCTGATGAATCAGGTAAAGATATCTGTAAGAATCAGCATTAAAAATACATATTTAAACTACAGTACAACCTTGTTGTTAAAACCTTCAATTGAATGACTTTTTTTATGTAATAATGATTTTTGTCAGTCAAAATCCATGTACGGCAATGTATTTTTATTTCAAATTAACGTTTTTGCAGCAAGCCTTGATTCAAATCAAAATATTTATGATTTCATCGGCTGGCAACAGAGACAAAGCTACCTTGCTACCTTTGCATACAAATTGGAAAGTATTCCCTTTATCATTCCTGTAACAATCCTTTGAATTTAAAGGCCAGGTTTGGCAGGTTCTGCCAGGTTTGTTGATAAAAAGAACCAGGTTTGTCAACTCAGACACTTGAAGGAGTAGATTCTTGCGGCTTTTCTCTCTGTTTCAACTGACTTTTTGTGAGGAAAGAGTGTATCTCTAAAACTTATCATGCACAAATAATAGAATTTTGCTTGTTTTAACAATGTCGTAACCCCTTCTGGAACTGAAAGACCTCAAAATAAGAGTAAGTTTACCCGTCTCCTCTTCTAATGTAAAGTTTTTTTTCCCTTTCAGGTGGGCGATTTCTCTTTTAGTAGTTTCCTTGGTCATTTGGAATCATCACCAATGAAGAGTTCAAGCAATAATGAAGAATCTAAATTAATGTCAGACGTGAGTTTTCTTTTATTTCTGTTAACCGTAACTTTAGATGAAGGTTCCTAGAAAAACTAGAACACAGAAGTTGCTTTTTATCAATATAGGATTTAGTTCAGTCGTTACAGTATTTGACAGGTTTCCTGCCAAGTTTCTGCACATGAATTTCCACCAAGTCAAGGAATCACACAAAAAGATTGCAAAAAATGGCGGTGCGAAACCATTCTTAGCGGATATCTCTACAATGTTAGTACTTTCTCTTGGTTGTGTAATATAGTTATCTTCTACCTATCGTAAGAGTTTCGTCCCAAAAAACCTTGTTTTGATAAAAAATGACCATATAATTATGCATTCCGTAAAAATATAGACCTTCAATGAGCAAAAAATCGTTGAGTTGAGGAAATTCAGAGTGGGCCAAAAACTGCCCTTATCAATGACCCTCCTTCATGCTCTTTTGTATCTGCCATTCATCTCATGTAAACTTTGTTTTTTTAATTTATAGGTGGAGGCGCAGCTGCAGTGTTTGATGAGTGAAAACAGTGTGGATTACACAGCCAAGTTTGCGGACTTAGCAGCTCAAATTGCTGCGGATACTAAGAAGTAAGAGATTGTCTTTCCACCAAATTCTTTTATCTGGATTTCTTCTTCCTCTGTCTTGTCAATTGTTCTACTATTTTATAACCTTAAAAATTCATGTTGCTGGTATGACAGCTACGTGAATTATCGTCACATTTTATTTCTCTGAGAAAAAGCATCCGTGACCTATAATTCATAATCTGGTGTAAATTAAACTGATTATTGCTATTATGATAACACTGGGACCATAGCTACAAATCAAATTGAATGCTGAAAATTTAACATCGGCTCCAGTAATTTGTCTTATCTTGTTCTTACTTGATAAACTTCATGTTTGAAATTATTTCCGAATGGAGTAAATAATCGCAGGTTTGCTTATATCAATTCTGTACTTCTTAGGCAAGAAAATAACTTCTTGAGTTTATTTTCCTCAAAAAAGTGCAGAACTCTGTCGAATTTGTGGCTGCTGCTAGATGACTGTGTAGTTTTAAACTCAATCGATCACACTCTCATTTTCTGACTTTTTGATCTTTCAATCTTTTGTTAATCAGCACTGTCTAGAAAGAATTTCAGAGGAAATCCAAGATCATAAAAAAAACAAACTTTAAGATAGCTCTGAAATTCTATGGAAATTCCTGTACAAAATTAATTTTTAAACAAATATAAGGAACCAACCGTAAGAAGATTAGGCTGACCTGAATCTCATTGGTTGCTGTCAACCTCAAAATAAGCAATTTAAGAGCTTAAGATCAACTTTATGGGTGGTTCAAGCTAGTACCAACCACATAGATCACAAGAAGCTCATAATTTTTTTGAAATATTTATGTAACATTCTCATGTGCTCGTACTTTGATAAGTCTTCATCTTTGATCTTCATGTTACATTTTTCAAAAACCATTTTAATTCATCATTTTCGGAAACAATCCTGGTTGGTCTCCAATTAGATATGAGCTATTTCATCAGCAGATTTAAGCGATTATTTCAGCTGCTTCTGCTAGGCTGTTTTATATTGATAGTAGTTTAAACGTAGCAGAGATAATGGGAGGAAAATGTAAAAAATGCACTTTTCTGGGCAAAATAAGCGAGTTTTCCTATCAGATGTTACTTGAATTATTATGCTAAATAATCAAAGCTTTTCTACGTTTTAAAGTTTTAAGAGCAGTGAGGCATTGTCTCAACTGTTGTTGCTATAGCTGATTTTGTGCTTTTATTTACACTATTTAAATTAAATGCTCTTTTAAGATCAGCGTAAGTTTCAAGTTAAACAAGTTAAAAACATGTTTCTTTTTAAATTGGTGCACCTTTCAGTCAGGTACGCAATCACTCAAAATTAGTGCTACTCGTTGACTCTTATTAGCGTGTCCTTGTTTTCCGTCGGTGATACGGATGGAACTTGAACTCTATTCCATTTGAAGTTCTCATTGATATACGATTTTTTCTCTCTCGTTTTTCCAAATTTTAAAAATCGGCCCATTTTCGATTGAATGATTTTTACAAATCATACTTGTTTCTTTTTTTTCTTTACTATTCTTTAACGTTTTACTGTTGTTCCTCTTATTTTGTTTTTGCTTATCATCGTGTCATCTTATTTTTATCTCAAGGTCCAGAGGCCTGGATTTTGGTTGTATAGTTTGTATGTTCAATCCTTTATTTTTTTACTCATTACTCTAAAATTTCTAACACATTTAGTCCTATCAATTAAGTTTTTAGTTGTTGCATCAGTTTTCCTGCTAAGCTAATTTTAACCAGGTAATAATAAGATGGCTAGTTTAACATCTCATTAATTGCATACTTTTCACACTCCTTTCCTGGAGCCACGACAAGTTGACGCCATAGCTTACTAAACTATCATCAAGCACGTGTTCATTGTCATGTAAGCAATGAAGGCAGATATCAAGAATAAGCAGTAGGTCAGAAAATTTGATTTGTCTTCCAGAAAGAACTTTTGCTGATTAATTTTGATTTTGTGAAAAATCTCCCATCCTATTTATTAAGTAAACATATACGTAGCTTCATGTCAAAATCATTTGGATCCAAACAACTGATTATAACTGGATTCGATGTCATAGATGTGTTTCACTTTTTTGTACTAAGTCCGAAGTAGAGTGTTTCTATCAAAAGAAATCATTGGCCATCACAGAGTGACTTAGCCTCCCATTGAGTATTAAAAAAGTTTGATTTTGTCAATCAAAATGTAATCAAAGATTGGAATAACTAATAGGGAAGGTATTAATTTATCATTAAACTGCGTCCAACTCAAGGAGTGATACTGAAAATGTACATGATTTTGACACATACTCAGCATACATTGGGAACTTTTGTTCAAATGTCAGTTTGAGTTATACCCTTCTCGGTCTACTCCCTTTCTAATCATGAAATCTGATTGATCTTTTAAGACTCTGTCAAAGAAATAAGCGTCGCCTAAACAGCTCTGCGGTCTGTTGATTTTAGACTGTGATCTTAAAAATTGTTGATCTGAATCCGAAGCTCTTGTGGTTTGGAAAATGTCTATGAAATCGTATCTCAATTTTTGTTCCTCATTGTTATAGACTGATGGACTAGTGTGAGAGTTTCTTTTAATTACTAAAAGCAATATATTCTCATAATATCCTTGTAATTTTTAGCGGCATAAGTTTTCTCTCTAAAGTAGGCTCTGTTCACATAATTCACTTGGTCTTTAGTATTACCTCAACGTAATACGTATTAATACATATTGACAGGTGGTTCAAACTCTCTGTCAGAATTTCAAATCTCACCTTGATTTTTGTAAGAATTTTGTATTCAGTTGTGTCCTAGTGTAGTAAGCATATCATTTTATTTGCATTGTGACTTTTTTGGAATTCACACAACTAGCAAAAAATAAAGTCCTTTCCAGGGTCCATTTATTAAGATATATATATTCCCAGTTTCCAAATTCTGTCATGATATTTTCAGATTGATCAACTGACCGTTTTTAGTCAGTTTTAGTTATGCTCCCTTTCACACTGTCAATAACATTTACATCAGGTTAGAATCAGCTCGTCTATGAAGTATATTATCATGGCTTAGCAACGCGGCAGAAGTAATCCTCCCCCTCCCTCCGATCATTTATACGTTAAGATTTTAGGTAAAGAACCCAATGATCATTGTAAAATATCTATGTATGTTCTGTAAAGAGACTAGACCACTTATAGTCGTTCAGATGAAAATAATATGTTGAATGATGTTTCTAACAACCCATGAGAAGAATAAGATGGTACTAAGAACTATCAACTGTGACAAAGTTTAAATCATGGTTTGCTCTCTTTTGATACTGTTGCTTTCTCGTAAGAGCAGGTGCTAAAGTTACCAATGTTGACTCAGAGGAGTGATACTCAAAATGTACATGATTTTGACGTATACTCAGCATACATTGGGAGCTTTTTGTCACCAGGTACTTTCTCTGACTTGAATGATGAAGAAAATTAATGTTAATATTACAAGACACCTCCAAAGTACTTTAAGTCTTATCTCGGTAGCCTTTAATTTAGCTGCATGTTGGTTGGACTTGTATTTACCATGTAACAACACATGTGTGAGTGCCTCTGATTATGTTCTCCATTGTTATGGTATCTATCTCTCTTAAAAAGCATCTTTTGTTTTTCATTATTATTGTTTTAGTTCATGAGATTTTCCTGTTTGATTATTAGGGTAAAATAAGTGCTGTTGCAGTGATCTGGACGTCGTATTTTTCAACTAAAAACTTTAGGGTTGAACGCACACTGAGTACAAAAATAGTTAAGTTCATTCCAATGATCATGCGTTATTGCTTATTCTTTCTTTTTAACGATTGCTCTTGTAAAGTTATGTCTTTCACTCAATATACAGTTTTTTCTTTAAAAGTTCTAATTAAATTTCAAGAAAATTATATTCTTTCAGTCAGAGTAGAATCATCATTGTTCATTTTATCTGATTTGGTTGAACTCCAAAACTTTGCAAAAGCCCAATAATTTTAAGGTAATTTTGATATACTATCAGAACTCTTTGATTACATATTTGAAACATACAGCATAAAAATCTGAGGCAGTGACCATTACTCAACCTTTTCATGATGCAAGCTGAAAGTCATCATCAGTGCTCAGGTGGCATGGATTGGGCAAAAGTTCCCTAATTTTCCCCTCAAAATTATTCTCCGCCTTTAAAAATTTCTGGACAAATGATTTTTAGGCTTTTGACCCAAGAAAACTTAAAAAATTCATCTTATAACATGTGGCAAATCAAGGAAACGTTTCAGCTCACAGGAAGGCACTCGTGTAAGGACAAGTCATAAATATAGCTGCTGCATATCTAAGAAATTCTGATGGAGCGTTCTCTCTCTCTCTCTCTCTCTCTCTCTCTCTCTGTTTTTAATTGTAACATAAAAGTAAGTGACTGCTTAATTTAAGATAACTACAAAGTAAACTAATAATTATTTAGTAATTGCATTGTGATACCTATTTTTACAATAAGTTACAAAATCACACTCTGACGGTAATTTTTAAGATTTTTGTCTGTTAGACTGGATTTTTCTTCGTTCTTTTGTTTCTATTGTTTTGTTAAAACTGTTTCAAGTCGGCTTTCTAGTTTTGACTATTACAAATCATTATCAATTAAAACTAGCCTTCTTTTCTTTAAATCCTTTTCCCATGCAGCGACTGTTCGCGGAAGTAATGAGGTGATGAATTTGATCTTTAAATTCATTCGGAGGAAAACAGGTTCAAAGTTTTAATATTCTGGGTCACCCAGTGGTATGCTCAGCCTCCAGCTCAATTACATGTGGTTCTAAAGTTTTGAATTGAAGATTTCTTTCGTGAAGGGAAGTATGCAAGTCCTATTTTAGGAGACTGCATTTTTCAAATCTTTTTACACTAACGGTTTCAAACATACACAATCTATTCATATGAAAAGGCAATTTAGTTAGGATACAAAATAATTTCGATACATTTTTATTGAGAACACCTCTCAACTTCTCTATTTTAATAGCTTCAAATCTTTTTGAGAAGTGGAGTTGGTTTGTTTTTGTGTAGTTTGAACTGTTATTCCTTCAAACTTAGGCAACAACTTCCTAAGGAGATATGTAGTTTCTTCACGCATCTCATTGCAGATATTCAGTCGGCCTCCTATGGTGTAGTGGTTTTAGCACTAGCTCTATGATCGGGAGGTCCTGGGTTTGATTCCTGGCCAGGCGACCCAAGTTTGATGGTCTCAAACAATGTTTGCCTGGGACTGGTTGTTAGGGACGGAGGGGGACAGGACTGAAGCACAGGATTAGCCCTTGATGGCTACTTGAAGTAGTGAAAAAAAAAAAAAAAAAAAAAAGTCACTTTCTATGTGTGGGGTACTCTTTGAAGACATGTTAGGAAATGAATAAACAAATTATGAATTAATAATTTTTTAATAAAAATTATTAATAAAACACTTGGCGACATTGAATAATGATGGTATTTACAAAATATTTGGCACAGCAGCATGGCTTCAATACTCTACAGGACAAAAAATTCAAAAATAGTTTTATATTTTAACAAATATGGGTACCTATACATGAAGTAAAGACTTTACAATTTACAGTTAAGTACAATTTACATTGCATTGAACTTTCCATATACCAATTGCGTGGTGAAATCACAAGATTGTACTCCGGTAAAATTTTACAAATCAGAAACTAAAATGAATGCAGCAGAAATGTTAACTTCTATTAGGATTCTCAGTATTAAAATTGAACTCTTCCGCCAAAGGAGAAAAATTGCAAAACATCAGATGAATGAAACGAGAAAATAATGATCACTTTCCACGTTCAGGTCTTCAAACCAATCCAGAGGGAAAGGAGGCAAATTTTAAGTGCTTTTTTTGACTTTACTAATCATCAAATGATGGGCTTCATACGTTGGATATACCAAAGGCAGTAGGTATAATATACATACATACTGCCATAATTTTTCTCTGAATGTGGCTTGTAAATTTTATTGAAGAAGACGCGGAAACGAAAATAAAAAGAGAATTCTAATTTAGAATTCCTTGTCAAAAGAGAAAAGTTTAGTGTCAAATAGAACGCTCGCTGGGTGACAAGGGTGGAGAGTCAAGTTGTCATGGCACTTCAACCTTTTCAACACAGAGGAACAAATGATGTCAGAGATGTTCAAACTATTTCGGTATTGCCCCCCCCCCCCAAAAACTACTTTGATAAAATGATGATGTACTCAAAGCAGACAGCTCTACACTTTCAAAGGTCAGTTGAGATCAACCACTTTCACTGTACAAGCACTTACCATAGTACATTTTGTCTTATTGTAAATTTTTCCCTTCCTTGTATTTTCTTCTAAATTATCCCTTTTTTCAGTACAGTTACCTATTACAATCAGAAGAATATGGGTGCTTGAAATTTTCTTCCCTTTGAATTATAGAAGAATTCCTGAATTTTGCCATTATGTTGAAGATTACAAAGCATGCTTCCTTAAAGGGCTTCATTGCATTTAGTTTTTTTAATCTACAATAAAATCTGGTAACTTAATTAGAGGATCTGATTGTAATCGACAATAATGACAATTCAGAGCTTGATAAAAGGGTTTTAATTGACCTGTCAATTTATTTTGCACCTTCAAAATACCTCTGTCCAATCTTCGGAATGTATTTACACAACGTAACTGTGAAAGAGTAAATTTTGTTACAGGGTCTCCTTGTGATGTTCATAGAATGCACTAGAGTGCTAGTTGAACTAGAGTTCAGCACAAACTAATAATTGTCCAGGAGCTGAAATATATGTCTCTAATACTTAATGAGGTATTATCTTTTTAAAAACGAGGTTCTACTACTAATGTAAACATTTTTTTTTCCACCATGGGCTTTCCATCTGTCCATTACTGAAGTCCTCTTCCCTTTAAGCTAATTCCAGAGACTTCTAAAAAAGAAAATATTAGAGGAATATTATACAGAGTGCCTGTACCATCCTCTTTCACAAATTACACAGTATGATCTTAAATATACAGAAGATAAGAAAAATAATAAATTTTGCATTTTTACAAAAATTGCCCCGTTTACATAGAATTGCATCGCAATAAATACTTCAAATATTTGTGGCAAAGTGATACCTACTAAAGTTAGTGATACAGAAGGCGCCATAACTGCTGCATTCATAATGTTTCTTTCTTTTTTTTTATCAAAAGCAATGGTAATGTTATCAGTCGCAAGTTAAAAATTTGAACAGCACATTCATTTAAAAAAATAGCATGCCTTTCTTTTTTACAAACCTACTTATACCTCTAAGTCAAACTAAAATTAAATGAACAAAATGTATGAACAGACAAAATTATGAACAGGTATCATTCACTTATGAAAACAAAATCTATTTTAGATCACAGCAGAACAATTATTAGACTGATTTAAAAAATAATATTAATAATATAATAGTAATATATGAAAAAAATAAATAAAATAAAAATCGTGGAGCAAGTTTGCGTGGTTCATGAATTACTGAAATTTTTAATCCAATGCTTTACCTCTTTTATTGCAGTTTGAATGAACTTCTAGTCATAAATTAATTTCCAGGACACTACCAGAGAGTTATATTCTTAAATTTAAATGTAAGGACCGAATTGTGAAGACCGGGGCTGTAAGAACAACTCATTTTTTTTAAAATAAACAGCAATTCTTAATCTAATTTTAAATTGATACTTTTTATAAACTACCTATTACTAATTCTGATCGCTATAAAATGGCTCATTTTCAGTTAGTTAAAAAATGAGCACCAGTCTTTTAAGTGAAAGGAATGGCAAGATGAAGAGAATTTGGCCAGAAATATGACAACCCATTATGCAAAAATTACTTGGGTACTCATAAACTGTCTGACTGTTAAGTACGTTAAATGTTCTTACAAAAAAAAAAAGGAACACTGTCAAAGCGGCAATAGGCAGGATTCAATTGTACATGGGGTGCCCCCAAAGTTCCTGTAATAATGCTGTAATTCCGGAATCAGGGTTGTTACTAAGCTGATCTTGGTCTCATTTTCAAACTTACATTATTCCTGATCAAATAAAATCACAGCATTTGCCCAAAAATTGACAAAGGTATGAGGGTTTGTAGGAAGGGAGTATAAGTGCCACATACAGGTTTTTACTGACGCTTAGGTAATTTGCACCAAAAAAGGCAATCATAAATTTTATGTTATCTCTCTTGGTGTTGACGTCAACCTGCTTCTTGAATTATGTACTATTTTTTTGTTTCAGTTGATCAGAAGCAACTAAAAATTTAAAATGAGACCGAGATCAGCTCAATAGCTATCTTAGATCTAGAATAACAGTATCAGTCCGGGAACTTTTGGGACACCCTTAATAACTTAAATTTTTCTCCAGCCAAATTACTGATTATGAACAACATGATAATTGTTTTTCAATGTTGAAAGAAAGCCAAAACTGGATGGCACAATAAAGAGAATATGAAAGCACACAGAATATCTCAGAACAACATATTAAATTTCCATCAAGAAAGTTTGAGCAAACTTACAGTGAACATGTCAATTAAGTCGCAGTATCTATCAGTGCACCAATGCAACCTATTTTACAGTGAGAAAAATTCAATTATTTTCAAAAGTAAAATGGTTATATTTTATCTTTATCATTATATCTTTTTAGTAAACTAGTTATAATAAATCAATGGCTAAACTGCAAAAACTAGTACCTTAATTCCATTTTATCTGCAAATCTCAATTGTAATTTCTACCAGAAGGATAGACTGACTACTTCTGAAAATGAACATAGAATATTCGTCGGTAAGCAAAGGAAAACATAGAAATTACTAAGGCATAAGATTGGTGTTCAGTCTTGTACTTGAAATATAAAGGATGACAAACTTGCAATGTTGCAAGTTATGGTACCCAGGCGTTTTTTTATGAGTAGCCATAGATATTTCAGCTGAAAAAAAAGCATCCAGTGAAATAATGAATCAACAGGAAAAAACAGGAATGTTATTATTCTTCTGAAGTTGTTTGGATTGCTAATTTTACTTTCAATTCATCTTGTACTTATAAACGTCAAATGCATAACCTTAAACATGAAAAAAAAAAATAAATAAATAAATGAAAAAAGAACCTTTACAAAGGTTAAAATACACATTCACTGAAATTTCATAAATTAGTATACATGGTATACTTAGGTACATCTTGGTGCTTGACTCATTCAATCTTCAGAATGTATCACCTAAGTACGTAACTTAGAATTAGTGGTTTTAAAAAAAAATAAGAAGAGAAATGAGCTTTCTTGAGTTTCGATAATGTAAGCATCAATCATGTCATAAAACGATTTGTACAAACTTTACATTCGAGAGCTGTACATTACAATATCCCTGATAATGGTGATCAAATGATAAAAATGTCATTAAAATAAAAACTACACTATCAGTCAAAATTTCGGAAAATGCAAAAAATGAAATATACAAATTAACACTATACATCAGTTAAACAAAAGCAGTCCACAATAGTAACACACATCATACAGTGGGGGGATTGAAACTTGATTTTCAAGTTTTGTCTGTCAAGAATATTAGGAACGGCTGCAAAGGAAAGCTCTTCAGGAGAGAGGTTCTTTTTTAAGCGTAATTAGCTAAGAGGGGACTGACTGTTTTAAAACCTTTCGTTCAATGAGCAGGAATCGCATATTAGTGTTATTTTCTTCCCGCATCAAATTAAAAATATTTCTCATCCAGTTGTTTCTGAAAGAATCTTATTTACAGACAATCTTTAAAGCTTGTGCAACTTGAAAATGAAGTTCCAATTTTTACAAAATTTCTAATTTACTTAGCTGTAATTTTACAATATTTGACAAAATTGGCAATTCCTAGGGGTCTACACATCATATTTACAATATTCCAAATAAATTAACAAACAAACAAAATTTGTACAAATTGCATCTAAAAAGTTCATAGGACTTAAACGTACTCCTCAGATTGTTTTGACGAATTATTTGATAACCTAAGAGAATTGGGAACTCTACCATTAACAGAATCGGGTAATTCTGCTATGTCTTTGAACACTCCTACTAGACTCTCAAAGTTGGGTCCCCAGTTGAGCAGATAATCCCACCCAAGAGCTGTTGGTATTGAGGAAGGAGAGCCATTTTGCGGCCTATACATTGGCCCTCCCAAATGGGACAGATCATCATCTGATGCTACTAATGTGCTGAGCGAGCCTCGAAATGAGGAATCAAATTCATCATAGGCCGAGGGTAATGATGGCTTATTTGGCGTGCCGCTACCACTATTTCTCCCTCGGCCCCTGTCCATATCATCCTCAGCATTTAGCTTAGTAAAAATTACGTCACTAAGTTTTTCACTTATCACATTACCATTGTCATATTCTATTTCTGAGCAGGTAAAGGAGTCATTGCCGCTCTCATCGGTTGACGTTGAGCTGTGGTTGTCACCGTTGTTGGGAACATGTAAATGGTGGCCTGGTCCGGTGGATACAGCATCTAAAGTACTTACTAAACTGGAGGTCCTCGGCCGAGAGTTTAGCCTGTTGATCTCTTCAGCCGTTAGAGCGGCTCCAGGTGTTTTACGACTAGAGGAGCCACTCAGTTGACTCATAGCAGGACTATTTAAACTACGCTCACTTGTGCTGTGCAGAGCATCTTTTCCTACACCGCCAGACGAGGACGTTGTAGCTAGAAGTGCCGATTGTAATGGCTTGCCACTTATATCCTGCAAAAGGAAGGAAGAATTTATTAATCAGATAGGAAAGGCAAACTTTATTTTTTTAAAAAATCTTGACAATATCAGTTGTTGCAAAAAAAAAAATTACCTACTGTAAATTACTGTGAGCTCAAACCATTGGATAATGGTAACAAGAATGTAACTTTGAAAAAATGAAAATCTAACTTTATGTAGGAGTGATTGTAGCTAAGGATGAGAATAAGATTTCAGAAAGTTGAAAAATGTAGAATTGATTCCAGTAAATTGCCATGTTTTACTTGGTCTCACCAAAACTAATATTTACTGCCTACTCTTAACGTTAATGGCTGCACATCATTAATGACCAATTCTGTATTCCTTCTCTTTCACTATTTTTTTTGCAAATCATAAAACTTTCAATAGTTGCACTAAAAAAAGTGCACATCTTGATGAAGATGTTCTGATTTCTGTTCTCACTTACGTTTTTATAAAATAAAAATTGCATTTAGGTATGTTGGCATTACATTTTTGAGAATATTATGGATGAATTATTTGCAAAATTTTAAAAATTGAAAATAATTGGTCCCCATCCATTTGAACTGAATTAGGATAAGAAGTCTGGAACTTAGCAAATCAAGATATGTACATACAAAGTTTCTAATTTCACCATCAATACATCTTCATGGCCAAAAGATACAAAAAAAGAAGAAGAAAACGAAATTTAAGTATTTAAACTATTCAAGTTTTTAGTTTTTTAACCTGCTTACTAATCTTCCGTATAAACATGTATATATTGCAGGTGATTATGAAATGAAATTTACCTGAAGTGTGAGGATACGTGGCATTTGTTGACTAAGTTCACTACTAGGACTCAACCTCGCCAGAGGAGTACTCTGATGTTGAGGAGACTCCACTCGCGCAACAGGAGGTGGTGGCACAACCGAACGAGGACTATCCCTTGGCGCGTGCGGAGGAAAATGATGCGGTGAGTGCCTGTGTCCTTGACCTTGATGTTTATGATATGAAGGTGCAGATGGAGGTGGTAGATGTGGAGGACTAGGTTTGTACTTCCTTAAATTCCCACCGTCTCGATACCCTGGAATGCAAGCAAATTTAACATTAGCCAATTTTTAAAAATATTGATACTAAGTAGATGCTTATTGGATTGACACCAGTAGCCTTCGGCAGAAAAGTAATAAAACTGGCCCTCCACTTAAGTGTTTTTTGAAACCCAAGAGAATGAAACCAGAAGCGAGGGGAACAAACTGGGAGTTGAAACTTTTAGGAGATCGTCTATAATAAAATAGCAAGAACGTCAAAGGTTTGGTTTTTTTTTCCTAACAGAAAATTGCATTTGTTAGTCTCCTTCTTTTCCCAAGGTGTCTTGAAATTGGCGGTGAAGTAATGTGGATACCTTGTGTTTCTTTAAGGCCTGCCAACATTTTTAAAGTATTAGTAATTAAAATCATACTTTGGTGTACTTTAATATTTTTTTTTTTCCTTTTTTTTTTTTTAGGTTTCCAATGTATTATTTCCTTGGTCTTCCTAAAAACTCAATTGAGGATTATTGTAAATTTTTCATCAAAAACATAGATTGGACGTAACCTCACCTTTGTAGTGATAAACGATGTCAATATCAGACGGCGCAATAGAGCTTGCATTTTCCAGGTCATAATGCTCCGGCATTTCAGAGTCGACACTTATAACCGACGGCTGATCCAAAGGGTGATGGATGGGTGGCGGTGGGTGATGGTCATCGCGAGGAGGTGGCGATTTCCCAACAACCTCCCGTTCTATGATGTCAGGTCGTTGAGGCCTTTGAATCTCATTAATGGCGTCCTGATCTTTGTAACTGTGGAAAGGTTCAATAAAAACCCATTAAATAATTATCATTACTTAAGAAGCTGCTTTTTGTAATGAAATTAAAATTGGTGATCAAAATTTAAATGGAATCTCAGCCCGAAGATTTGAAGTAGATTCAGTTTTTTCTTATGGATTGATTAAGGGCATAATGAGATCAAGAGAACTATTCATTCAATTCTTGATATTAAATTAAATTGAGTAATCTGGATGAGTATGCTCGAGATCATGCATCAGAAAAATCAGTATGAGCTATTTAAGGAAAATCACTTGATCCACAACCTGTTGAGGATTATCTTGACAGTTTTCTCTAGACATTTTATACAAAATTTTAAAATATTTAATTATGAGATCTCTGAAAATGGTGGTCCTCTTTTGGTCTGCTAGTCTCCAGGAGGAAACTTTAAGCTTACGAAAAAAAAGATTATGCTGCTTCAAATTACCGTTTTGAAATTAGCTCAGGGCCAACCAAGTGATGGCCTGCAACTCCTCGGATGATATCGCCATTCTCCGTGATGTAGCTAGGCACTCCTTGATCGTGAAGACTTGTTCTGCCAACGTCTCCACCAGGACCAAGACCACCGCCTGTTACCAATGTGGTGCCCCCATTCTGTTTTGGGTGCCCACCTCCACTTTTTTCCTTTTTCTGTTTGCGCAATCGGAAAACCACAAAGCTCACTAGAATTGCAACAAATAATATTATGAAGAAGAATATGACTAGAGTGATTCCAATGTTGAGTGGATCAGGAATGGCAGCTGTTCCTACACCGACAGGATTGTCGCAACCTTGAGAAATTTTTCCGTGGGTGAAAACTTCGGGAAATATACTGCCGGAGCCATTGAATGGTTGTAACTCTCCATTGACGGTGAAATTTGCAAGACAACCAGAAAAACCTGAAATAAAATAAGGAAAAGATTAAACCAATCCTGTAGTTTATTTCAAATAATTACACTGGTACAAACATCAATATTTAAAAGTTATGTTACATTGAAATATAAAATTGTTTAAAAAAATTTCCATCACGGTATTTTTATGAAGGAGGGAAGAATAAGGAAACCTTGCTTCTGTGTCTGATCAAAACTCAAAAATGAATTTTCAGAACAAAAAACTGAAGCAGAATTTTTAAAACAAAAGACAATAGCAGTAACGATTGAATAAAGAGATTAAAGAGAACAAGTTTCAAGAATTTTCAAGATGAAGTTTTATTTCATCCTAAAAATTCATGAAACTTGTTCTCTTTAATCTCTTTATTTAATCGAAACTGCTACAGTTTTTTGTTTTGAAAATTCATTTTTGAGTTTTAACCAGACTTAGAGGCAAGGTTTCCTTATTCTGCATCGAGAAAATTGATATGGGAACACATCACCTAGTAATATAGAGTTCTGATGAAAGTTTTGCGACTTTCGTGGGATTTTGTTTGATGAGTGTGTTTTTAACAAGTTTTACTTAGGGTAGTTTTTTTGTTCCTTGCATCAAATTTTTTTGTGAATTTTAGTTGAAGAGAAATCCGAGAAGAGAGGAGATCTAGACTTTGGTGGCCAGATGGTGTAGAACAAGATCTAAAAGCAAGGATTATGGAAAGTTAGAGTGATAAAACCAAAGACAGAGCATTGTGGACAGGAGGCTAAGGCCCACCCAGGGTTGTAGCGCTCTTCGTAAGTAAGTAAGTAGAAGAGAAATCATAACTTCATTTATTGCATGGTGCATATACATAATGGCTGACTTAGCTTTGAAACTGCTCTCAAGAAATGCTTGTCATACACATTATGAGATAATGCAGTTTATCAAATGAATTCATTTAAAAATTCATTAGTGAATTTGATCTTTAAAAAAAAGAGTCAGTTTGTCAAAAATACTTACTTTGTGAGATGACATCAGGGCTGCTCAGAATTTCTCTCCGAACTCCTCCAATAGCTAGAACTGTCAGGTACGGATCAAGAAAGTCATGAATACCGGCAGAATCTAATTCTTCACCAACTTTTTCTCCGTCCAAGATTATACGGAGGCCTCTATTTTGCGATGAGAGCGTGAGGTTGTGCCACTGTCCATCAGAGAGTTCCTCATTGTCAGATACAGTCATATTAACAGAAGCACTGGCAATTCCCAATTGTGAAACGTAAACAATGTGGCCACCGATTAGCTGAAATTTGTTGAAATCAAGTATGAGTAAATTATGATTCTCAAACACAATGAGTAAAAATTAGTGCTAGTTGTACCTATTTAAAATTTATTAATTTTCTACTAGTAAGTATGTAAATAAATTGAGTNGTTTGGGGGGGGGGATGTCAACAAGTAAGATATATGAATGGATACAGACTCACAGAACTTCTGACAGGGTAAATGACAGTTACAGCAAGAAGTGAGATAGCCTGTGCAGTCTGAATTTTAAAATTAAAGAGAATCTTACATGGAAAAAAGGAATTGGTATAAAAATTATTATAAACATAGTTAGTAGTATGAAATAATTACCTCAACTGATGTGAAATCTTTGTTTGAAGCGCTATAGATGAGCAAGCCATCTCGCTTTGTTGTTCGGAACATGAGACTAATCCGTTTCGAAGGTTGTGATACACCAGGAGTAAGGAATGACTGCAGAGCCAGGGCAGAAAGATTAGGTGAGAATCTTTTGCTTTTGTTCAAAACGCGAGAGTCATTCAGAGCACTTGTGTGCCATTGCGTTGAGCCACCATAAATTGACTCCAACAGATGCATCCTGCGGTGATTTTCAGAAATTTTGAACTCTATGTAGCCACCATCTAATAACGTTATTGGTTCCAGAGCCTCATTACAATTTGGAGAGATGAGATCTGAGTTACCACAAGAACAGGTCACAGTATGCCACTTGTCATGGCATTTTGCAAAAGCTCCGCAAACGGACGATTGAATAGTCGCTTCAGAAGTTTCCAAATTCAAGAGATTTGAGCCGCGATGACAGGGGCTTTGCAAAGACCTTCCACATTTTGGGTCAACTCCTCTTGATTTGATGGGATCACTTAAATTGAGGGCCTTTCCATTGATTGTTACACTGTGGATGCAGCCAACAAAATCGTCAGAGAGTATCTGGCCAGACCTTTCTAAAATGGGATCTGCAGAAACTAAGCCACCAATGTAGAGAGGATTGTTATTGAAGTTTAATGTCCTGAAACAAATTTTAAACACATCATTAAGTATAGACCAAGGTAGGAAAAGTATAAATTAGTGTATTGGTTTGAAAAATTGCTGATGTTTTCCTCTTTATTTCTTTTACTTTTTATAAATTAAGAGATTAAATACAGAGACGAATACATTTTTTTAGATTTGCTTCTCTCTCTTAAAATTTCACTCTTGAAATTTTGTGCAAGGATTTTCAGGCAACTATAAGCATTGGTATGGTTTAGTAAATAAATAATATTCTTGGCTTTAAGAATATTTACTTTTTCTTTTGTAATTGATACATATTTAAAGAAAAGTACAAATTAGTACTTCGGTAAAAACTCACCCTGCTGGTCCCATATCATCAACATAGCAGGATACATCTCCTGGCTTGCATTCCTGACAGGTATCTCCATTCTCAGTGCATCTAGAAACGCTGAGACTGATGACTCGCCCGTTACGTGTCGCAGTGATCTTATGCCATTCTCCATCTGCCAAGGATCGGTCTGAGAGAGGTACTGTTACAGATGTCACAGCAGTCCTCACACCACCATATGAAAAAACAGGCTGACCATGCACCAATTCCAAAGCCACAAAATCAGAGCGCCCACCAGTTTGAGCTCCATAGTTGTAGATCAGTAATGAATTCGGTTTTGTGGTTGCAAAAATCATTGAAATATCATTAGTGCTAGCATCAAGGGGTGGATAGATAGCGTACGAAAGCTCTTTGAAACCATAGGTCCATTTTTCACAATGACGTCCATGAAGAGAATTAGGACAGCTGCATTTATAGCCTGGTTTGAGGCTCACACACAAACCTCCATTCATGCATGGGTTTGGGCGGCAGGAGTCGGTGATTGTTTCGCACTGATTTCCACGATAACCTGGGCGACATAGACAGAAAAAGCTGGATCCGTCAGGACTTTCTTTGCATGAGCCACCATTTTTGCAAGGATTCCCACTACAGGCGTCTCCCCGTTCTAATTCACACTGTTTGCCTTCACGCATAGGAGGACACGTGCAGGTAAAATCATATCTGTTGCGGGTACATGTTCCACCTGCCATGCAAGGATTCGGATGACAAGGGTCTTGTCGCTTTTCACAGTGCTTCCCCATAAAACCATCATTGCAACGGCAAACATAGTCATGTTTCACCAGAGGTGAGGTGAATATCAAGGGTTGGCTGTCTGTAATTCTTGTATCCTCTAAAACCTGGATGCTCTCTGTGCATACACCATTATTTTCACAACTGTGGCTTTGACATGGAGCATACCCAACGGTAACAGATGACATATTGACCAACTGCTGAAGAACATCACGCTTCTTTATCAGAATATCAGTTACTTTGGCCTTATTTTTATACCCTTTGGATTCTTTAACAGCAAAGGTCAACTCTAGTCCATTATCAACTTCATGCATACTGTATAGGTAAGGCTGATCACCAACGTCAAAACTTGATTTCAAAATATCAATGAATCCCTTGTAATGATGAGCCAAAAATTTAGTTGCTGTTATATTTTCAATGCGAATGGTTAAACTATTTTCAATTGTGCTGTTATAAAATGAGAGGAATTCGACAGTCACTGTTGACAACACATCAGCATGCTTCCCATCATTTCCTGAGACACTCAACGTGTATGTTGTTCCTGGAGTTATTTGTGATGCTTGGAGACTGCATCCAGAGGAAATACTAAGCACTCCTCTCGCAGCAGGAGAATTCATTAGTTTACATTGATAGTCACCGGTTAAATCAGGATCATTTGGGTGAACATCTGCAATTTTACCGACAGGAAAAATGTCGTTGAAAACATGGATTAAAACGAGGACTGAGCGAGGAGATGATGGTGTATCATTTTGGTCAAGCACTGTAATTGAAATGGGATGCACAGATTTCATTCGAGGTTCTCCGCTATCTTCCACAGACACCTAAAAAGAAAAATGAAATAATTAAATCCATTGTAAAATAAAGAAATTATCAGGTACCTATATAGAGGCAAAAATCTCCAGAGTATACTTCGAATTGCATACCAATTTTACTATAGTCTCCAGACCAGGAACAAATAATTACTGAATATATAAATACTTATAGCTCTCAATTTGACTTAATTTTTAACCGAAAGCATTCTGAGTTAAATAAAAATCCTTGAAGTGCAAATCATTAGAGAATGGTGATTACTTTTTAATTTAAATGATCGTCTTACACATTTCTTTCATGAATAATACCTAAGTAGCAGTGTCCCAATCTGACATGAGAAAAAAGAAAAATACTGAGCACCCCTGTCCCATTTAATTTTTTTTTTTTCAAAGTAGCGTCTCCATTTTTTATTTCACATACTTAATTGGAAGTGTCAATAATTGTCTTGGAAAAAAGGAGAATACCACGCACCTTTACCCTACTTATCTTCTTTTAAAAAAAGTCAAATTTTTTCTTTTTATAATTTAAACCATAACTTACCAAAATATCGATTTGTGGGGTTGACTCTCTGTCAATAACTCTGGTTGTCTTCACAACTCCTGTCTTGGGTTCAATTGAGACCAGTTCTTTATGTCTACCACCCACAAGACGATATGTAAAAGGGGCACCATTAGGAGGAAGATCTGCATCGACAGCATTGAGAGTCATTATACTTGTATTCGGCAACTCATTTTCAGTTATATAACCGACAACATTTGGTGGGTCGAACATTGGCCCATTATCATTGACATCAGTAATAGTTATTTTCACTGTTGCACTGCCTGTTTCTGGTGGAGATCCAACATCTATAGCACCAATGATTAGCTCATAGGAGGAAACCTGTTCACGATCAAGGATCGAAATGGTCTCAATATCACCGTTTTGAGCATCTATTTTAAATGCTCTTTCGCTGTTGCCACCAATGATGGAATAACTGAACTGATTATTTTGTGGTTTGACATCCTTGTCTGTGGCCCGGACAGTTATAACTTTACTGCCAACTGGAGCAGCTTCAGATAATTTTGTTTCATAAACTTGTTCAAGAAATTCAGGTGGATCATTACCGTCTTGGATTATAACAGTTACTTGAGCCTCAGCAGTATCATTGCCTCGGATGCCTCCCCGATTCTTTGCCATAATAGTGAGAATCACCCGATTTTGAGTCTCACGATCCAAACGTCTTGATACAGAGAGGACACCTGTGACAGGATTTATTGCAAACCCTTTATCGTTGCTAGAACCGACAAGTAAATAGTAAACTTTGCCATCTTCTCCTCCATCCTCATCAATAGCTTGAATTGTTCCAATGCTTGTTCCAACCTCTGTTGATTCAGAAACATCAAAGTGAAATGCGGATTGATTAAAACGAGGATAAAATTCATTAACACCTGTCACATGGACAAATATTTTTGTTGAGCCGAACATTGGCGAGTCGGGATTGACAGCTAAAATATCAAGAGTGAATAGATTTTTCTCTTCGAAATCAAAGGGTTGCTTCGAGATGATGATACCATTACTCGCATCAATAGTGAATAAATCCTTCCCGGTTCCACCAACAATAGAATACTGAATGATGGCATTTTTTGGTGAATCAATATCATGCGCTTTGACTTGAAAAATGACCGTTTTCGGAGGCGAGTTTTCTGGCACATAAGCTTCATAGGACGTTTGATTGAATGCTGGTGGATTATCGTTTACATCCGTCAAAATAATGTTTAACATTCCCTTGGCTTCTTTTGGTTCGAATCCAAGATCTTTAGCTGTGATGTTTAAATGATACTCATTTTCAGTATCAAAATCGAGAGCTTCAACAATAGATATTGCTCCGCTTGTTGCATTAATTGCAAACTTTTTCTTGTTGTTGCCGCTTGAAATTGCATACCTAACAATTCCGTTTGGACCATCGTCCATGTCTGTCGCATTTAATGTTACAATCACTGTGCCAAGAGGCTCATTCTCCGGCACTATCACCTGGTAGCTGAGAACAGTAAAAACTGGTGCATGCCTATTTTCACCTGCAACGATCAAATTGATGTTCGCTGTATCAGACAAGGGTGGTACTCCTTTGTCAACTGCCTTGACGGTGAAGGAGAATTGTTTTTTGCCGATGATGGAACTGTCCAGTGATTTGCTGAGAGATATCCAACCGGTGTGTTTGTCCACTTTAAAATAAGGAGTGTCAGTTCCATTGATCATAAAATATTCAATTTCAGCATTGATCCCATAGTCTTGTTTGTCTTCAGCTTTAACTTGTAAAATATTTTGTCCGATGGATAAACTTTCAGGAACTGGTGAAAAATACTCTTTTTCCTCGAATTTTGGTGGATTGTTGTTAGCATCTACCACATTCACAGTTACTAAACATTCAGAGGACATTGGAGGTTTCCCATTATCTGTAGCAACAACGGTGAACGGATACTGATTTTCAGGAGATGAATCCATTCCAGAAAATTTGTACTTTAGGGTCCTCTTTGAGAATATTTCTCCACTTGCAGGGTCAACTGAAAAGAGATCAGACGGATGTTTTAAAGAATAGGAGATAACAGAATTAGGTCCTTGCTTATCTCTGTCAGTAGCGATAACTTGGCCAACAAAAACGATGTTGCGCTGCAACTCAGGGAAGTTGAAACTGTAGAAAGAGTGCTCAAATTCTGGTGCATTGTCATTTTGATCTTGAATTGTAATTGTGAGTGGTGTTTCAGCTCTCCAAGAACCATCCACCGCAGCAACCTTTAACAGATATTCATCTTGAGTTTCCCGATCTAGGTGTCCGATCACTGTAACATTACCCGTAAGGGGATCAATAGCAAATTTTCTACTAGGATTTTCTGTGAAGCTGTACGTGGCATTTGCATTCTCACCAATATCCTGATCAGAGCTGGTTACTTTGATGACAAAGGATCCAGGCTCAGCGTTTTCTGTGACATTCACACTGAATAATCTTGTAAATCTAGGAGGATTGTCATTCTTATCAAGGACATTCACCAAAACAGTGGAGGAGCCAGTTAGCTGCGGAGTTCCATGATCAAATGCCTCGACTATCAACTCGTAACTTGAGATTTCTTCTCGATCTAGTCTAATATTGGTAAAAATCTCGCCAGTTTCCGAATCAATGGAAAATGCACCTTCTCTATCATCATTCAGGCGATAGCTTATTTTCCCGTTCAAGCCAGAATCAACATCATGTGCTCTGATGGTTACCACTTTTTGTTGGGGAAATTCTTCCTCCAGAACTGATAGGTTGTACAAACTTGATTCAATAATTGGAGCATTATCATTCGCATCTGTGACATTGATCAGCAACTGAATGACAGAACGAAGGGGTGGCGTGTCTGAATCTCTTGCCTCTACCCACACTTCATACTGAGAGGATGTTTCATAGTCCAAACCACTGCCTGCAACTAAAACCTCACCGGTATTTGCATCCATACGGAGAGCATTCCCGATATTACCACCAGCAATGGCAAATCTTATATTTTTTACACCTCCCTGTTTCGGTGATGAGGCAGCAATCTTTGTGATTACTTTACCGGCTGGCACATCTTCAGCCAAAGAAAATTTTGTTTTCTTTGGAGCAGTAATGTATGGGAACAGATGAGATGATTTTAATTTGATGACAAGAGCTGCTTGCGCTGATTTGGGCTCTTTCCCTCCATCCTTAGCCAAGATTTCAACGTGGTAGACCATACTTTCTTCGTCTCGATCATAAGAACGCAACTCCTCTGCTGCTCTGATTACTCCTGTTTCTTGATTGATGGAGAACTTGTTCGCATCTTTACCGCTCAGGAAGTATGTAATGCGACTGTTGGCCCCACTATCATTATCTGTTGCTTTGGCACCAAATACGAAGTTACCTGAAAAAAAAAAAAAAATTATTTTATCATTTTTGATCTGAAGATTGCTAAGAATTAAGGTGAAAAAAGAACATAGGATTTCAATAATTGAAGATCTTTTGAAATGTAATTTGTAGAAAATACTAAGTATCAAGATAACTTTTTTAATTGTATTGAAACAATTTTGTGGGACTTTAATTTTAAATATTTCCTCACGGTCAAGACAGTGAAGAATAACTTCAGAAAATTAAGAGATGCTAAATTTCAACATTAAAAGTAAGTTAGGCTCTAAAAATAAAAAAATAAAAAAATAAAAAAAAGTAGTAGTAGTAAAATAATTTTATTTTTAAGCGGTGCTTTAGCATCTAAGGCCATGGAAACATAGAAAAAGAAAGAAAAAAAGAAAGAAAGAAAACCAAGAAAATAGCACATGCAAAGAAACTGAAGTTTTGAAGGCGCTATGCGTTTCACGCCGACCGCCGCTGACCGCACTGTGTTTGACGCAATGCGTGAAGTATTCATGCGGTCTTGTAGGCGCTGTGTGTTTCACGTCAACCGCTGCTGACCGCACTAACAATAAGTTTGACGCAATGCGTGAAGTATTCATGCAGTCTTGCAGGTGCTACTATGTTTTACATGCCGACCGCCGCAATGAAGGCTTCTCCTTTTCATCTCAAGTCCTCATCATCATTGCTCTCTGCGCCGCGTCGCTCCACGCCGAATTGCGTGTTTGGTCTAACTCTTGACTCGACTAATTAAAGGCGATGTCTCTATTGTCACCGAAAGACGCTTTCCTCGTTTGTATTTTTTTTTTTGAATCCGATTTTTTTTATACCTGCATTTTAAAAAATTACAAAATTTGCCGCCCCCTAAATTTGCCGCCATGGACCACGGCCCATGTGGCCACCCCCTTAATTCGGCCCTAATTATTGCATGAGCTGACGTTAAAACTAATGTGATTATTTTGGCATACGCAAATCGCCTTCAAAAAAGTTTGATACCATGCGCGTGGCAGTGTGAAACTGGATTGCTTGTCACACGCAATTGAAACGCCTTCAAAGATTTTGATACCATACGCTCGGCACTCGCGTTCAAATAGTTGTATCGGAAAACGCGTACAAAAGATTATTTTCACGTTTTGACTTACCAGGTTGAGTTGGATCTGAGATATGGATTGTGTAATGGCCACTACTGAATTGAGGTGCGTTGTCGTTATCGTCCAAAATGGTCAAGGTGATATTGACAGCAGTTGCACGGGGCTCTGTGATACTACAATCCTGAGCAATCAAAGTCAAATAGTATACACTGATTTCTTCTCTGTTTAGAATGGTAGTAGTTGTGATCAGACCATTTGTTTCGTTAATATGAAACCTCTCGATGTAGTCTCCAAGCAGGCTGTACCTGTAATTTTAAATTGAAAGTAAAACACATTAGATTCACATCCCAATTTTACTATTTCTCCGCCGGTCATTTTATTTCTTTAAAAATTACAAATTTCAGAAGATTAAATTTTTAAAAATATTCAATTTGTGTACATCGAGAAAAAAAAGAAGATATAAGGAGGTACCTAATCTAAGGAGCAAAAATGGGTGCCTGTCTTGAGGAGTCAATCGTCTGACTAAAGAAAAATTATTTTCACTAATCTATTAATTTTGAGCGTCTAATCATTTTACCACCTTTATTCTCTTTCCAAAAATGTTTTTAAAGAGACTACGTTAAAGCTTTCTCATTCGATGTTAAGTTATTCGAAATAAAATATGAGGCCTGACCTGGTGTGTGCTAATGACCTTTAGCCATTAAGTAGGGATCGAATTTTCAGACACCGTAGAAGGGGAGAAGACTTTTTTGGTTCTGATTTAAAACGACAAAACTTCCCAAGTAGCATAGGACAGAGGTTGCAATAAATTGTAATTTTTACTTGGTTAAATTATTGCTAGTGCGTCGGCATGTTGTGTATGTTGCTTATGTACTGATTAAAGGGGCACTTCTTGTTGAAATTTATTGCAATTAAATTGAAGTAAGATGCAATCTTTCATGGCATTGCCCATTTTTTGACGCATGTTACTTATCCTGTTGATTGTTTAAATCGAAATTTATTGGAAAATTGATATTAAAATACTGCAATTTTATTGCATTAAAGCGCGATTTCAGTCATTATATTTTCATCGCACTGTGCTACTTGGATTGTCTCATTTTTTGGAAAAGACGCTTTAAAAAATGAACACTACTAATAAAGCAACACCATAATACACCCAGGGCCGGATTTATCTTGCCGCCCATGGGCCGCCTGTATTTTGCCGCTCCTTTCTCATTCGTTTTGAAACATCAATAAAAACCATCAAATGAACGTGCCAGAGGGGGAGGAGTGCATAAGACGCGTTTACTCGTATTGAACACATTTTTTGGGTAAGCCCTGTCAACACTACTATCAAAAGTTTACGAAACTTTCTGCGAAAGTTAAGTTTCGTGAACCTATCTCTGTGTGGACAAGGCCTTCCGTTCATAAGAAATGAACGAAAAAATTATGAAAGAACTAACAACAAATGTAGATTAATGATTTTAACTTTCGCCGCCGCGCCGCGCAGACCGCACTGTGTTTCACGCAATGCGTTAAGTATTCACGCAGTCTTGTAGGCGCTATGCGTTTCGCACTGATCCTACTGTGTTTACCAACCGCAATGCGTGTGGTATTCATGCATTCTTGTAGGCGCTATCCGTTTCACGCTGACCGCTATGACCGCACTGTGTTTGATGCAATGCGTGAAGTATTCGTGCAGTCTTGTAGGCGCTGACATGTGTTACATGCCGATCGCCGCACCGAGGGCTTCTCCTTTTCATCTCAAGTCCTCGTTATCATTTCTCCCTAAGTCGCGCCAAGCCAAATTGTTTGGTTTCTCTCTTAACTCGACTAATTAAAGGTGCTGTCTCTTGTATCACTGAAAGACGACAAAATTAGAAACTACCATACTCTCAGGAAATGAGAGATTTGGTCGCTTTTTCTCGTGTGTAATTTTTTTTTCTAAATCTGATTTTTTTATATACCTACATGTAAAAAAATTGCAAAATTTGCCGCCCCCTATAGATTTGCCACCATGCCCCCCCCCTTTAATCCGGCCCTGAATACGCTAATTAAAAAAAAAAAAAACATAATTGAACAAAACTTACCTTAGCTTTGCGTTCAGTCCACTGTCCAGATCCGTGGCCACAGCCTGGAAAACGGAAGTACCAACCGGTAGATTTTCCATCACGGCGGTTGCGTACATTTGGCGCTCAAAATGCGGGCTATGGTCATTCAAGTCTTGGACGATGACACGTACTGTTCCAGAGCCGGTCAACGGAGGAGTTCCTGAAGACAAAAAATAGGGATCCATGTTATAAAACAATAAAATACAACGAAGAAAAAAACATTTAAAATGTGGCTCAAGCACTGTAAGTAACAGAGTAACACGATAGTGGAATCATGCGGGATCTCCACTATTCCACACTAGGTCCCTAATCAAAACCGAAAAATCCAAAAATTAGAATTTGATAAGTCGCGAAGTGAACTCTTATGAGTTTTAGTGCAGAAATGTGCCTGATATCTGCATATTTGAAGAAGAATGCAAAATTGCAGTCGACGAGTTGTGCGGCCAGCGCAACTTGCGTTAAGGCCTGGATACACACGGCGAATAATCGCCGTGTGTATCTAGGCCTGGTAGAGACTAGCAAGAAACAAACGTTAGACGAATTCGGTAGATTTGGAGACTTGAACGCCCGGGTATAAAAACAGACGATTGACTCTATAGCAGTTACAAGCTGGGGGAGCAGCATATATCTCTCTAATGGCAAATCTATAAAAATGGCACTCTTCATCAGTTCTGTAACCCAGCAACGATGCAAATTTTCTCTCCTGGGGATTTAGCATTTTCTAATGGGCTAAAAATTCCGGATTTGTAGACACCCTGCGCCTACGTTGACCAATCAAAAAGCGGCACAGTTATCCTGTAGTAAAATGATACAAATGGCCATGCTCTGTCTATAAAAGTAATCTAGAGTAGGCTAGTAATAGTTATAAGGCAAGTTTCCGAGGCAGTATGGCGGTCACATTCCTACAATATTGCCGCTGTTTCACACGCAAAGGAAAGGGGCGGGCGGCCCGGGGAGCGAAGCGTGTGATAGCCGCTCGGAGATGAGGGTAAATCTGAGGCGGAATTTTCAGAGATAACAGAACCAACGCAACGTTTTTCCCTCGAGGATAATCAGATGAGAGGCAGCGGCGTCAGGTCGCGTCGAGAGGAATGAAAAATAGTGGACCGGGATCGGGCCGAGAGCTGGGCTCGGCGTCTGAAATCGATATAAAAAATCGAGGCGCATCGGCCTGTCCGTGTGTCATTCCGTGCGCAAGTGCTGCGATCTGGCAACCGGCAGCGGAATCTGTTTCGTGAACGGATCACCGCACCGGAGTCCTGATCGCTCTAGGTCCCGCATCGCATTGCATTCTGATCTTCCCAGTGGCGTGGCGTCAATGATCGATTATCGATATCTCGCCATTTGAAGCTATGGTAAAGAATCGACAACTAAGATGTTCGCTGCGAACACCCTGATAATCGATCTTTTTTCATAGGTTTGAGTGGCGTATCAATCGATATATCGCAAAGCACGCCACGCCACTGGATCTTCCTGGACCGAACCTGGCACCACGCCTCTCTTCCCCCTTCCGAGCCGTAAAAACTCCGACGAAAGCCTCCGTTGATCTCGCCGACGATGATTCTAAAACCGACCCGGAAAAAAATAAACTCCGGTGCCGGGCGCACGAACTCACGTTAAAACAAATGTGGCACACGCAAATCGCCTTCAAAACGGTTCGATACCAAACGCGTGGCCCTCACGTTAAAATGATCGGATTGCGAAGCGTCACGCGCAATTAAAACGCCTTCAAATATTTTGATACCGCACGCGCGACACCCGCGTTAAAATAGTTGTATCGACAAACGTGATGATTTACCTGGTGTGTAGTTTCACGGATGGGCGTACTCCGTTTTCTGATTCAATACAAACATCATTGAAAACGTTGAGTTAATGGGGGCTGTTGTTCCGATTGTGTCTTTTTGTTAAAAAATGAAGTCTGATCGACGAAATGATATAGTGATCGGTCGAAAACTATTGCTCAGCTTTTGATGAGTTCCACTTAATTTTTCTCAGAGACCCATACCAGACATTGCTTTTCCCAAAACGTCCTTTAACCAGAAGAGTAATGAAATATGCTTCTTTGAATCCGAGACTTCATTTCTCGGATTAAGATCTGCCGTTCGACGTGAAAATATACTGAACTTCAGGATATTATGGAAAATTTCAAACGAAGTTATGATTGAGTCAAAGCATCAAGATTAGGAGTCACTGGGATTTCAAACAAATGCATTTGAAGGGAAAATTGCTGAAAAGTACCAAAAGTTTGTCGATCATCCGATCCGTTTCTGGCAAACAGCAGACCACTTAGTGCAACTTCAGGTATTAATTTTTACTTTATCTTGTCTGCCCATCTCCTAATTTCCAGCCAGAGGTGGATCCAACAATTTGGCAACGCTAGATTTTCTCCATTTAAACCTATGGTAAATAATCGATTCTTGTCGGAGCACCTGACCCCTCCAAGAATCGATACATTCCTATAGGTTTAAATGGAGGAAAGACAATGTTGCCAAATTGCTGGATCCGCCAATGTTTCCAGCTCTGCGCCTGACATGGAATGACGATCAAAACGCGCGAGGAAGTTGATGGTCAGAAATTTGTTTCTTTAACCGTTGGAACTTATCCTCAATCTACTTAAAGAGAGAGAGAACTTTTGAATAAAATTCAGTTTTAAAGGCCTGGGAGCGTGAAAACTTCTGAAAAAGAGCCCATTCACGAGTAATTAAATTCCGGAGTGACAATCAGCAGTTAAGGACAGGCCACATAGAGCAGAACCGAGAAGGTAGAAGCATCCCTCCCCTGCGGACGGACACACTGCAAAGCGCGACGCGATGGTGGGCTATACTGCCGCGCTGGGGAGAAACGTCGTGTGAGCATTCACACGTTGCCAAATTTCTCTCTATGGAATACAATTTTATAGAGAATCTGTGAATGTTTTCTCGTTAATTTTTCAGATAGCTTCACTCGAAATTTAATTCCGAGTGCCTAAAAATTTCAAGGAGAAATATTCATGTATTTCCTCAGAGAACGATAAAGCACAAAAACATAGCCCGAGTAAACGAATAAAGAAGGAGATTTAATAAAAATATGGGTAAGCAAGGCTAAAAAAAAAAAAATGGAGCTGGTAACAGCTCGAAACGTCCTGCCTTAAAGTGTTTTTAATTTTTTTAGCCTTGTTTACCCATATTTTTATTAGATCTCCTTCATATTTCCTCAGAGATAAATAATTTACCGGAGGAAATGCGGCAACGTCGGGATGTCCATACGGCGTTTCTCCCCTGGGCCGGCGGAATAAAAACATGATGTCTGGGCGTCATCCGATTTGCAAGCGAGCGCGGGCAGGTTTGCGTGAGGAGGTGCAGGCGGTGCATCTGCATGCGTCCGCGGTGAGGACCGGAGGCGGGGGTNGGGGGGGGCTTGCCGCCCCCCCCCCGCCCCCCGACGGAGTGACTGCCGTGAGCCGGGGGCATCATAAACAGAGGCTCATGAATCAGTCATCCAGTGACGTCAGGGTAATGATAGGACGCGAACTTGCAACAATGGTGGCATAAATCTGCCGCGCTAAGTCGAAAGCGCGCAAGTCCCGCGTGGGGCGGCCGGGCGGATGCGCGGTTTCGGGCCGCCGGGGCAGAAATAATACCCGATGTTTCTTTGGGTGGATGAACATGCAACGGTAAGTACTCATTGTGTTGCGCCTTTGAACCAACACTCCGCTCCACCCCGCCCCGAGATGCAGCCACCGCGAGCCAACTTCGCCTTGGCCACTCTGCCCTGTCCTCCGCCGCACATCGGAACCCAAACCGACACTCGCCGGAAAAACGAAAGTGCTCGAACTTGGAAATATGCGAAGGCCCTAGGCAAAATGTGCCTCAGGGTGGGACTTTAAACTGTCCGGTATGGCCAAAAAACCGGGAGGGATGAAAAATATTACTTTTAAAGTTTCGATCATTATTGGCACTATTTAGGGTTCTCAAGGATAAGTTGTCAAGGTTTCGAGTATTGATTCGTACTCTCAATGGTGCTATACGCGTTTAAAGTGAATCGTCCCTAAGGCTGGCAACAGTGTCGGCAAAGAGACCTACGTCACAAAAGCGTCACGAAGGGGGAGGGAGGGAAGGAGGGAGGTCAATAATGCCGAAAAAATCGTCGTCTCCCGCACGAAGGAGCGTAACTCCAATCCAAGGTTGCCAAATTGACTCCAACAATTAATTTATTTTACAAAAATGTAAGTGTGCAATTTATATCCAAATTTGTCTGATCTTTGCATGAAATCGGAAGAAAAATCAGTGAAATTTTCAGTCAGAAATGCCCAATACTTTTCTGGTTAAAATGCAATTTACGAAAGGAATTTTGGCAACATTGAAATGTAGTTACGTTCTTTCGTGCGGAAAACGACGAAATGCGTCACCTAATTGCTACCTAAAATGCCAAGGACGGCCTTGAGGATTCGGCCGCAAAGCGGCTGAAGGAAGGCTCAATTTTGTTCACAGTCTTTGTTTATTTTTTTTACGTTTTCCTGGGGGATGGGTAAATACATCGATCCCTGTCGATGATTCAACGACGTGGGTTCCTTAAAAGTTTTGACGGCTAGGCGCAAGGAAACTACAGTGTCACTCAGGGGAAAAAACTAAATGCTGATGTAGCATTTAAATTGCTAAAACAAAGTTCGTCAAGTTTCAAATGCTAATTTTAAATTACAAAAATGCTTACTCAACATTTGAATCTGTTCATTTTACTGTGGGAGTGGTTAAGATCGAGATAGCATTTTTTAAAATGTAAAATCAGCATTTGAAACTCGTTGATTTTACAATACCAAAAATCCAGCTCACTATTTGAATTTGTTCATTTCACTGTGGGCGTAGCTAAGTTAGCATTTTTGAAAACGTAAAACCAGTATTTGACACTTTTCGTAAATTTTTCAACAATGTAAATGCTAACTCAACATTTATTTTTTTCCATGCAACTCCGGACGTGGGCCCGACGTGCGACGTCCTGGACCTTCCTTGGGTCGCCCATCCCCGTCGTCACCACTCCGGCCGGTGCAGCGTCCACTCTCCGCGGCGCGGCGTCCACGCACGAGGCGCTAACGCAAACGCAGCAAATTAACATGCTTCTAAATCCTCCGGACCCAACTTGGGAGCACCCTAATGCACCCTAATGCTCCCTAATGCGCCCGGCTTT